TCACGGTTTTTTGTTCCTCAAACCTATGAAACTTTTAAAAATATAGACCACACGTAAGACTCCAATCAGCGATTATTCTTTTTACGAAACATGATCCGTTTTTACACATGGCGGTATGACATAGGCCCTAGAAAAATAGAGCACTTTCATAACTTAGCAGCCAGCTCCACCACTCGACGCATCCCTTTAAATAAAATCCCGTGATACACTACATAAATAGAATTTCTTCATAATAACGAACTGGTCGTCACAGTCGTGATGTTAGCTTGCATTCAATATTGCCCTAAGCGACTCCAGAGTGACACGTTTTTAAAAGAGGACCAGCAGATTGGAGCTTTTGTCGTCCATTGTCAACCGGGAACCTAAAAGGAAACGTCCTAATTATTGCTCAAACCGAAAAAGAAGGGAGATTAAGAGAGGAAATTCCCGACTTTGATGCAATCACAGTTTTGAGCTGACTCTCATCGTCCTCCTTTGTGCCGATATATTTCCAGCTTATTGTCCTAAGGATTTTCTCGATCATTTATGCTAGCAGTGAAGTGGCTGTTTTATTATTGAGCTAGAACAAAGCACCAGATACAGATTAGCCGCATAACCAGACATGAAATCTGTGATACTGTGAGAATTCCCTGGATATCATTGTTTTCTCCTCCGTAGCTTTCTTACGTGGGGTTTTTAATTCAGATCTTTTTGTTCCTGTTGCATACTCACTTCGCCATAGCTGCGAAGCATCTCTTCTGTGAATTAACTGTTCTGGGTCAGGTTTTGTTCCTCCTGTTGTGTCATGTTAATCATACTGGGTGTGCTATTCATTTTTGCCACATAGATACCCCTTTCCGCGGGAACTGGTTCTCAGTTGCCAACCAAATATACAGTAGGATTGATTCCTCTTCCGAGCAGTGACCCAGGTAGTCAGCTTCCTGCGCTGTTCTGTGCGCAACTGTTCTATCTAGCCACATCGCCTCTTCCCCAAAGCGCGGCTCTCTTCAGTCTATAGTGCTAAACCCTTTAGTCAGTTGTTATGCCAGATTCCTTTGCTCCAATACCGTATAATTCTAATGCCAGGTATCTCTTTTACTGGTGCCCTCTTGATGCATAGCATCTTGATGTACCCTGGCATGAGGTAGCTGTATTTTGCAATTGAAAAAAACAACTGTATGCGCAAGATTAGGCCACGAGTCCAGCCTGGCTCTAGCCGGGTAGGGATACTTATTCAATCTCAATAGAAGCTGGGTATTTGAAAGCTTAGACTGTTCCAAAAAACATGAATAGGTAGTGCTATGTGTGTAACTCTGTTCCAGAGATAGGATGAGGGCTGTGTCACAGATGTGAAATGTCTCCAGAATTGCATATTTTGTCATAAGGCTGACTAGACGTTTTTTCTGATTTAGTTATGTCTTAGTTGGCAAGACGGGCATTGCTTTTATATTCGCGGGATCCCGCAGAATATCTTACCCCCGCAGAATCTGCCGACTCATCATCTCTGCGACCTGGTTAGGAGGAAGTTTAGCCATCGAATTTTTACTCTTTTTCAAGATATACATTTCAATCCATCAGATAGACGGCGTATTTGGTGTTTGAAATAGACAATTATTCAAAGATAAGTTTAAAGATAAATTTCAGTTCTCGTTTTCTTGATTATTTGAATTGTTTCTTGAGAAGCGATATCGATATATTAATTATGGATGATGAAGTTATTCACTTTCAACAATCTTGCTTTTCAAACGATGGTTTTGGTTCTTTCGAAATATTTCTGAATTATTAAAGGCCCTTCTGTTGTCCCCTTCTTTATAGCCGAGCTGTGAGCGAATCGTTCTTAAATATTAAAACACATCCACAACGGGCTTAACTGCATCCCAGCGGAATGCGGTAGTGTGAATAACCTAAAATCGGCCGTAACAGTTTCGGTGGATTTTTCAGAAAGGCCTAGCTGCTCATCGCTCGCCTCCTTACGCCCATGTAGTTTTCCATGTAGCTTTTCGTCGTTAAAGATACCCCGGTGTTTACGAGTCTGCAACACAACGATCTTCTTATCTTGAGAAGTATATTTATTGCTGATATCTTTAATTGTGTTTGCAACACAAGCGGGTTTGTCAAACGGGGCCATTCATTCGCTGCTCAAGCCTTTTAATAAATAGCCCATCGCCTCACCAGTATCTTGTATCTCCACGTATCTCCTCATGTTTTAAACTAATTGCACCCAGAGGCTATCATTGAAGCGCTTTTGCAGATAGAGGAGGGTCCACTTTAAATGTTCCGGACATGAAGAATCCGGATAGGTTTCATGCCTTGCTAGATGTCATATTCTTAGAAGAGCGTTTCCTCGCCGCTTCACTACATATTTTGGAGCAGTGGAGGGGTTGAAATCCACTTTTACATGTTAAGGAAATAGAGTCTGCGGGGCGATTGGGTATCTACCCCGAATTTTCAGTTTCACCATTTTTGACGTCGTTGAACACAAGGGTTCAGGGATCCTGATCGTGTTCACAATCACTGCGTCGAACAACAGTGTTTTTTCGGAATGGTTAAGTTCCTGTTCTGCTACTTTCAGTAAGCGGGGGCTTTTAGAGGTGAGGGCCCCGGTAGCGCGCTGAATCAGTATGAAAATACGCAGTGGAACAAAGCCAGGTTTAAATGATTAGCGATCGCGTTTAAGCAACGCTGTTAGAACACAGCCCTTGCAGTTCAAATGAAATAGGAACCATTGTCGCAGTCGCAGTTGGACAGGAAAGCTAGCGCGCAGTTCGGTTTTAACTTTTGTTTTTCATAGGTCATATTTTCCAACTCATTTTGGTTTCGCATATTGGGTCATCAGAATTAGAATTCCCTGCAAATACGTTCTCTGCAGACGGAGAGGACAAATAAGTGTTCCTAAACTGGTGACCTTGCAATGGCTGTGCTTCCTGAAGGGCCACGATACAATACATTCAGGTGGATAAAAGTTCAAACATACAGAACCCGAAAAGCATAGCGGTCACAGTTTTCATTGGTCGCGAGAGTAAGCAACTGAGAACAAAATCAATTTGCCACACCCAAACCCCGCCCCGTTTTTATTGTTTTGCTGAAAATGGTTGTCACACCCCAAGGGTATTGTCCGACCGAAGGGTAAACACAGCAAACACGTTTCTTTATGTCTCATTCGACAAAAGCGCGAGAGATCACTCACAGATCTGTGGAAAGCAGTGGCGTCACCACGGGGTGGACTGGGGTGGACAAGTCCACTCCAGTTTTCCCAGAAGACGATTTTCTAATTTCTCGAAATCCGTTGAAAAACCTTGGGGGAGGAGGGGAGTTGGGTCGATCAGATTAATTTCGACTTTCGCTCTGGCAAAAAGCCCCCGTTGCAAAAAATGCTGCTTGAGAAAGTTGCTTGTCCAAAAATTTCAAAATAGATAAAAATACCAAAAAAGGATTTTGTCCACCCTAGTTTTTTCGAGCTGGCGACGCCACTGGTGAAAAGCCATTTTTTCTTCCAATCATCATTTGTATTTCAAATTTTGCAGGGTATTTGTTTGCTGGAGTTCCTATCCCGTGCGAGTGGGCTCCTTCTGAAAATAGGGGCTGGTCCTTTAAATATGAAATCAAAGAAAAAGCAGCTTTTCGGATTTTTAATAAAACTTCTTTATAAGCACACCCTATAGCAATATTGTTGGGTCAAAGTTTGGCGAAGTTGTTTTAATCTTCAGTCGCATGTTTTACTGTTTTACTCGATGAATGCAAGTCGGCTAATAAAACAGGAGACACGAGCCTTACATTTTTGATCGGTGCTTGCCGAATATCGATAAAATCATAAATTTTTTGATTTGCTACCTCACACCATCTCGAAAACCTTCCTGTTTAATCTAACTTTTGGTCGATATTGAACGGAATAACAAACCCATTTGAATTGTAGGCCTTTTCAAAGCACATGGTAAAAGTCGAACTTTTCTTGTTGTTTTTTCCATTGAAACAAGCTGCTATTTATAATCGCAAATCGCTTGCTTGCAATAGAGGAAAATTGAAAAGAAAACATTGATATGAATTGGCTGTTTTGGGAAGCATGCGTGATCGAATTTTCTTTGTGATAGAAAATCGACTTCTTCACATAGTTTCCAGTAAACTGTTTTTTAGATCTTGCCGTCGAATAGTTGTTGTTTTTGTTATTTCTTCATCAAATATTCACTTTGTTTATGATTACAAATCTCAGGACACCCGCTGAACATTTCCAGCTACAAAACAAAGTCGAGCTTTCTTTATCGCCTTTGAATATGTATATTTTTCTCTCCATTCTTTGATTTTTTGTTTTCTGTTCAGTCCGTGGAATGTTTTCAACTGACTATGATTGGCTTGGCAACTACACTGCGCGGCTGCGCAATATTCTTCAAAGCTTCCGGTAGGCCTAAACTCGTGAAATTATCCGGAAATGCTGGCCGTTCCAGAAGCATAAATAGAAGATTATGATGTTGGATAGGGATTATTGCATCGCAGACTTTCATATTTTTTCATTTTCCTCCACTTCTATTCTGGGAATTTGGGGGTCACCACTATAGTCAAAACAACGTAGTCGCATTTTGCTCTGCTATTGAAAGTCAACGCCAAAGTTGTTTTATGAACAAGCATGTTTGCTCTGCTCAAGTATTCGAATGAGTTGTTGTTTTCAGGGCTATGACGATCGTCTGATATGCTTCTTAGAAAGCGACGTTTCTCGTATTCTCTTATGTTTTTTTATGGAAAGGGCGGAGGGGGCGGAGGAAGCATAGGCAATTGATTTGCTGCCAGATATTTCGTATTCAAATTCTTCTGTTTCAAAAAATACGAGCCCAGGCCTCCAACTTCGGGTGCAAAGTAGCATGTGTGGTTATGCACTTCATTTTTTTTCGCCCAGAATAGATAAAAATGGCACAAGGTCGAACACTGATAAAACAAGGGCAAATACGGCTTTCTTGATTTCTCGACAATTTGAGTTGTGAATACAGTATTGCGAATCTTAGGAAGTGACCAATATATATCGTTTCTTTCAGCGACCTAAGGGGAAACGAGATAACAAGAATTGATGATGACGACATCAAAGGACTGTCCAACCTAAAGGAATTGTAAGTCCCTTGAAATAATTGTTGTTTGTGCAAACCAGACTACGGATTCCAAATTGATCTTGTGTATGTTCCTTAGGAGATATTATTTGAATTGGTACCATAACTATCGAAGTGATTACACTTGCACTTGGCTGAAGAAATTCACGTTTTTGAAGTTTTGTAGCTTTGTATGAATTAATTTTTCAAAGTAAAGTGAAAACTATTTATTTCCATTCTAGTGAAACGTAACTGCTAAACAACTTTTTTGTTTAATATGATTTCGTCGTTAGTCAGGATAGCACAGAGATCTCATATCCACTTGTATACTCGTTCAGACGTATTGCTAATTAATGTCAACACTGGATATCTCGGGTAAGCCCTCCTTCACAACCACGCCATTTGATAAACCATGTTCCACTTAGCCAATCTTATGATCTGAAACTCGGTATATTTTCCCAGCTCTGACGTCTGCAGAAGCTTTCGGGACTAGTTCAACAATAATCTAATCTGCAGAACATTTAAAAGTGATCACTCATAGTTAATATTTGCTTTCCAATTGTTTCATTTCTATCCTGTTGCCGCAGGGCTTGATTTAAAGTGCGGTTTAACGCTCCAAAAGTATCCGCCAGCTAAAGAAAAAGGACTAGAGAGGACAGAAGTTTTCATAATTGGGTGAAGGGACAAGTGATCTTTTGCCCCTCCCAGTTGCCCCTCCCAGTTGCCCCTCCCAGTTGCCCCTCCCAGTTGCCCCTCCCAGTTGCCCCTCCCAGTTGCCGTTTGCAAGGTACAATTGCTGCTTGTTTGCGTTAGAAAACCTCATGTGACCTGAATATTTTTGCCATATTTGAATAAACACAAAGTCAAATTGCCCATGAGAAAATCCTAATCCAGTACATGCGAATCTTAAAAGCTTTTAGGCTATAATTAAAAGTTCTTGCTAAAATCACAAATTCTCAGTGTATCGGCAATACCGGCGTTAACATTGAATAAAGCGCACTTCGAATCCCTTTCTATGGCAACAGAACTCTTTTCTGTCAGTAAAGTATCGTTTGAAAGGCAGTTTTTCTCGATGAATTTTGTCGATGACCATTGGTGAGATCACAGCCTTTCAACAATAGCCTTTCAACAATAGCCTTTCAACAATAGGTTATACGATAAAATTACACTTTCTCCAGTCAGCGCTCGTTTTATTCGGGGAAAGGTAAGAAGTAAACGGAACAAGACACCACAACAACGGCAGGGAAGGAACAGCCTATTATTTATTTACTATTTATTCCTTCTTTGAAGTTGACAAACTGACTAGCAACTCGACTAACCATTTTTGAACGAGCCGTTGAACGTATTGATAACGAGAACCTTTCGCTGACGGAACGTGTTGCCAGGGAGCACTTTCGATGTTTGTTTGCATGTGCCAATTACTCGCATCTTTGTATATTCATACAATGTTTTATTTATCTATTTAGGTATCTAGATGACAACAAGTTGACTGCATTTGCTGCAGTTGGAAAACTGACCTCACTAGAACACCTCTCAGTGTAAGTGTAAAATAATTTGATAAGAACGGCCTAAATCTCTATCGGACATAATGATTTAGAAACATATCCAAGGGCAATCAAAGTACAGAAGAGACGGGGCTCAAAACCCTGGTGACGATTCAAGATTTTGTAGTCATGCAGACTAAATGAGTTGTGGGATTTTTAGATTTGGCAGCCGGAAGAAATATAATGATGTTAAATTGAGGAGACTCTGTAGGCATAAATAGTGAAAGAGCTGGGAAATTGATAGTAATTTTTCTTTATACAGAGGGTGTTGAAACCTTTCAAGCGATACAAGTGAATAGCTTGAAGAAGTGACCATACATATACTGTATCGCGGTTATAACCATATCGAAATTGATACCGTATTGAGGCTAAGACCATATCGAAGTTGAAACTGTGTCGAGGTTAAATCAGGTTCCCTCGTCTCACCAATAATTTTGTAAAGTTTTTTAAGGTTTGGAGCCGAAGAAAGTACAAGTAACGACCTCACTTTTTTCCTTTGCAGTTCAAAGAACAAAATAACCACCATTCCCAATGGATTGCTGTCAAATTTGTCCAATTTGAAATGGCTGTAAGTTAAATTTTATCAATGCTTTGTTGTTACTGAAATACTCTTAACTTTGAATAACGCCGTTAGAAAGCAGTGGTCACGAGCTTAGAACCCCCTATCTCAGAAGAATTAGTCTTAAAAATGCTATTGCGTTTAATAGTTGAATAGACGGAAGCCTGTTTAAATTTCCTAGCAATCTAGCTGTTATTGTGTCAAGGTAACGTAGGCCGTGTTAAGATGACATACTTCTTGTTAAGGTGACGTACACCGTTGTTAAGGTGACATACTTCTTGTTAAGGTGACGTACACCGTTGTTAAGGTGACATACCTCTTGTTAAGGTAGCGTACGCCTTGTTAAGGTGACGAACTTCTTGTTAAGGTGACGTACACCTTGTTTACTGGAATTCCTGCACGCATGCAATATTAACGTGTTTGTTGGGAAATGCCTACTTTAGTTCTGACACAATTTCATTAAGAGTTAATAGGTGCTCATGTTTTTTTAATCCCCTTTTAGTTCACCATTCATTGTAGGGTAGGCTTTTTTTGTTCTTACTGTACTGTAATCATGTTTAAAATTGATCACCCTTAAGACTAATTAGTGGTTAGTTTGTGATTGTAAAAGTTAAGAAAGAGTCCTTAACAAAATTTCTCACGGTTGCGTTAAGTCAGTTTTGACCAAAATTTTAGAATCGACAGCCACCGGCAAAACCTGGTGGCGATATGCTTATAAGTGTGAGAGTCAAACTTCTAGGTTTCGCTACCGTTGTTTGGACGCATTGACCGCTATTCTGCGAAACTAACTCATTAATAATTTGCTAGTATTCTTCGTTATCAGTAGATGAGTTTACATCTTGAAGATGATCTCCCATTTTGGTTAATTCTATTCTAAAAAGGCCTGATATGATTTTATGAAGGTAGGGTAAATTTTTGGCGCGTCAAAAATCACGTTCCCGTTTCGCGCGCTTCCAGTCCTGTTCATCTTAGTCTGTTCATCTAGTGTTTCCGTTTTCTAATTTTCATCATCATGGTTTAGGAATAGGCAACACTGCTAGGTATCATCATAATGCGCAATTCTTCTTATTAAAAAAGCAGTAAAACTCATTTCTATACATTGTTTAAATTGTCAGCACGGTGAAATATGCCGCTTGTTCTGCAGCTACCCGCGTTTTACTGCGTTTCCTCAGCGGCTCTCGGATGATTGTGAGTCATGTTTTCGACTCTTTCAGCGACTGTTGCATGGCACTCTTTGCATGCTCCGTCGAATGCTTTTAAACAGGTGGCATTTGGGCGGCTTGGGAAGGCGGGTCCTCAGTAAAATATTACGTAACAGCAAATAAATGCATTGCGCGAACAGTTTCAATTGAATTGAATACCAACACCAGTTTATGTGGAAATTTAATTTGCGAAAACATTTCCTTAAGAGATTAATTTCTCCAATTTTTGAATACCCGCGTATGAATGTAGAGATCTCGAACCGGTAATTAAGAAGCGTGCATGCATTGATTAATGGATTTCTGCGGTATTGGAATCGACCGCAAACGCAGCATTACAAGCCGTTTCAGCATTCACTAAAAGTCATTTAGTCATGGAAAGAAAAATAGCGGGCTAAATTGAAACCACGCTTGTAAACATTGTTTTTATTTCGTCATCGCAATGTCATCGTCTCGAAACGTTTTCGTGTTTTTGGTTTCGCTCTCTGTACTTTATTTTGCTTTCAAATGGGAAATCCTGCTAAATTTCGTCCTTTGTCTGGCCTTTATTTGTTAGTTTTGGTTTATTAAGGGACGTATTTTTGGCATAATATATCATCATTTATCGAATATACTGTGCATTGGCATGAACCAAGATCTGTTGATGCCATTTTAATTACGCTCTATTTCTGCACGTCGTTCGTGGCTTTTCTCTAAACGCTGCAAATCTTATTCCACATAATAACCGAAAATTGACTCGGTGTCGTGAGAAACCTCGCATTCCACCTTTAAGCTAGGTTTAGTCTACTTCAGGCTTATTCAAGTATTATTGGTCCCGTGTTTTGTTGATTTTTTCATCTGATTATTATCTCTTTCAGAGACTTGAGTCACAATGAGATTCTTGAGCTGCCAAGAGATGCGTTCCCTCCGGGCTCTTCCTTGGAGTATTTGTGAGTACATAATTGGCTGTTTGGTCTAAGAGGGGCAAAGGCATATGTCCCTATTATTCTGTGAAGCGTCTCTGCAGGAGCTTAGTTTTACCATAGAAAAAAAACAAAAATTTTGATGTAATGATATTGAAGTTAAGATGATGAAGTAAATAAATAAATATATATGAGCAATTTAAGCATAGAAGACATTACAAAATTTATGATAGAAGACGCTCCTCGGCTATCTACAGTTGAATGAACTGCTAGTCTCGAGGAGGGCGGATTTGCTGTTTAACATCCCCCTGCCCCTAAAGAACTGACTCCCAGATGTTTTTCGTTAGATTTTCCAACAATATTTGGCTCGCCACCTCTCCGTTTAACATAAAAAACCTTGTTTGATCTATCCAGTCACCAAATTTTGTAGGATAATTACCTATCATTGACTAGCTTTTAGTATAATTGACTCCCCATTAGCTATTGTTCAGTACTTCCCAAAGGTAATTTTTTTGAAAGAAATTGCAATGTCCCAGTATTTAATATTCGTGTATAAAAAAGATACCCAGTGCTTTTTCTTGCTCTACGTAGAAGCAAGGTGATAACTGGAATTCATTTTATGATTTTATTTCTATTAGCATCCTAGTGTTTTGATAAACCTGATTGCAATAATTTGTTCTTATTAACAGAGATCTTAGCTACAACAACCTTACGTCAATGATCAATTTAGTAGAAGTCCCTATGCCAAACTTGACGCATCTGTGAGTGAATATTGTCAAACGATTTTCTTGTTTTTTTTTAATTCTTAAAGAAAATAGCTGTAAAAAGTACAGTTTTAATTACAGTCTTATAGCCAGCTTTGATTTTATTGTCTTTGATATCAGAAATTGACAATAAACTTGGAAATATTTATTGTAAAAGCTAAGCTGGTGATGACGTTCGTCTTCGGATTGTACTATAGAATTGAAGAGGATCGATATACGGGATAATGCGGCATGATGCAATTATGGTGATCATTGCGATCTAACCACAATGCATGCTAAAAATACTTGGTAAAAAAGGTCGATTTTCATGCAATTGGAAGCTGGATATCCAAAGAAAGATTCGCATTTTTAAATAAATCTTTTTGCGTAAAGGGAAATTCTAGACTTCGCCTACGTCAGCAGATATAATGATGAGAATATCTTTCTGATATCTTAAACTTCAAAAAAGAAGCACACAAAAAATTCGCATGAAAAATTTACAGGTTTCAAGACATGACAATTTTAAAAGACATCGGCGAAATTTTAGGATAAGGTCATCGATGGGTATTTATGAGAATATTGTTTGCAATAATATTGATAACAACGATTTGCAAACATGATAACATTGCAATTGAAAACGTTTTTAAGGCAGATAGGAAACAATGCTTGTAGACTAATAAGTGGCAAAAGTCTTACATCTTACTTGTTTTTTTTGCAGAAAACTTGGTTACAATAAGCTAAGTTCACTGCAGTGTCAAAGTTGTAGAGTGGAACAACGACGACATTTTCAAAATGTGAAAATCCTGTGAGTAGTTACTTGTAAATCTGCGTCTCCATTCAAATTTGCTTTCCTTGACCACCTTGTCAATTTTGGTGCCCATCCAACGTACTTTCCTATGACTTGTGTACGTAAAATTTCAAGATAACCGCGGAGTTTGAAACGTTTAAGATTGACATTTTATAGATTGGTAATTGCAACGAAAGCTTAAGGAAATGTAGGTACAAATCGAAGTTTTAAGAGAGAAAGAGTGGCGCCTTTGATTTGTCCCTTGTTTTTACCAATTGGCGAACTTTTCTGTCTATTTATATCAAGGCTTCGGTTCTGATTTAGACCGACTTTAGGAGTTCCCAAAATTGCTGTAAAATGTCCGTTCGTTTCCCCAGCATGTATAAATATCTCAATTGTTCGATTGTGTGAGCGATGCATTCATTCTTTTCTGTTCGCTCGCTCACTATCTTATTGCTTATCAAACTTTAAGCTGAATTATCAAGTGGTTGCTTCACTGGCTTACTTAGTCTTAAGAGAAATCCGTGAAATCCAAATGGGGAATTTTATAATCCCAGAGGAATGCATGTTGAATAAGGAAATCCCCAGAGATACCGTTTTTCATTTGTTTTGTTGGAGTAGCGATATGTGGGATCCTTCAATCGGAAATGGCGCATTTGTTTTACTTGGATATGGGTATTTAATAGATACATACGGCAGTAGAGCAATTCTCGAACACACAAAGAGTTGGAAAGTTGACAGTCTTCCTTGTTGCCTTTTGCTAACAGAAAATCTTTGGTCTTACGTAAATATTTGATTATGTATTCTGACTTTGGTTTTACTGTTCATTTTTCAGAGAACTTAATAACAATGAGATTGCCACCGGAGTCAATTTTTTCTTCTCACATTTCCCATCACTTTTAAAGCTGTGAGTTTCTTATCATATTCAAATCTATTTCAATATTTTGACTCTTGAAGTTATCAACAATTTTATATGCTTTGTCCTCGAGAAGCACGCGCAAGCAGTGTCCCAAAAACTGGCTGCTGTAAGGGCTGTCGCCGTAAGGGTTGTCGCCGTAAGAGTTGTCACCGTAAGAGTTGTCACCGTAAGAGTTGTCACCGTAAGGGTTGTCACCGTAAGGGCTGTCACAGTAAGGGTTGTCACCGTAAGGGTTGTCACCGTAAGGGCTGTCACAGTAAGGGTTGTCACCGTAAGGGTTGTGGCTATTCGGATGATGGCTGTAAGGGTTGTGGCCAGAAGGATAGCGGCTTTATGGGTGAGGGCCTCAAGAAAGGGCATTAAAAGCAATATAATTTCAGGCTACACTTTCTTCCAATTGTGGTTGGATTAAGGTCTCGAACTTTTCTCTCATTTGCCAAAGGCTGGATGAACATGACTTTGCTCATAGGACCAGTTTTATAGATTTTTCCAACCTTTTTTCAACCTCTTCAAAAAACTTTATATATTAAATTGAATTTATTCCCAGTTGTTGCTTTTTAGAACATTTCCTTTTTTGATTTAATTTACCAATTAATTATTTATGGGAGAATGGGATTTGGGAAAATATGCTGAGCTCGTCGCGAGTTGGAGTCCTGCTCTTACACCAACTTATTGATTTAAACTTGTGTATTACTGTTGCTTCTCGATATTTGACAGTGATAAGCAGTGCGTTGCTAAGGAGCTAGATGCTGTTACTATATTTGGTATATCAATCGCTAAACATTGTCATAAAGACGGGGGTGTCGTATTTTGTGCTACAGTATTAGACCCTAGAAGAAAATACCACGAGTCTCATACATGACACTTAGACATCAGAATTTGTATTATCAAAAATCAAGGACAGATTTTTGGATTTCACGTTTCCTTCACCCAGTCCTATGTTGATATTTGTTAATAAAAACACATGCGCCAACATACTAAAGGGTTCAGTTTCTCTTCTTTACACATACGCAAGTGGCTATTTAGTCGTAAACTACTGCTTATAGTTTCAGGTCTCCACCAGTCCTGAAAATATGTTCTACAAAACCATATTTTGTCTAAAATACCCCCCTGTAACAGTGACATTATTAAATTGCAAAATTATCTTCTTTCGTAGATATCTTTCTCACAATCGGTTTCAAACGATCAGTGTGGGTGTTTTGCATGGAGCTTCACAACTGGAAGAGTTGTAAGTGTCTCGAAATCATGATTGCCTCTTTTAGATGGAATGGAACGATCATTCAGATCTTTTTGTGAATTTTGAATGCAAAGCTTTTTCAAATTTTTCCCTTTCCCAATCTAATCTTAGACAAGGCTCTTCTTTCTAAGTATAATTAGTTCAGCCATATGATTGGTGTTCGTTCAGAGATGTCTAATAAACTATGTTTTTCCGACTTCTGAGATTAACAGGAGCTCATAAGCAAACTCTGATCTTTTTTAGATACCTGAATGGGAACAGCTTGCAGTACCTCACTTTCAATATGTTCTACATGGGGAAAAAGTTAAAAGTATTGTAAGTTGACTTTTCCACAGCACGGTTTTCTTACAGTTTTCTTACAGATTGTTTCTAACGATCAAGGACGAACAAAGTTTCTATGCCAAGAAGCTGTCATTCTGCTTGACCAGCTATTGGCCAAATTGTAATGAATTGGGAGTCAATATGAAGCCTGTGTCATCAAACATGTTTTCCCTTGCAGCAGTTGAGATTTTAACTTTCCAAACCAGCTTCTAACATATAAAATGCATATTGCAATATTCAACATGTGTGTCAGGTAGTAGTTGAAATACTAAAGGTTTTTGTTGAAGTGATTTTGCTTTCTTTCGTTCCAGGGACATCAGTGAAAACAGAGTTAAGGGAATCGAGCCAAGGGCCTTTGAACAGGCGCTTAACATTGAACAACTGTATGTTTTCTTCAGCATTTTTCTTATTATAGCTTTTTAAAAACCTTAATTTCAAAAGCAACAAAAAAATCAATGGTTGTTTCATCTTCACTTTATAGTTTTTTCTCAGTTAAGTCTTTTTCTAATGTTTTTTGATTTATTTTATCCTTCTACCAGCGCAGAATACCAAATCCAACCTATTTGCTTCATTTTCATTAAATTTCATTTGCGACTAAACCTCTGATGGAATTGCCAAGTAAAATGGACGCCCAACGGCCCTAGTGAAAGCAATCTTTAATAAATTCTTATTCTTCTAAATAATAAATTTTCATTCAGTTTATTTTAAACTCCCTTAGATACTTTTCATTGTAAAATAGTTTTAGATATTAATTTGTAAATACCAACATTATTTGACAATATTATATAAGTAATTGTAATAATCAAATACAGAATATTACACAATAAAACGAATAGGTATCAAAGAAGTAAGAAACTGAACGGGAGGAGTTTTTTTGGGCCTAAGTCTCTGAAGATATTTTACACTACTACGACCTTTAAATCGTACTTTTAATTTTCATTTATTTACATATTTACTGTTATATTGATTGCATATTGTACGTTTATTAGGAATCTTGCCGGAAACCGCCTCAAGAATCTTGTCTCGCGCCCGTTTGCACCTTTGAAAAAGCTTAAATATTTGTAAGTATGCAAATCAATTTTGATTGACAGTTGTTAAATTATTCCTATCCATCAAGTCAATGACTTTCCCTTGTCCATTGTTTGCTCGTTAAACCTGGCGTTCCTAGAAATGTATATATATATATTTATAAAGTATCTATTTGCTGTTTGCAGAAATTTGGAAAGAAACGAAATCAGAAAGATATCAAAATCGGCCTTTGAAGATTTATTCTCTTTGCTGCGATTGAATTTGAGCAACAACCAAATATCTTTAGGCCAGAGTGACCTGGATACCGCATTCAAGCCATTGCTACGTCTTCGATCTTTGTAAGTATGCTCGCACGTTGTCAAATTTTTTTAAGATGTGAAGTTACAAAATTCTGCCATTAAAGTTTATGTATAAAACATGTTAAGTATCATGGTTTGCTTCATAAGCCGTGGTTTTTGCACTGTGGATTCAAACAAAGCAATCCATACCAAAAATGATTCTTTAGAATGAAATTACTTTAATTGTTTCTTAATTGACTCTCAAATAGTATCGCGTTTAAGACCTACTTAAAAAGTTTCTTATCTTCCACCAACATAGGATGAAATTACTCAATCTTAGGATTTCGTTTTTACAGCTCCGTAATCTATTGTGTTTTTTGTCCACACAGGGATCTTTCCGGAAATCAAATAATGCTGATTCCAAGGAACGCATTTCGTGGACTGCACAATCTTGTTTCGCTGTTAGTACCCTTTTCCTTTTTAAACATTAATAATAATTAGAGTAGAACTGTTTAGAAATTTTTCGGTTGGACTTTGTGGATTTCTTTAAATTAATGTTGTCATCGGCAGCTTTGGAAAATTATAAATCGAAAGGATTTAACTGATTATACCCCTCAAGTGACTTTGAATTTCGATTCTGTATTACTACTTAAAATGCGATCCAGGAATCTAAAGGAAGTTAAACCTGCTCATTTAATTTAGGAATTCGATTCCATAATTTGATTTTGTATCAGTGTAGGGTCTTAGTCATGTCGGTGAAGGCTGTTTTCGAAATCGTAGGGCAGCTGTTTTCAACTGTTCTCATTTTTCTGTACTTTTGTCTCCCATCTGCATTTGCAAAGGGAAGAAATAGGGCCAACAAATTTTAAGATCACAATTTTGAATATATACGGGTTTATCGGTTATGCACCTTAGTTTCAGACCTGTTCAGTCTTATAGATCTACAAGTTGATGTCTATAAATTAAACATAGAAATATATACATATATTTATACATGCTAGTTATGTATAGAACATGACGGTTCTCAAATGCTACTCAGTTTCACGCTTTATACGATCATCAGGCAATTGGTCATTATGTTTTTTATATGAAGTTATATCCTAGTATTGACCGCCAATATTTTTTCAGGAACTTGACTTCAAATGATGTTATAATTGTGCAGCCCAGAGCTTTCTCAGATCTTACAATGATCTCAGAGATGTAAGTTGGCCTTTGTGTTTATGAATATGATTTTTTGCACAATGTGTATGTAAAGTTAAAGAGGAGTTGTTTTTCTTGTTTTCCTGTGTTTTCATCGTCTGCTATTTCTCTGCAGTAGTATTTTCATGCTTTATTATCGTCCATTATCATTTATTCTTTAATTTCATTTGTCATCTAATTTTTTTGACCGCCCATTTTTTTAAGTCATTGCTGGAAATTGATTACAAAACTGTCATATTTGAAAAGACTTCAATTAAAGTATGATTATAAATTATTAGGTTAATTCATTTTATCATGAATAAATGTCATTAGTAATGTAGTTATTGAAATGCTTTCCTATTGGAGTTTTGACGGCTCAAAAATCAATTAAAAACTTACATATTAATAAAGAACGATACACTTTCTGACTTATTGGATACGTTTGAAAAACTTTTCCTTTCAAATTGTGAAGAAATACCACAAGAACCGTCCAGTTTTTTAGGGCAATCCTGCGACAGAACTTATTAATATACTGTACATATTTTTTAATTTCAAATTTTTATCATGGTGCATGTGATACAGAATAAAATTTATTAGTAATAAATAGGCCACTTTGACAAAGTAGTTTGTTTAGGTTCCAGTCTCAAGTTTTGTACCCTTGAGTATTGTCCCCCCCCCCTTTTCGTAACGTCGTGAATTGATTTTTCAATGTCCAATCCTCAGGAGGCTGATTGCTCCTAAGTTAATTTGTGACTGTTCTACACGATGGCTCCGCAATTGGGTCAGGCTGCACTCCTTCGAGAAGACTGTTATTGGCAAATGCAAAATGCCTTTATGGCTTAACGGGAAAAGCCTGCTCGAAATCGACGACAGTGAATTTGTTTGTGGTAAGATCTTTAAAAACTTGAATATCTTGGAATCTTCGATTTTACCGTGGAAATATGTAGAGATAATAGTAGAGATTTTTCTTATAGCAGATAAATTCCATAAAACATCTGGTACCTAGCACCCTTGTTTTGACATAAAAGTATTTGTTTCATATATCTAAAGTATTTCTTTCTAATTCTAAATTTTTTCACTTTCAGCATCAAAAGTAAATAACTCAATAAAACCAGAAATCATAGTCCATCCTAAGACACAAGAGATCCGAAGACACTCGAATGTTACTCTTCAGTGTGTTGCCACAGTACTGTTTCCAGATACACCACAATTTGGATTAACATTAGATGACAGAAAAGCAAGAACATCGATGAACATGGAATGGTATTATTACGGGAGTGATGACACCGAACGTTTCATCGAAGACAAGCTTGTCAAAACCTCCCCCCAAGTAAGACCATTTAAGAATACTCAGTACATGACACTTTCGTCTTTCTTTTCCATCAGTATCATCTTTGTACGCTGGATAAACTAAAGAGTTGAGGGAATTGTGATCACAACATGTCATTTCACGTTTAAAATTTTTTCAATGGCAACTTTGAAATACACCGACTAAGCATTTAGCCCGCAGTATTGTATGTATTTATGGGGTTTGTAGTCATCGCCATCATTTGCATTCTTAAAAAGGTATTGAAAAGTCTTGAAATTTTATCTAATTAATGTGGGTCGAGGTTGTTTGCGAGGCTTCGATCTGCATTCAATTTCTTACTTTTCATGCGAAATTTTACCAGCTTGGATTGATATAACTATTTAGGCAGGGAACCGCTAAGGAAACAATCTCTATTAATTTTTAGTTTAAAGACAATCTCTAAGAGCAAATGATGGCAACGAAATGACGGGTTGTCTTATTTATCAGTACCACTACCTAACTTAAATTCGTGCCATGGGCATGTCTGCCATATGCGCCCTTGGCAAGAGAATTACAGCTTATTAATGCCAAATTTAGACTAAAAAATGAATAACTCCTGATCATGTTGAACGCTATCTGATCTCTCAGGGTCCAGGTGTCACCCCCCCCCCCTTTTCCCCCCGAATCTCCCTAAAATACCCGCCCTCTTCTAAGTACCAATGTATAGACTGAGTTCCTATGACTAATGAAAGAGGCTTCCATTCACGCTAATTTGCACCGTCTTAATTATTTTGCAGAAACATATTGGTATGCGTGTTTATCGTCGAATGAGCGAGTTGACTTTGCGGAATGTTGATTATACTGATGTTGGACGATATAGGTGCCATGTAAGGAACTTTTATGGGGACGAATGGTCGCAGAAAGCCAATCTAACCGTTGTTGGTGAGACAGTTAATTGCTTGGCTTTGTTTGTATATCGCTTAATATTGTTGCACACGTTGTACATGTGGACATTTTATTTCTCATCGTCACGGTTTCCATGACTGTGGCATAATGTTAGGCAGCACAAAGTGTCTATTGGCGCAATAAACATCATGATATCGTTCGTATGAGTCATAATATGACAGCAAAGCCACGTCTTTTAAAGTGCGCTATTATAAACCTGCAATCTCCACTTACTTTAGTAGTAAATCTCTAAGGAGAGCGCAAAGTGTTATCGGAAAGTTCTTTTCAGAGATCCATGGCTCTTTGTTTCTTCAGGGCATCATTTGCCCCCCCCCCCCCTCTCCCCTTGGTCTACAAAGCTATTGGTAAGAACCTTTGTTTTGAAACTGGTAGATAGACTCTCTTTTCTTAAGTGTGTAGGGGGTTTTTCTTAAGAGTAAGTCCGTAAAATTTCTTGAACGTGGGTTAAACAGCAACAAAATTATCTTTATCTACCAACCCCAAACCCCCATTCCCAGTCTGGACAGGCCATGTTACGCCGCTGGTGTTTTTGAATATATTTGTACTGAAGTTATCTCTATTAAAACTTCTACTTTCATAAATGTAGAAAATAAGAATTACCGCAACGGGCCGGGAACAAAAAACAAGGAACACAAATAGATTAAAAATATTTAATACCCAGATGTGGATCGAAGTAGGCCTATCAGAAAAACGCAAGCACATGACCGGTACAGTTGTCCAAAGTGAATTAAAGCTACCATTATATAATTTACTTGTGTTCTCGACGCGTTGCCATGTTTCCTTTTTTTTTACATTTTATTTCATTTCATTGCATTTCATTGCAGTCCGTCGAGCAGTTTGCTACCGTGGTCTTTCCTTTATTTGCATGCACTAAATATGCCTTTTTCTCGCACAGTCTTTCCGTACTTCGTCAAAAAGCCGAAGGACACTCGAGTCAGGAGTGGAGTCTCGGTCCAGATTTCATGCTCGGCCAAAGGGAGCCCAGTGCCTAGTATTAAGGTGAGCTGGAAGAAAGGTGGCACGTTTCCAGCGGTTGATGAAAAGCGGTTTTGGATTAGCACCAGTGAAGATGGCTACAAATTTGGAATCAGTAACGTGAAAATTCATGACAGCGGAGAGTACATTTGCTCAGCTTCAAGTAGAGTTGGAACCATCAACTCGAGCATGATTCTCACGGTTATAGGTATGTGGTTTGCAGTCTTGTTTCCTACCCTTATGTGCTGGAGCTTTCCCTTTGAAAGCATCGTGTTTCCAGTACTGCATCAATAACATAACCCAATAATTTGTGTGGGTTACAAATTCCTTAAAGTTGATAAGGGGAGTAACAAAACGATCGTGTGCCCGCACGCAATAGTTTTCAGTGTGATTCCAGTAACTCGAACTCGTGATTTTTCAAACTCTGGATAACTCGAACTTCCATTAACTCGAACTGTTTGCATAACCCTTGAACCTTCTCTAAAGTAATTGAAAACCCAATTGTTTCGAGCATTCGTCCACTCAGACTGTTAATATTTCCCCCTCAAACCCCCCCTAATGCATTTCAACCCCCTTATATCTGTAACATTTGTTAACTCGCACCATTTTCATCGCCCCTTTTACCGAAAGCTCGAACCATCGGAACTATACTGTAGTTCAAAAGTCGCAATAAGGCATCAATTCAAGCTGTTACACTATTCCTTTTGCTTTATTCTTTGCGTTCATTTTCCAAATTATGCTGCATAAGTGGCCTAGAGGTTTTTTAATGGTACCTCATTTTGCGAAATTATTGACTTGCAGCCCAACCACAGTTTGTTCGTCCAATGAAAAGCAAGAAAGTGATAGTCGGCAGCACTGCTGTATTCGAGTGCATTTTCACTGGCAACCCAAAGCTTAAAGTCGAGTGGTTCAAGAACAACACCAAGATTGAGAAAGGGAAGAACGGCAGGTTCACTGTCTCGGACCAGCTACTGATCATTCTAGGGGTGCAGTTCAATGATGCCGGAACATATGCTTGTCGGGTTTCAAATACACTGGGAATGAAGTTCCAGACAGCTAAGCTGGCAGTTGTTTCAGGTTGGTTATTTTGTTTTGTGATTAAATAAGATATTAATTCTTTAATATTAGGTTATTTTGTTCTACATTTTAAGATACAACAGGACATGTTAGGATTAGAAATAGCTTAGTTGTAGAAGGCTAGAGTTGAATTCACACGATGCGTGAAAAATGGGTATCAACAATCATATTTTTGTCAGTTCGGATAGGGCCTAGCATTTTTGTTTGTGATGGACCACATGCTTTAGTCAGAACCTCTTTAGTCTGTAAGGCCTTGAAAATAGGTCACATGCCATTTTGATATGGTTTGGACAGAAATTCAAACCAAAGGAATTGAAAATCAACAACGCTGGTGACTTGTATGATTTTTTTTGTAGTATTATTGTGGCCTATACGAAGAAAGCTCTGTCTCTGTCTTACATTCACAGATACCTGACTATTCCCTTTAGGGCTGAAGGAATATGTTGCCAATAAACCGGCAAATTAAGCTCCTTCTAGTGTTTTACAGTTGTTTAATTTATTGTCTCAATTTCAGATGTTTCTGCAATCACAAACGCACCTGTGAATTCAAAAGGTATGCTATTTCCATTTTTTTCTCAATTCACTTATGTTTATACTGCAAATTTACCCAGTATTCAACTCAAATTATTTTGGTATTTTCTGCAACTGATATTTATCGATTGTTATTATAAAAAAGAATCATATGTCAAATATAATTGCATTAAATTCGCCCTAAGGCAATCTGAAAATGAAGTCTAAGAACGTAATTTCTCGTTTGGAAGCTCGTATAAGTGTCTTAACTTTTAGTCTGTTTTAAACGTATTACGTTTATCGTCACTTTATGCTTTCAATTTAGAGAGCGTTTTTCACAATTTCTGGCAAGGTTTGAAATGTAAGTGAAATAAAAGATCAGAAATAAGTGGCTTTTTTATATGAATTTTATAAAGTATCACGTCTTCCTGTTGTATTTGTAGCAATGCCAGTAAAGTTGTTCATTGGCATCATTGTTATCACCGTCATATCAGTGACAATTCTGACGTCACTCGTGTGGGTTGTGCTCATTTGCTTGTGCAAAGGAAGGCGAAATCGATATCCACGCGCCAAGCAGCGACAGAATGTCAGTGCAGAAAATACTGAGCACCAGGAACCCGCTGGAGATATACAGGAAAACTCGAATCCCTTTACTGTGCCGCCTCTTCTTGTCAATGATGGCAGTGGTCTGGTTTTTGGTTATGGTCATCTTTATCCCGATAATCAGAGAAACATTACTGAAAGAGAGATACTTGCGCACATACGAGGCGAAGGAAGTTTATCCGAAAGTATTCCGTTAATGGCGGCAAAGAAATCTCAACTAAGCGACTCCGAGGCTGCAACATCAGGATCATATAATGATCAAAGAGTGGATGACGTTGTCTCAGAACCTGCTCAGCGATCACACGATACATCACATGATACATCGCAGAGGTTTGGCTCGCAAGCTTTTTATGATAGAATCAAAGGAGTTGAACCGAATAGTAGTTCAACCGACGCGTTGAAGGATAGTAAAACTACCGCTTCGCCGCGCAAAGACATGATATACTGCTCGTGTCCCGCCGATATATCGGACGGTTTACTAATAAAATCTGTAAGTGAAACACCACAGAAAAGAACTTCTTCATCGGGGAGAACTTCACACAAAAAGCGGGTGCCACGTCGCCCGTCGCACGCGTTACAGCGGAGAGATATTGACAATGAAGAGTACTATAACAACTACAATAATGCGTCTTCGAGTGGAGTCGAGTCAGGGGAAAGTTCATCGTCCTCTGACTCGGTGTCTGTCACGAACTTTGACGTCACTCGCGCGAAAAGTTCTTCGATATTAGCAGCTGTATAATTATTAGGTTGGTGGTATGTTGTAACAGAAATCGCCTTTACGTGAACAAATTATATTTGGGTGGTTGTCGATAATTTACTGCATTCAAGGGAAACTTCACCTAAAAGAATAAGGGGTATGAATACATTCATGGTGACCTCGTCTTCCTGGAATTAGCCCCATCGTTAAAAGAGGAGCCGGGTATCTCGAGGGACTGTCGTTGCAAGCCCCGCTGTCCTTGTGTTTGAGGTGAATACAAGGGGGTTTGGGGTGACTTATCCTTGCAATTTTCAAACGAATATTCTCTAGAGGATATTCAAAATATATATTTGGTAAGAAAAACGAAACATACCTGTGACACTGGCACGTAAACTTTGGAAGACACATTTGGACGCCTTGAAACCGTATATGTTAGGCTTCCCGGTTTGATTAGAAGCTTTCAGAACAACCTAGCACATATGCAATTTTGTATGTTCAAAACTTTGTTCATCCAAACTTTTGTAAACCCTTTAACCCCTTAGGGCTATTTATGGGCATTGGTATTGTAAATAGTCTTGATTCTTGGGCCTATGTTGCCCCCTTCATGGGGAACTCAATCAGTTCATTTGAACGATAAATTCTTGTATTTCCGGGGGTTGAAGGGTTAAGTATTGATGCCTTCGTTAAGAGAAAATTGCATCGCATGCACATAATTATGTAATTATAAAGAGAGAAAGCTTTTTCACCTGCACGATTGAGCAGTTGCAAATGTTCTTTAAACTTTGTTTTTAAAGACTATTGCATTTAATGCAATACTTTTTGTTGTTAATTTTCAAATTTTATGACAAGATTGTTTATATACCCTAATTTATTAACACTACACGATTGACATGGGAATGTCTCGGAAACTATGCTTTATCGACACACGTTGCGCATAGGGAATCAATCTGTAACAGCTAATATGATCAAGAACTCTGTGTTAGGGACTGCTGAAGCAGGGTAAGGGGGAGGGGGTTTGTTGGGGCTTCAGAGCCCTAATGATTCCTAGAAAGTACTTTTACCTATTTAATATATTGTGGTTGCCCCTAGTTTTCAGTTTATTGAAAACTTTTTAGGCCAAGCGAACCCTCCTGATTTCCAAATATCCGTAATATGATCTGCAGTCACTATTTTAAACGGTATAAACGTCTTTCTTGGGTATACAAGGACGATAGTTCAAACCAAATACCCGACCGGCCTTCAAAATTTTCTGGGCTCAGATTTTTCGAAAAGCTGTTACAAGGCTATTACAAGGCAACGCGTGTCTATTGCATTTCACATGAATAAAGCCTACGATAGTGCTTTTTATTGTTTTCTTTGTAGTTTGGCTGCTTCATACATTTTCATGTTCGCATAAACAGATCCTTGCATTAAAGGCATGCTTAAGGCTGTCACGGTACAGGCATACTCGTTTTCCCTGCTATGGTTTGGAAACGAAGCTGTTTTAACATGGTTTCTTTGTGAAAAATGAGACGGTTTTTCTAGCTAAGGATACTTGTGGGGTTCTACTCACAATCTCTATTCTGGGTTCAGGAATTTTTTCCTAGTCAAGGAACACACCAATAATCATATCTTACAGCCTGTTTCTTTTGTTGTTCGGTGCTTGGAACAACTTGTTACTAGTTTATAGATTTTCTTAGAATGTTGCCTAAATATGGGAAAGTTTAGCTCCACTTGATTAGAGTAAAACATTTCAATGTAATTGACGAAATGACATGAATTGGCAGCCGAGATAGGCCTAATTATAAACCTAAGAAACTGTTCCAAATCTTCCCATTATTCTTCCTAGTGTATCTGTATTTGATGTGTGCCTAATCCCTTTTTACCATGCAAGTACCCTGCCTGCTAAGATCAAACTACACACTGCACCCTTCCAACAGTTTTGTTTGGTTGTGTTCTTCATGCTCCCTGCCTTGGAAGCATTTTACGAAGAGCAATCACGAAACGGGGGGCTAGTAAAGCAAGCCAACTTTTTGGTACGTCGATTTATATTGCCTGTTGTCATCATTATTTGTAACTTATTGTATCACCTTTGGATGAATTAATTTGTTTGTGTAAAGTTGTACATACTAGAACTTGTGACACGATGAATTGCTATTAAAACCAAAGTCAAATTTGAAAATTGGTTATTTTTGTTGCATGCTATCTATCCAACACATTATTTACTAACAGAGATCAGGAGTGTGTTTAGGGGAGGGTTCGTTCTTCATTCGGACGGTACCTTTTGGCTCCTAAAACCTTTCTAATAACGACGTGTTGCATGCAGGGCCGCCGATAGGCGGCCTGGACCCTGGGGCAAAGTCCCGGTTGGGGCCCAAGAGTCGGATAAAATTTTTTTCGAGACCACGCCCTTTATAAAATGGGAAACGCCCATTTTTTTCAAACGTCTGCGCACGTTTGCTTTTTCAGTTGCAAATTGATCAATGATATTGTCGTAATCAATTTGTCTTGCTAGTTTGTGCTCGATCGAAAGAGTCACGAGGCTTGATAGTCTGTCTTGAGTCATTGTTGAACGTAAGCGGTTCTTTATTCATGCTAGTTTGCTGAAAGGGGCCCCAAAAATATAATATAGCTTTATGCAACGAGTCTAAATGCAAAAATAACTCACTTGAACGGGCCATAGATTCAAACAAGATTATGTGGGTTACCTAATTTTTTATCAGGGCTCCCTTCCCCCAATTAGTACGATTTTGCGAAACTCAGGGAAACTCAGCTTAAAAGAATAATCCGTAAAATATGTGATCTAAGGTTTATTCAGCTTTTCTCGGGGCCCCAGACTCAATAAATAAAGCTGATAGGCCTCAAATTCAAACAAGACTCGGTGTACGGACCCAATGAAATTACTGCCATCATTTTCCATATTAACAAATATATCTTTAAATGCATTTTCAGTTTCTCAAAAGAAGACATTTTAAAAAAATTTCAGAATAATTTCGGGGCCCCTTTCAGGCCGAGGCCCTGGGGCAAATTGCCCCCCCTGCCCCCCTTCTCTGCGCCACTGGTTGCATGCTATCTATCCAACATATTATTTACTCACAGAGATCAGGAGTGTGTTCAGGGGAGAGTTCGTTCTTCATTCGGACGACGACAAGGCATGTTTTGGTCGTGGTTCTTCAATTTATCTTGTTGCCCCTGGCCTTCTCTCGCGGTTTTTGGGTCTGACACATTTTATCAGCAGCTGGTTCTATTCGAAGTCCCTAGTATTCACGTTTAAGTTACCACATTTCAGTATGCCCATCAGTAGTTTTCTCCCTAGCCCGGACAACAAATTATAAGACGTCCCTAGTAGCACTTTAGAAAGATCCGACAATTAGATTAGAAGGTTTTGTTTCTATGCACCCAATTATTAAATCTCCCATTTTGCTTTTGCACCAAGTAGCCATTTTAAATTTACGGACGTTCGCCCATAAGATAGCATATAATAGCTTTTGTTGATTCGAATCTGATGCCTATTTTCAAATTCAGGTATAATTGTTCAAATGCTAAATATAAGCATGTGTCAAACTTGCAAGATTGTAGAATGCCCAGGGTGTTCAATGTTAGCCTTTTTTGCATTTTATAGTGTTTACTCTCAATTAAGCTTCAGACACGAAAACATAAGAAGATCGGAGACGAAAACAAAATACGAGCATATGCAATATCTAAAGTGTACATCATTGCCACTAGGCACTAGCAAAGTTGCAGGGACGGATCTAGCGAGGGGTGTAGGGGATGGGACGCCCCCCAATAATTTTGTGACCGTTAACATTTTGTTCCATTCGGTGAAAATCTCTTTTGGTCAGTAGTTATAAAAAAACGCCAAGCTTTTACTTTTTTATTCACTTGTAAGTAGCATAGCCAGGGGGGGGGGGCAAAGGGGGCGGCCGCCGCCTCCTCCCAATGCTCAGAAGGTTAGTTTCTGAACAAATCCAAATCTGCAATAAAATGAGTACCTCGGGGCTCGGAGTTTATACTTAAGATAATATTAAAAAGTTTTTAAAAACTGCAAGCAAGCGACTGTAATAAATATTCTTAAAGGTTTTTTAACTAATCTAAAGGGAGAAGTCGCGTAAATTATCCTTTACAGAATGTTTTACAATTTCCCTTCGTTCAAGGGTTTATATAGAAAAGTTTTTCACGTTCTTTAGACAATACCGATAAAAAAGAAATTAAAATGCTAAAGCTCTTCAATGCTAAAAACTGGATTCTGAAATGCTTGTCAGGGATTTTGCAGATTTTGCTCCAAGAATAACGGACTTAGTTTTAAACTTTTGAATACTGTTTATTATTTTTAGATATTTGCTTACAACTTCGGAAAATCAGTTTTTACACGTGGTGCTACGTCGCCTCACACAATTCAGAATATAAACGTTAGAGGAATTGTGAAGAAATAGACAGTTGTAGAATGGGGCCAGCCATAGACTACATATGACGGTTATTTTATTAGCCAACCATTGCCACGTAAAAAAAGCCATAGCTTTTCCAAACGCTTTTACAAAATAGGATGTTTTCTAAAATTCTTAAGGGTGTTGTCTGCAAAATTTTTCTCTTCTTCTTTCTGCCAACCCTGGCTACGCCACTGCTTTTTATCTTCTTTATCTTAAAGTAAAAGAAAATCGAATTTTAAGAATGGGCGTTTCCATCAGTTACCTAAAGGGTTTGGCACAAAAACCCAGTTAGTGTCTAATACCCCCCCCCCCAATCATTGTTGCCTAAATCCTTCCCTCCAAAGTTGTACAAGCTTCTCTGTCATTTTTATCAACTTACTGTCAGCGCGATTCACGCATGTTTTCTGCCCCTGTGCACTTGAATTCAAAAATTTTTAGTTTCCAAATGGGAGATAGTAATTATTGATTGTGCCCATATAAGCACTCGAGGCTCCCTTAAAAATAAGTCTTGAACTTTGTTAGCCTACTTGTTGCTGCTGCAACACAATATTGAAAACCAGAAATATATACTAGAAATTACCATGGACTTTTGAGTTAAACGTCATTCTTTAAACGGTGTTGTATTCCTGCTTTGGATCAATAATAATATTAAATCTTTTTTTTAATCCTAGCGTTACAGTAGAACTAGAGACTACATTATGAAAATTATTGGTTACCTACATGGTTGCAGACTTAAGAAGGACAGTCGTTTTCACGAAAGCAGTTGCTGGCTAGCATTTGAATTTATGTGGATGATTTCATTTCGTCATTAAGGGAATTCCAGATCTTGGGCCTTAAAGACTCAGTGACTTGACGGTATAATTTGCGGTTTTGTTTTAAGGAATTTGAATTATTTTTTTGTGCAAGGTAACCAAAAACATTTGTATTTTTAGGAAGGAGAGAATTGTATGTATTTGTGAAGCAACGATGGAGCGCAGAACTGCAGTAAGCACAAATATTTTTTACCGCTTTTTACCGCATTTTACAGCTGCCATAAAGACCAGCAACTTAAGAAAAGTGACAAAAACTTAGGGATGTGACGCAAACACAACAAAAGATACAGCTTTCGTGAATATTTGACGTTTAGGTTGTTTATACGCTTATTACTATTCATATCATATCCATCCTCTAAAAACTGCATTGTCAAAGAAGAAATTAGGCAAAAATTTAAAGCTCAAACGATCTGAAAAAAGTAGCAATTGGGTACTTCCAATGGGGTGGTGTACACCCTAATAAACTCTGGATTGGAGTTATTTGAGATTTTTAAAGTTTGATATGCTGGTAATGTCGTTAAATGAACAGGCGTAGTAGATCTAGCCATTGTAAAAATTATAAGTTGATGAGCAAAAGGTCTGATAGGACTAATTTTTAATAAACAGGCTCTTTCATTCTGTTTTCTCATTTTTTTTTAATTTTCAATGGTGCATAACAGTTATATAAAAGAGGGCAGTAGTTGAAAGGTCAAAAGATAAACGAGTTTTTAATTATTTCTTCCTCTTTCAAACCCATAAATCTGGCTGCTTTGATTAGTTTATTTGCAGTGTAGTCTTTTATACATTTATTTAATGTTTCAATCCGACAGAAATGACGTTCCTAGTGTATGATTAATGGCAATAATAGAACGTGGTAAAACTGCTTCCAGCGAAATCTTGAGCCTTGTGAAAATTCAAAGACAGGAGCATGGATTATAGAAAGTTTTTTAATCATGGATCCGTTGGACATTTTGTGCATTTACCGACAAACCTGAAGTGGCTACTACTGACTTTACAATGTAATTTTACTTTTAGCTGCAAAGTTACAAAAAGTCCCTTGGTTGGTTATAAAAAGTAGTGTTTATGAAAATATTGAAGAAAAGAGGTCGAAGAATTGACGCTTGAGGCACTCACTGAATAGAGAATTCCTTGTACCAGAGAAACCAACAGGTTTTACCATTTGTTCCAATAGGTCCACGAAGACAGCTGAAAAGTGCCTGTGGTAGACAGCTCTGGGTACAAGACTCTTTAGAAAAGAAAAGAGAGTATATTATTAAGTGAAGTGAAAGGGGGACTTAAAACTTTGAAATGCTGGTCTATAGAGAAAGAGGTAGCCTTAGTTCTAAAGCCTTTTCAAAGGATTTCAAAGCGATGCTTAAACGTTTATTAGTTGATAGTTTTCTTGAAATGATTCTTTTTTCATACAAACTGTAATAAAGCTTTTTTTTAGGGAGATGGGAAACGTTCTCTGGAGTATACACTTGCTGAAATTATCAGCCAAGGTCAAAGAGTAACAAGGCCTTCGGTCCAAAGGTTTGCTAGACAATATCAGCAGACTTCTTTAAAAACGTTGCATTAACAAATTCATGACCAGAATATTTATTTTGATTACACTTTTTTTTTTATAAGAACAATTTTATAAGAACACGAGCCTCAAAACTGGTCAAAAGTTAAGAACAAATTAAGAACAAGCTGAGGCTGAGCTTCTGCAAATTGCAATTTTGATTTACGTTTTTTCTCAAAATCGAGGATTTTTAGCGATGTGTGGGTGCTTTTTCGGTGAATATTCAAATTTGTCAGCAAATTAAGGCTGTCTCACTCACTTTGTTGGCAAATGAGGCCTGAAAACCTCCTTAAAGCGAAAAAGCTAGCAATAGCACTGCTTACACCCTCTTATTTTAAGAACAAATTAAGAGCAATCCGGCCTCAGATTTTCGAAAAAATTAAGAACAGTCAGCCTGAACTTAAATTTACTGGTTCTTTTAAAAAATAATGTAAATCTAATAATTTCATTGTAACGGTTTTTTAAATTTTTAGGTTGAAATACACACCATCATCTTCTCTTTATATGTCGTTTATTCTTGGTACACTTATATGATCCTCAACCATCTGAGTTGTATGGTTGATCCAACTGGACTTTTGTGGCAACAAAAGTTGCACAATATTTTCTGTGAAAATCCTGCGCAGGAACCACATTTTCAGTACTCATTAATTCGCGTGACTTGCCTATCGTGACCTATTTTGTCTCCACACCCTTTTGCTAATCGTAACTATATAGGAGCTGTCAACATATTGTTTTATTCAGTAATTTACCTTTGTCTTATAGAATTGATTGACGAGTATCTTGAATTTTTTAGATGTCACAAGATTTTGTGAGAGTAGGAGCGTAGTCTCTGGTAGAATCGATTATGGAGAATTGATACAACTATGTTTCTTGCTTCACTTTGCAATTCGCTAAAAGCATCCTTTCGAATCAGGACAAGTCTATACAGTTCCATTGAAGGGACAGGGATAGGAATAGAAGGAGCACTGTCTCACAAAAAGGCCCAAAAAGGCAGTTTCTCAAAAGTTGGGGCTTATGTCCCTGTGGCATTTTGTCTCAGGTGGCCATGATCATTTCTTTGCTGTTAGGATTTTTAAAAATCTATTAACTATTTATGTTTTCAATTTATTACTTTGACCTGAAAGGCTCTAAGAAGTCAAATTACTTTCTAAGAAGTCAAATGACTAAGAAGTCAAAAAACTAAGAAGTCTAAGAAGGCTATATCTCTCAATCAGGGCCAGTCCCATGGGGGAGTGTAACAGCCCCCCCCCTTAGAATAGGCATTTCTGTTTTAGTCGGTAAATTCGGGACTTTGAAAGGTAGATAATCTTTTTTAAATTTTCGAACGAAAAAACTGTCTCAATTATTGTTTTTCTAACGTTCCAGTGCTTTCAATTTGGACGCCTCAATTTCTAATTCACAATCGACAAAATTTCTAATTCCCTTGTTGCGACTGGCGATCGAAAATATGGCGAACTGTAAAAGCTTTCAATAATTTTCCTCCATGGATTAGATAATAAAATACACTCTTTTTTTTATAAGAACCAGTAAATTTGAGTTCAGGCTGATTGTTCTTAACTTTTCCGAAAATCTGAGGCTGGATTGTTCTTAATTTGTTCTTAAATTTATAGGGTATAAGCAGTGCGATTTCTAGCTTTTCATTCTGGGGAGGTGTTCAGGCCTCTTTTGCCAACAAAGTGCGTAGAGACAAACTTAATTTGCCGCCATGTTTTAATATTCACCGAAAAAGCACCCACACATGGCTGAAAATCCTCGTTTTTGAGATAAAACGTTGTCCAAATTTCATTTTACAGTAGCTCAGCCTCAGCTTGTTCTTAATTTGTTCTTAAATTTTGACCCAAACACGCTTATCAAATTTTGTACTTTCTTTTACTGCCGAATCTGCGAACACAAGCCTGTAAAACCCATCGTAAACTCGTGGTTTTACATTACACTCAAGTTCCATTTATTGGGCTGGCATCAAAATATTAGATTTCTTGTAACTTTTATGATTGCGTTCAAAATAATTTTATGTGGAAGATAGAAATAACTTGCAGAAAGTATTTCTTTTCTTTGTTCATCAAAATATTTTTTCAACCGAAAATCATCAGGTTTTCACCGATTTTTGGGCACTGTATATTTTCGCCAGAATAGCGGAAGTAGGATAGCGGATGATATGATAGGGATGAAATGCGACGGGGGTGCGATTGGTTTTTGCAATGCCCTGCAGTATCACAACCACAAGCAAACTTGGAGAAGGGGGGCTTTGTATGTTTAACGTGTTGTACTTGAAAATGTGCCCGGGTCGGTAGCTCCGTGGGTAGAGCTACGATGTACAGTGTCGCTGATCGTGGGTTTCAGTCCTGTTTTCTCTCATTTTGGCCAATCACTCATTCAATAGATTCTTGGGAAGTCTGACCTAGACCAGTCAAACCGGTTACAAACCAAATTATGGGACGAATAAGGACGTCCTGTTTTCTCTCATTTTGGCCAATCACTCATTCAATTTTGCTACGTCAAAAGTGCTTGCACCCACAACTTGATGTTCGCTGCTGCACGAAATGACCTTGCTCCCTTTGATGCTGCACGAGGTATTTTATTTTGTTTAGAATTTGTCGAGGTAGATTCTTGGGAAGTCTGACCTAGACCAGTCAAACCGGTTACAAACCAGATTATGGGACGAATAAGGACGTCCAAGAATAACAATGAGCACACCTCCGCGACGTTCTAAATGATGATTGGTAGACAAAACAATAGCCTTTGTTATTTGAACAGTTGATTGGATGATTCTCGGCCATTCTCCTTAATCAGGCACGTGAACAAGACGGGACCTCTTTGTGATTCCATGTTGCGCAGTTGACTTCGTGGAACCTTGCGCCCGGCTACAGAGTATCAACAATAACGAGCATAGTCAAATTACGAGAAAATACCTTATCAGATCATGCTTAGTGCAGCACGGGCATTTAGGCAGGTAATCAGAGGTGTTTCGACTTCAGCTACAAGCATGGGATCCTTGCGAATTGCAGTTATAGGCCAGTCAAACTTTGGTGCAGAAGTGTATAAATCATTGCGAACCAAAGGGCACGAAATTGTTGGGGTTTTTACGATCCCTGATGTTCAAGGCAAAGCCGATCCATTGGCTCAAGAAGCTGAGAAAGATGGGGTTGCCGTGTTCAAGTTTCCACGTTGGCAACAGAAAAAGGTCGCAATACCCGAGGTGGTTGAGAAGTACAAGAATGTGAATGCAGAATTAAACGTGATGCCGTTTTGTTCACAGTTTATTCCTATGGATGTGATAAATCACCCTGAGAAGGGCTCAATTGTTTATCATCCATCAATTCTTCCACGACATCGAGGAGCTTCTGCTATCAACTGGTAAGGACCCATCTGAACAAAATGACCACAATAATTCTAGGGCTCAAACAAAAGATTCTAGGGCTCAAACAAAAGATTAATTGCTTTGAGTAAAGTCAACAAAGTGCCACAGCGGGAAACCCCAGACAACAATAGCTTTGGGTCATTTTGTAAATTGAGCCAACGGCATGCTCTCGTCGACGTCGATGGGCAACATAGGGGGGTTTCATAACCACATCATTGCCATATTTGTACACGATTAGGCATGCATCTTTGCATTGAATATAATAATTTGTCTTGCAACCCAGCTCAAATTACGTGCTCTTAAACATTTTGCCACCGAAAATGATCGTTTTATTGTTTGAAGGGGGGAAATGGAAGTGTGTGATCATATGTCATTTATTACACATTGTATTTATTGTAGAGTTAATATATTGTCTATCCCGTTTATTTAAATTACTTAGCATCACTAAATGAAACCCAAAACTTCCCATTACAAAAAGTAAATCTTATCCAACAAAACGTAACAAATAGCTGGTACACTCTTTTCGAGAGAGAACAATTTTTAAAGAACATGAGCCTCAAAATTGGGCAAAGGTTAAGAACAAATAAAGAACAACCTAAGACTAAGGCAGTGAACAATTAATTTTAACAGTTATTAATTAAGATTGTTTACATGCGTTTTTCAATTTCCTGCTTCACAATTCAAAATTCCATTCAGCAACTTAGAGGCCCTTATAAATTTCTTCAACTTTGATCAAGGGCTTGAACACCCTTATATGGTCCTGTTTGTACCCTAATAATTTAAAAACAAATCAAAAACAATCCAGCCTCAGAGTCTTGGAAACATTAAAATAGCCAACCTGAACCTCAACTTACTGAGTTCTTTTAAAGGTGAATTTACTTGCTCACAGAAAGATGAACAGATCGATTTTGATTTTCGCACTTGCAAAAAAGCCACCATTGCAAAAAGAGCTGCTTGAGAAAGTTGCTTGCCAAAAGATTTTGAAATAGATTAAAAAAAACTAGAAAGGTTTTTCCAATAGTCTGAAGGGTGTGGCCGAGAAAATTTATTTTCGTCCACCCCAGTTTTTTTTAGCTGGCGATGCTACTGTCAAAAAACACCATTGTCAAGAAATGTGGCAGTAAAATGGTTGCTAGGAAAAGAAGGCAGTGTCTAGGAAAATGTTTAGTAGGCAGAAAGAAGACACCATTGACAATTAATGTGAATGCTGAATGTCCCTGTGAATTTAAAAAGAATGACTTCAATTTTCTATCCACTTGTTCAGAGCAAGATATTTTGTTTTCAGAGCTGCATTCAATAGAGTTCTAGAAGTCAGCAATTCCAAAATTTTATGTTTATCCTTTAGGATCAAAGTACCAGGTTTAAGTTGCATGTTGGTAGTAAATCTCAACACAAGGACATCACAAGACAATCTGTATATTATTGCATGCAGACCTTCAAGTTTGGCCTTTACACTTACATGCATCAAATCAGAATTCTCACACATTCTACAGTAACATTTTAAGTTTATTCAAATTTTTGCGAAGCGAATATTCAAACCAAGTTTCCTTGCTAGGCCTAGCTATAGAATAGAAAATAACCAGAAAACAGCAAATCTGCACTGGTAAAGTGATGAAATACAGGCTAGTTCTGTTTTGACTGCGACACCTTGTAAATTGTCTGGGAAGAGTGCAAATGAAGAATTGGAAGCATGAAGTAATTTGACCGATAGTGCAAACATCCTGCAAAAAGGGTATCTGTAACAAATGTTTCCTCGAAGTAAACAATTATGTTTGTATGTCATATAATTGCCAAAGAGATGCTTGCCTGTAGCGATGACATGTTCAGGATCTCAATAAGAACCATTCTTTGCAGACTGGATCATGTGCATCTTTCTTATTGTCCCTAATTGTCTTTTAAAACACTTTTTATCCCACTTTCATGGATGCCAAAACTTATTTTGCTTGAATTGATGCAATAAATACAATGCAAGTGTTATACTTGCCTGAGTTGCTGAGGCTTAGAGTCTTTTAATTGTAAAAAAAGGTATATGTACATACTTAGAAATTCATAATTTCCCATTTTGGTCACTTAAAGTGTTCTTTTCATATATTTCTCAGGACACTGATGGAAGGTGATTCAAAAGGTGGTTTTACAATTTTCTATGCTGATGATGGCTTGGATACAGGACCCGTTCTGTTGCAGAAGGTTGTTGATATTGATCCAAATGAGACAGTTGACACCATCTACAACCGCTTCTTGTATCCAGAAGGAATCAAAGGAATGGTGAGCCTTTTGGTTTTTCCTTTTAAATTTGTCAATTTCAAAATTATAGACCTGTAATCAGTATTGTCCCTATATAGAGAACCTTCTCACAGAACTTGGAGCAAAGCTTCAAAAGAACCTTCTTTTTTGTAGTATGAGAACATTTTGTGCTCTCATACATACAGCAATGAACCAAGTCCTTGCGGAACTGGATATGACTGACATATTTTGCTTGTTATTCCTCTATTTGATTATTAGTTTCCCGCAACTTCTTCATGAAGCTTTTTTTCCAACAAACTCTTCCCAATTTGGAGGTTTGATTAAAACACTGAATTTCTACAGAACGTTTTCTCATAGAACATAAACAATGCGAGAGATTAGAGTGAATGTCTGTATGTTACAAAAACCATACGGAAATGTGCTTGATGGCCTTGCTAATTATCAAACCAGTACACTCTTTAGAAGGTTGGAATCATTTTTAATTGATGTTTTATTCAAGGGCAGTTCAGCTTGTGTGCGGCAGTTCAGTCAGAAATTTGGCAGTACAAAATCTGTCAAAACTGAAAACTTGTGTAAAGGAATTACCAAAGGTTGAAAATGACAATTTATCTTTTCAGGTTGAGGCAGTGGAGCTTATAGCAAACGACTGTGCTCCAAAAGTTACTCAGCCAAAAGAGGGTGCAACATATGATAAAATCTGGAAAAAGAAACAAGTGGCAGAGGTTTGTTTTTTTCCTTGTTGAGATGAATATATATATATATCATAGAGCTGAAGAAAGTAAGACTACCTGGTTTATTTCTACAAGCCTGTTTCGTGAGTAACTCACTCTTCAGGAGATGTTCATATACATCTCCTCAGGCCTTGCTCTAAGTAAAATGAAGGTGCTCCATAAAAAAAGCCCCTTAGAAACTCTAGGCGCTCTATTTCGCACCTCTAAGTAAATTTCCTTGAGAGCATCCTTCGAGAGCTTCATATCAAAAGCTTCGGAAGAATGTTAAATATGAAATTCAACGGTGATACCAGAAAGCACCATAACATGAAATAACAAAACATGCAACAAACACTATGTTTATGTAAATATAACAGAACAAAGTTGCAAAATTGTTCAGATTTTTCTAGATATGTAAGTTGCCATCATGCGATGAGCTTTTATCAGTGTCAGTATCACTACTGTTATGTTCAGCTTCACATATTGCTTCATCAAAACACATGGCTTTAAATCGAACATTTAACTTTGTTTCCTTTTTTAATGTTATCCATTCTATAAGAAACGCTAGAACATCTACTACTCGCAAAAGCAAATGAAAAGCAATGCGATAATTTGGACGGAAATGTGATCGCTGATTTGCACAGGCGATTTTAAGTTATTAAGAAAAACAGAAAATAATATTTACTTCAATACAAGATTAACGCTTGCTCAAAAATCAAATAAATCTGCCGGAGAATACGCTTGATGGCCTGTATTCTTGATGGTTATTAGAGGGTTATTAGATTAAAAATGATATCGAAAACCCAACGTCGAATTTGCTGAATTTTTTCTCAAAGGGTAATCTTACACAAATCATAATATTGCGGTCTGTTGGGAAGATTGTTTATGCTTGATCAAGTTGATTCAACAAATTCCAAAAATTTATTTTGCTCTGTGTTAATATTGTTTTTACGTTTTGAGGGGCTCTATAAATCGCTCTCCAAGGCTTTTTTTGGGTGCGCTCTAGGCGCGCGCGCTCGATCGAGCGCCTTTCCGGGCAAGGCCTGCTCCTGAAGAGTGAGTTACTCACGGAGCAACAAAGCGGAGCTTATGAAAAACAAAAATTCCAATATTTCATTAAAAAAAAGCTATGACGTTAAAAACAACAGAGAAATATACAACACATGCATACCATCAATCGCTAGCATTATTGGTGCCATGTGTGTGCTGATGGATGTGCATGCGATCACATGCATTAAACAACAAAGACTGATATTACTGACAGCTGAGTTTTTAATTTCAACTGTTACAGCGAAAACATTTCCAATATATTCTTAAAACGGTTCTGAGTCTTTTACCCTCCTCAAAACCTCTACATACTCATTCACATTCACATTCTATAACTGAAGAAAATATTTAACCTCAGGAAGAGTTTTGAAAAATAGTCATTTTCCAAGGTGAAATAGAGTGTAGATATTATAAGTGATTGGCGTAGTTTAGTAGGGAAGATGAAGAAGAAACACCACTAAGAAACACAACTAAAATGGTTGTTGAAGTCTTTCAAAATTCAAGAATTGCTTTTCTTTTTATCCAGAATTTGACTTTATTTAGAATTTCAATACACCCTCAAAGACAGGAAATATGCTGCAGTTCATCAGAAAAATGCTTGATGTTGATACAAAACCCAACAAACTTTCCAAACTCTACAAATTGCACAAAACTGATTTTGATTAACTTGCTTTTTTGAGTTTGAAGAAGTGCATGATTGTGCCTTTTAATTTTGTTATACAATAATTCTATGAAACTGTGATACCCTTATGTTAACTTTGTTTTCTCTAGATACCTTGGCAAAGGACTGGTTGGGAACTGCACAACTTTATCAGAGGCAATGATAAGGTAACATATACATGTATTACAGCATTCTTTTTTGTTGGTAAGAGTATTTTTTACAGATATCCTTGCTCATAAAATTTAATAATTAAGCTAACTGTATATTTTGTCAATGTTGCATATAGCTTTAAATATATATATATAATTGCAGTTGCGCAGTCCCGACATGAAGGTTTCATGTTGTTTCTGCTTCTGCAGCTCTGCACACTACTTCTGATAATCTTCTCCATTCTTTGCGGTCCTTTGCATATACAGCTTTGAGCCTTGTTATTCACAAGAAAACAAATTAGAATTTTTCCTCACCAGCTAGTATTTTTTAAATATAGTTCTGTTTGTGAAAAATTCTACAGGCTTTCGTCGGAAAGGCGTGCGATCGCACGCGCACGCCCTGGCGCACGCCTAACGCTTTCCAGGAGTGCAAAACATCGCACGCCTTCTTTTATTATCGGAATAAAATTCATAATTATTGGTTTTGTGGGTTTTTGAGATGAGTTAATATATTTATCCTTCCTTGGTACAATTGCTTCATGCCACTTCAAAAAGGCTTAACATCTTATCAGGATTGCAGACTAAATAAACAATTTTGAAATAACCATAGGACTAATCTACAGTGGAATCCCGATATTATGAAACCTGACCTGGCTACAAGTATAATTAATTTTCCGGCATGACAAGAGATATCTGGCCCCTTGATTTCTGCCTCCGCACAACTTCTCTCGGTATAACTAATCCCGTATATAAGGAATTTTCGTATATTAACGAGCCTAATTGTAGTCCCTTCATTTTAATTTTCCTCAATATGACGAACTTTTCCACAACTTTTCACCGTTATTTTGGTCTACTTATTCCCTGTGTATTTATCGCTATTTCTCGGTGGAATCATCATTGTCAGCGACAAAACATACATTGGCAAACATGCACTTTTAATGATGCAAAAAGGAGAAGAGATATGTGCGAACGTTTGCACCTTTTCAAGGCTAAATGGCATATCATTGAAAAAATTCAAACACAGAAGACTGTAACAGACATTTTTGTCCCCGAACTTTAAGAGGAACATTTAATGTTTTGAACAAGATTTTCATTTTCGATCGCAATTTTAGCGAAAGCAGCCGATTATGCGATAAAAATTGGCCGATTTGCCAATGATGCGATAAAAAATAGCAGATTATTTGCGGATTTCGCTATGCTTTAAATCTAGATTTTAGCGACATTTGGTTTAATGAAAAATGGGCCATCATTATTTTTTACGCATCTGGCCAGTGAGGTTCATATAATAGCTGTCATGCTTGATAACAGAGGGCTCTCGGGGCAAGGGTTTACACGCAAAAACGGCCATTAGAACCAGATGAACGCCACAGCATCAATGACTCTATAGGCCTGTCGGAACCGGGGGGCTGGACCCTCCAATAATTGTCAAACTGTGGTATATTTCCTTTATTACAGTGTACTGAATGAGAAGGGAAACAATGGGAAGCCCCCCAATATGAATTTCGTTCCCATGGATGAAACCTGCTTACGACATGGCAAACATATTTCTGTACTTGCAGTGCCGTTTTTTGTTGATATATTAAATAAGCTCAGTTTATACTTGTTTAGAAAATTGCTCAGTTGCTATAATGTAAGTAGTCATGGTAAGAATTCAGCGAAGTAAATTTCATCAAATTATTGCTGTCATCATTGTCTTGTTGGCAATTTCTCCATAGAACTATCATAATTACCAAACAGTTTTGTGAAAAAATGTCACACGCCATCACACGCCTGGATGTTTTCAGGGGTGCGGTGGTTAGCACGCCTGCTATATTTTTCACACGAAAGCCTGTTCTAGCTATTTTCCGATGTTATTGTTTTCAGTGCATGGTGGTTTCAATCCAGTGAGAGGAAAATTTTCATGAAGGCAATCATTGCGAATTATTATGAAAAGAAACAACTAGTGTAACACTGCCACTTGCTTGATTTATTTTTGTCCCTGACCCATGTTTATATTGTTTAGATCTGCTTTTATGATATGTTGACTCTTGGTTTTAGCTTCCTGGTGCTTGGTCAATGATCAATGGTGAAGTGAGTTCTCTTTTCTATTTACTGAAATAAAAAACGGCATACCTCGTTTTGTGCCAGACCGTTTTGTCAGATGCAAAATTTCTCTCAGAACAAATGAATTAAGCCCTCTTTCTAATAAGTCTTCCCTCAATTAGGCCCCACTCAAATAACCCCCATGTTAGGTTTTGAGTTTTGAATAAACCCCCCATTGAATAAGCTCCCTATTAGGCTGTCAGATTTTGAATTCTTTAGAATTTTCTTTTCATTTTAGGACCTAGACAAAGTTTCATGTGATTCATCTAAGTGCTTTGCTTTGAATTGATTTTTGAGTCACAAATACTGTTTTTCTATAAAATTATTTTGCCTGTAAGGTTAGCCCTCCCTCTAGAGGTGATCACATTGTAAAAAAATTCCTGTCTCAATCTGAGGATGTGAAGAGCCGAACTAGCTCTTTATCCTGTGCACCTACAATGTAAATCTTTCTTGCAGCAAGTCAGCTTTTTTGGCTCATCGATGTACTACAAAGATCTCCCAAGAAAGGCAACTGAAGTTGTTATAGAAGGATTGGAAAAACCAGCTCTTGTTCACAAAGATGGCATGATTATCACTGGTACTGATGGGCAAATGGTAGGCATGTTAATAATTTGTTACATTAATTTATTATTTATTTGACAGCAGGTTGTTTTTAGTATCTTTGCTCTTTGTCAAACTAACAATGTCCTTTCCTATTGCAATCCATGTGGATGTAGACTGTGTTCCAAGAACAACAGGTTTTGGTTGCGCCATTAAATAACTTTATTCCTGAATTTTTGATGTTGAAATTCTGTTTGAAAATAGAAAAGTTCATAATTAAACTGCTGAAGTATGAAGATTTATGAATGTTGAACACAGGACATTGTTTGGTTTTCAGATTAATGTAAAAACACTTCAGCTTGGTAGTGGAAAGATGATTCCAGCCTCTAAATTTGGTAGTACAGATGACAGTCAAGAAGAGCTTGTACTTAATGATGAGGAGAAGGAGTTAGAGAAGAAAATTTTTGTAAGTTTGATGGCCTCTTTCTCTGTTTATATTTTTACCAACTTTTTTACAGTACCACGTTTCAGAAGGCTACCAATGTACAAGATTTCTTAGACCTTGAAATGCATGGCAAAAATGCTTTTGAGTTTTATTTTATGCGATTAAATGTTTTAATGTGTTTTGTTGATTTGTTCAGATCAGAATGTTATGGAGAAGGGTTTATGCTGCATGTCATAGATTGTGCTGAATTTGCAAATCGTTTTAAGAATCAACAATATTAAAGGTGTTTTGGCCAGTATTCAACCAATCAGGGTTAAGCATAGTCTCTGCTACACGTTAATGATTTAGAGAATGTTGAGGATAAATACAGTGTTGCTGATTGTAAAGTGTTACAATGGTCTATTGTTTAGTCCAACCAATGATATTCATAAGATGTATGTTTTTGTTGTAATTTAGAACTGTATGTTTCATATATCACTAATTTGAAAAATTGAATTTGCTATCAGAAAATTTGGGGTGGAATTCTGAATTCATCTGAACTGGAAGGATCTGTAGATTTCTTCAAAGCCGGAGCAGGTTCTATGGATGTTGCCAGGTACATATCTAGTAGTACCTCATTATCTGTCTCTTTCTTTGTTTCATCCTTTTTGAGCCTCTCATGTGTTTAGGTGCGTCATAGAGTTTGGGGTAGATTCAGTCTTCATCACAAGCTCTAATGATTTTGGTTTTGTAATTGAATATTTATTTCAGCATTGAATTGCCTAGTAACAAAACCTGTAAAAGTTGAACCTGCTTTTGATAAAAGAAGACCGCTATATCAATCTCACTTTGATTAATTGAAATGTATGCCCCTTTGTAAGGCCTTTAGAATGAGAATGCCCTAATAATTGATGAAAAGACGATAAAGTAAGTTAAAGAAATCAGCCCCTTAGAGTAATCGCTTGCTAAGGTTCTAGCTTTATTTAATTTTCGTTTTGTTTGTAGCAAGTTTCTTCCTTTTGCTAGATGAACCATGTTTAGATACAATATCATCAAGAGACAACCACTTCTCCTCTGTTTTAATCAAAATATTTCTTATACCAAGGTGCAGTGATGGTATGGGCTTTCCCTTAAGAAATCAAGTGATTGTATTCTTTTGTTGCAACTGCACCCCAAACAGTTGAGATTTTGTAGATTTTTTCATGACTTTGCCTCTAATCGTTCTATGCAAGACAGTAAAATAAGTTGTATAAGAATAAGCCCATATTTTGACCTATTTTGATTTAAGCCCTAGGTTTTTGCTATTTACGTCATTGAAAGCACGCTTCATTTTATTTACAGATTAGTGGAGGAAGTGAAATCAAATTGTGCTGTCGAATTGGAGAACGAGGAAGTGTACATGAACACAGTGTAAGTGGTTAAATAAACCTGATAAAATGAACACTGTATATGTGGTTAAGTAAACCTGATAAAGCAATCATCTGGAAAGGGAATCTTTTTATGACGTTGAGTTGAGGAATCGCTGCATGAAGAGACTATTTACCAATGCACGTAAAATGTGTCTGATCAGTGATCTGACATTTGAAATGTCGCTTCATCGTTGCATTGTTGCTTTACGATTGAATAATGCTCCACAGCGTCACCAGGTCCTTTTTATGATTTTACAGTGGACTTTTTGTATGATGACGTCATCTTGGTATAAGTTTTAATGCCGCACTGCCTGTGTAAAAGATTTAGAAACTCCAAATTTTTCAACACTATCAGCTTCATAGAATACTATAATGTTTGTTGTTGTTTAGCTTTTACTAACTGTCTTCAGGCTCAATGGGCCATTAAAAGATGGGTAATTCTGCTTTTATTTGATAACTGTTGTGTTCTTCAGCCTTTCAGATTTCGTTCGCCATACAATTTTGCGATCCAGAGGTTTTGGAAAGGAAGAATTCAAGTGCGATACTGTAAGTTCTTCAGTAATTTAGCCATTCCCCCTGTTTCAAAAAGACTAGCTTAACCACTGACAAGTAATTGCTATAAAGGAAGTTAAGAAATAGGTTAGCTGTTTTTAGGGAAGGCGTGTCCGTGTCACGTTTTATGTGAACGCTTTACCTCTAAACGAAGGTGACATGAAAATATGAGCCTTTTTGTTGTTAGTTTTGCATCCATGCTCTTTAGGTGAGATTTTATTAAATATAAAATTATCTTTAGTTCATAGATTATTGTCAATATGAAGGCAAATATAGTTAAGAAACCATTCTGATATTTAATTTTCCCCGAGCAAGACCACCGTGAGCAAAAAACCGTTCTTGGAATTTTTAGCACTAGAAGCCTTTGCAGGCGTTAAGACTAGTGATCTTTTTTTTCGATGAATTGTGACTTTATTTTCTCGAATTGTGACTGTCAGCTCTGTTTGTTTAAGAATTTGAACGTTATTTTGTTAACAAATGCAGTCTTTTAGAGATGATGAATTTTGATCATTACAAATTAACTGATTGCAGATTGATCTGGAAGTTAACAACATGACTGTGAAAATGCCATACCAGTTATTTATTGATGGTGAAATGGTAAATGCAAAATCTGGAAGGACTTTCGAAACAATCAACCCCACTGATGAGACGGTGAGTAATTTACCCAGATGTATTTCTCATATCTTCAAGTTTTGGCAGTCCTTTGTCAAAATCGTATATCTTGTTCAAGACAAATGTGATTTAAGAAATCGTGTTTTTTGTTATTTGTTCCTACCCAACTTTTTAAAGTAGTTTTAAGATAGTCGTTCCTCTCGATGCAACCACGTGGCTCATACGTCTGGAATTACAGAGTCTCTTCTCACTCCAAGTCAAAGTTTGGTCGTGCCAGGGATTCGAACTACAGACCATTTGATTTTTAGTCCCCATCCCTAACCCTGAGCCATCCACATATTCTCTGAAGTGTCCCTTGCCAACCTAGATATGCTCATGTACTTTGAATCCCCAACATTGAATGCATGTTGCTGCTTTCATTTCCTTACGGATTTCGTATCAAAGTTTTGTTCTGCTTAGGTTTTGGCCAGCGTTGCTCTTGGTGGCAAGGACGATGTGGATGATGCTGTTGCAGCAGCCAAGGTACTTATTGAATGCCTCTATTCTGCCCTTATACGAAGATCTTTTTTGACGGATGTTTTGTAGTGAATTGTTTTACTGAGTCATTTTGTTCCAAGCTATATCTCCAGGATCCACTAGGTTAAATCATGGGGTGTAACTCCAGCATATCTTTGGTAAAATTCTATCATTGTTCGAGATCCTTTAGATTCCTTATAGTGTCAAAATTTTTTAAAAATACGATATTAGCTTGATCTGTACTGATATGACTGGCGAATTCTTAGAAATATTCATTTATCAAAGCAAAGCCATATTTCTTATTCGATTGCAGGAAGCATTCTACGGGGACTGGGGCAAAATGAATGCACGTGATCGCGGTGCCCTGATGTACAAGTAAGCAGATACTAGTACTTATTGCTAGTAATTTCGGATTTTTTTCATTTCCTGTGTCCTAGGCATCTGTGCTTACTTTAAGGAGACGGGGAACATGTGTAACAATAAAGAGATGCAGAACACCTGTCGCGTTCTCTTTTTTAACAATTTTTGTTTGTTTTGCTCCTGTCAATTTTTCGTGCTAACATTACGATGCCACTGTTTATAACTGTACCAAAAAGGTTTTTGCAATTGCTTTCTCACTTGAATGCGAAGAAAGCTTTTGAAATAGATATTTTCAAATATAACCTTGAAATATCCGGTTTTGTTTGTATGGGCACAAAGCGATGTAATTTGAACAGATTGTTAAACGAATACGAATGAAAACGGAGGGATGCGAACAAACAGGATTTGATATTTTTCGATCTGCCTTTGTTGAAAAAGTTATCTACCTGGAGTAGATTTTTGCGGAACAAGTGTGGCGTAAAATGTTTAACATGTTAAGAATGGGAGCAGGCACGAAAATTTGATATTATTTTGCTCGCAGACGTTGACTTTGGATTCCGTTGACTATTATTGATATATGCCATAGATTCTGTATATCATAGAGTATATAAAAAGTACTGTTTGACCGTTGATAGTGCTCAATGCCGTGTAGACAATTTTCAAATGATCGTTGTATAGATGAGGACGATTTTGAATTGCGAGAGTTTTCACCCTTGTATGATAATCAGGCTGCTAGGGTATATAGAAAAAGGTCATAGGTAATCACTGCCAAAAATCTTGGAACACTAACGTAGGATTACAAAGGCAAATTCAGTCATCTCCTTCTCCCCCTAGGAACAATGTTGATTTACTATAGAAAAATGAAAGGGGTTATGGAGTATGCTTTTTCTTGTGGGTTGTTTGATATTTTTCTTTACTTTCAACATTGTTTTGAAGGGAAAGGGGGACGGAAGTAGTAATATTCGGGAAAACAAATAAAAAACAGAAAAGCACAGCGCAAAGTGTTGGGTATTCCAAGTAATTTGACAGTGATTGTAGCATTTGATAGCTGGGGGGGGGGGGGGGGGGGGGCCGGGGCATCAACATCGGAAAGGGCGTTTGCAAGAGGGCAGTTTCAGATAATTTGTAACCTTGCCCAACTCATTTCCTCATTGGTAGCTCCTTTTACGAGTAATTGATAGCTGGTTAGTTAAACAATTTTACGTAATATGCAAAGCAAACGTGATTGCGAGACAACTATTAGCAGAAAAGTTATTTTCAAAATTATAAAATGCTTTATTGATTTTATACAGTCAAAGGTATAAGGATATCTTTCCCTTTGAAAAGCACTTTTTAATAGTTTTAGAAACAGTTGTTCTAAATCTCTAACGCTCCAAATAGAGGGTCAAATCACTGGTCTTATTCCTTAAAGACTACTTACTTAAAGACGACATCAAAATAGAATCTGACGTATTTCTACCATAAGGCAGAATGTTATGCTGCCTGTTGCTTACTGAAGATCTGTGTCAAGGTATGTTGTTAATATGAAACACCAAGGGTCATTTGAAAACTTCAAATGTTTGGATTTTCTGTCCATAGATTAGCAGATCTGATGGACGAACACCGAGAAGAACTCGCCACTATCGAGTCTTTGGATTCAGGAGCTGTTTACACCCTGGCACTGAAAACCCACATTGGCATGTCCATTGATACCTTAAGATACTTTGCTGGGTGGGCTGACAAGATTCAGGTACGTTCAGGACAACTTCCCCTCTCCAAGTTGGTTGATATCGTAGTTTAAGTTGTACAGGGTTCATAAAAAGGTACTTTCCCTACCCCCCTAGCGTAGCATAGAAAAAAGGGGCATTCCCTCATACTCAAAATAATTTTCAAAAAGGACCTTTTTAAGGACCACGAAAGGAATGGTACCAAAATCTAAAGGGGTAGTCCTCATATCACCTCAGGCCGGACTCATTTACCTCCCTTTGCCTTTCAGTCTGGCCACATTGGCTGTGCTACTGCCATATACCCAGCTTGTTGATATTATACACACACATCGTCAGGGCCACCGAAAGGTTTCGGAGCACCGAAAGACGAGGCTGCGAGCGGAGCGAGCAGAAAATTTCCACAACAACGCCTTTAAGATTAGCTTAAAATGCAATTCAGAATATTTCTTGCCGTCATTTCTTGCAATCCCCTAAAACGTTATACTATTTTTACGCAAACTTTTGCTTCATTTGATTAATTCCATTCTTAAAGTGAAATTCATTACCTTATGAGGCCCTTGGACCCCGAGGCCCCGGGGCGATTTGCCTCCCTTGTCCCCCTCTCGGCGGCCCTGCACATCTTGGTGGAGCTTACTCCTTTTATTCTTATCGCTCGTTTCTATTTTATTTTTGATGTCGCGAAAATTTGCTTTTAATGATGTTAATTTACTCAAAATCTTCTAGAGATCTCGTATTGAACTAGAGGTTTCGGTTTCCAGAGATCTCGTAACGGTTTTGTAAAGAATGAGAGAACTTGTACATTATAGAGTGAAAAGATATTCGACAAAGTGCACGTGCCAGAAAATGGCGGTCGTACAGTCAACGATCATGAGAAAATCCTGTCTTGTTTTCATCGTTTTCAAATAATATCATCATAGCTTAACAGTATTGTCAGAAGGAAAGCTGGGCACATTTTTGGACTTCTTATCTCAAAATTTTATCTCAGAAAGTCATAAATGTTTAGATAACTTATCAGATAGAACCGCATGCTGTCCAACCCTGTAAAAGAAGTGAACTGTTATCACTAAAGTTCACCTTACGAGTTGATTGCACACAAAATGTGAACGTGAATTGAAACTTGAAAAGATGAAGGAATGTAGTATTGCTTTACAGAAATAGATGCAGTTTTAAATTTTGTTTCCAGGGTGGCACTATTCCAATCAACCATGCCAGACCGAATAAGAATCTTTGTCTCACAAAGAAAGAGCCAATTGGTGTTTGTGGTTTGATTGTGCCATGGAATTACCCCCTGATGATGTTGGCATGGAAAATGGGACCACTTCTTGCAACTGGAAATACAGTAGTTTTGAAACCAGCTCAGGTTGGTGATTTCTTTCTTTTATACATAGAAAAAGTTTAAATCGATTGGCAACAGAGTAAGCTTGAATTCTGATGAAAAATTTGAAAACCAATTCAGATGAAACATTTAAACTTTTGTCTGGTCATGGAAATTTGAAGTATTTTGCAGGCTTTGGGTTGAAATAATTGAATTGGTAATTATGAATACTCCCAGAGCTGAAGTTAAATTTTATATCTTTTGTATTTGAATCAAACAAGTTTACAGATGTGTGAGCTCGCAGCTTTATGAAATTTTGATTTGCTGAATGCAACATAGATCCCTCTTACCAAGCGAATTTTTTGGCAATTGGTTATATTTCCTTTTGCTCAATGAATCTTTGAAATTGTTGCCATTTGAGAGTTAAATTTTGATAGTTTCTTTAACTCTATTATCAATTTTATAGGTTTTCTAATATTTTCAATGTTTAGGTGACACCAATGACGGCTTTGAAATTTGCAGAACTGGCTGCCAAGGCCGGATTCCCCAAAGGTACCATCAACATTGTACCAGGATCTGGATCAGTTGTGGGACAGAGAATCTGTGACCATCCTGATATTAGGAAGGTTGGATTCACAGGATCCACGCCAATTGGAGCAGGAATCATGAAGAGGTATTTTGAATCAGAAATTTAAAGGGTCCTCTGTTATTCTTAAACGGCCCATTAACTGTCTTATAAAAGGAAATATGAGAATCCAGTTCCTTCATTACGGGTTCAGTGGCAGCAAATCTGGCACCTGTGAAGAAATCGAAACTTTTATCTTCATATCTTTTCATTTTGCCAAGTATCTTCACCAAGACCTACTTAGGGTACCAGAGCCACATAAATTCGAGCGCGGAAATAGAAGATAGGAGTGAACCGTCTGCTTCTCCGCTTCTCCGCTTTGTTTTCTATTTACGCGCGCGAAATTTTGTGGTTGTCGTAACCAGGGTACACCAAAATTGTTCCCTTTCAAGAAACAGGCATCCTTCCCCCTGTTTTACAAACGTGGGAAAATGGGACAGTTCACAATGGACATAGTGAAAGAAGACGACGATCTTCAAATACTTTTAAACTGTCATTTCACTGTTACAATTGCCAGTGGCTTTGAATAAAACAGCGATAAGACCCCATGAATCATTCATTCCTATTTCATGAAAAAAAAGATAAACTTACAGTAAAGCAAAGAGCTAAACAAGGCAGGAAGATCAAAGAAGAAATATATTTTAAATTTGACAGTTTCTACCAAGACGGAACACAGTATATTCCAAGTGAAGTAAACATGTGACGCTAAGAATGCGTACACGTAGAGCTAAGAATACGTAGAGCAGTGACACACGTAGAGCTAAGAATGAAACGAAAGTTGTCAATGTTACTTACTATAGAGCCACTTGTGTAGATATATTGTTTCATTCTGACAAAATTATCAGAAAAGTAAAAGTACATTAACCTTTTGTAGACAATTCACTGCATTTTCAGCTTCCCTGCAATACTGCCTTGGCTCTTATCAAAGTATTTTTTCTTTGCAGCGCTGCTGAAAGCAACGTGAAGCGAGTATCCCTTGAGCTCGGTGGCAAATCACCGTTGATCATTTTTAGAGATTGTGACATGGAGAAGGCTGTCAGACAGGTTAACTATCCTTCCGCGATTTATGATTAATTAAAGCTAAATTACGGTGATATTGATTTAGATCTTTCTAGACAAGAAAGGATTGTATCTGGACAAAAATTTTTCTTCAAAGGTTTCTGTATATTTGTATGTGATGTTTAAGACATAACTTTTCCCTTGTTATGATTTTGGTATAAAGTTTTTTCTTGATCCTCCCCTTAATGAATGGTCCATCACCTCTCTTTTTACAATTGTCCTTGGCTGCATCTCTTTTTAGCTTCTCTATATTCTCTTTTGCGTTTCTGATATTCGTTAACTTTTTTTCTTTTTAGGGAATGTATGCATGCATGTTTAACAAGGGAGAAAACTGCATTGCTGCAGGTGGGCCTTTTCGTTGTGTTTTATTTTTTTTATTAATTTTTGTATATTCATCTTTCTGACATCTGTTTGTTTTCTGTCAATGAATGATGAATCCAGAAAGGGATTTATCATAGTGGCTACTCAGAGAATTGCCTTACGGCATCGAATCTTGGCCTAAGATCAAGGCTAGACGAAAATATGTTATTCAGTAGGTATTAGAATCGCTGCCACTTTTTAATGAAAAAATGTAGCAAATTTGAACTAACTGATGGGCGTTTTGAATTTATATGGAAGCTTTTCAGTACATTTCGGCAGTTCAGCATATGAAAATTCGAAAATTTCTTTATTAGTTGGTTGGTTTTAAATATTTCGAAATATTGAGTTGACAGACAAATTTTATTTTTCTTGCAAAATACTAAAACCCTATGCCCGTTCTTGGTTCTCGTGGGCTACAATCATTGCCTTGAAATGATTTTTGATTAATTCGCTGGCGTCTTAATTTTTAGGTCGATTGTTTATTGAGGAATCTATTCATGATGAGTTTGTCGAGAATGTTGTGAGTAAAAATACTTGATTTTACAGTTTGTTTATGAATTTAATTCTTAAGAGCACGTTTTTGTTTTAAGAATAAAGTTCCTCAAATAAATTTTGTTTCATAAATTACATTTTTACGTAGAAAAACAGCTGCATTGAAATAGTTCATTGGGTAACTGATTTTTTTGCCAATACAAATTTCAATTCTTCCTGGGCTGCAGCCTCCAGTAATGTCTGTACTTGCTTTGACTCGACTGAGACTCGAATCTTGCAACCATGCTGACCCAAAACAAGCTCATTCAAGGGTCTATTTCGCCGAAAATGAAATATTATTTTGAAATATTGAAATATTACTAAGAAAAAACTGAAAGGATTGAAATCCTTGGATTGATAAAAAAGTTTGTTCGGTGTCATTCTGAACTTTCTTATAAACCAGGCACCGCGGAGCTTTGAGAAATGTGGGGGTCTAAAAAATGGGGGGGGGGGCTAAAACCTTATAAAAAGAGGCTTTACTTGTAGTTTATTCATTAATATTTGGCATTTTTTGCAAAAAGTGGGGTGCTGCTCTGCGGTGCCTGTAAACCGTGTTTTCGGTGCTAGAATCACTCATCCCTGAATTTCTATTGTCTCTTTCAACAAAAGAGTGAATAAATGACAGAAAATACCCTTTTGGTTTCGCAAACTTGCAGTTTCGTCGATGAAGTGAAAAGTTAGCTCATGTTTGCCAAAAAAAGGAATTATTTTCTTGTGAAGGGCTGTACAAGCAAGTATATTATAAATATATTGCCTGTGAATAAGCATATTGGCTGCGTGGCGCAATGGTAGCGCGTCTGACTCCAGATCAGAAGGCTGCGTGTTCGAGTCACGTCGTGGTCAGTTGAGATTTTTTGATTTTTTCACTTCTAATTCTTTGCTTGCATTCTCTTTTTGTTTTCATCCACATTTTAGAATATCGGTGTTAAGTTTGTTTAATATTTATGTTATCTTTTTAACAAGATTGCCGAAATAAAGAAAATGAAGATAGGAGATCCTCTTGATCGATCCACCGATCACGGACCACAAAACCACAAGTAATTCATAATTGGATTTATTTTAGTCCATATTTTTTATGACGTTTATACCCTTGTGAAATATATAATTAAAAGATTTTAAGTACCAAAAACCTATCAACATTAAGATTAAATTGACTTTAATACTTAGCAGATGATTTCTGCATTCAATTGAAATGTGCAAACCAACCACAATTTTTATGGGGGCTTGGGGGCTCGTGCTCTCAGCCATTGCAACTTTCTAACGCATCAAATGGCACATAGGTATATGGTATTAATGGGGGGGCGGGGGCGGGGGCATGTCAGAAATTTGTGGTCCAAGAATCTGCTAATGACTTCTGCATAAAGAAACAAAATATCATAATATCAAAATATCATCGAAGGTCTGTAAACCTTAGGGCTTGCTCCCTCCTTTCCAGTTTGTCTTGGTGTCACGTTTCGATACAAAGGGAATAAAGTTACCTTGCACGAGAGTAGATCAACGCGCAAAATTTATATTAGTTGAACCCTAATTCCTTATAGTTCTCCGAAACATGGTTAAATTACCGATAAAAACTTTGTAACAAACAATAACAGTTAGTCAACACCTTACTTGTGTAAGCATATATTAACGTCCCCTCTTGTAAATGCCTTTATTACAAAACCTGATAAAGGGTCTGGAGTGGTAATTTTAACGAAACAAAACTGCCCCTCAAAGAGAACAGCCCCCTCGATCTTGTAGGTCTAGAAACACTGTTAAAACAAGTGATTCTGCCATTGGTCAACATCTTTTAGACAACCCAGATTGTGCAAAACTCTATAATGACGACATGTTTCGGATAATTGGCAGAGCCCGGTAGTCCTTCCATCTAGCAGTTTTGGAGTCAATCTACATAAAAACGAAAAAGCCGCCATTGTGTAGACAAAAGGAGTTCGTTTTCTCTCTTGGACTCCATTGGTAATTTTTCTTTAGGCTCGCGGCACTGGTTGGTCAACTATACCGGTCTTGTGCTTGCGTTTTTCTGATTGGCCTATTTCGATCCACAACTGGGTATACATTTTTCCATCGTGTTTTTTCGGAACCTATTCTGACGTTTTATGCTCTGAGGAGTGTCAGACGAAAAAGCTTTTAGTATGTTGTAAAATGTTTGCTTTTTTCAAAGCCATTTTGTAAATGCCTTTGTAAATTCTCGATAATCCTTGAGTGATACCGAACTTAAATTTCCTTTTTTAGGGCCCATCTCGAATCGCTGCTTCATTACGTGGAGGCTGGCGTAAAAGAGGGCGCGAAATTGGTGTACGGAGGAAAGAGGGTGGACAGAAAAGGTTAGTTATTTTCATAGGTTGTTGCCAGAAGTAAGATTTGAGTTTTTTTGAGTCAGCAAATTCGTCTTTAGTTTTATGTTTCAACCAGTTGATCTTAGATTTGATTTAGGTTCAAGCAGAAGGACCCGGTACACCTTGGTCAATGGAAAAAGCCGTCTTCTCTTCATATAGATAAAAAGTGCCACAAGGATCTATCCTAGGACCAATCGTATTCATTATGTATGTACATGATGTACCACAGTCGACCTTGCTACTGTCAAGATTGTTTGCCAACGACACAAATCTGTTTGCCTTTGGGGAACATTTCAAAGAGCTGTTTAGCCAGATAAACTGTGAGCTCGAGAAGCACCATTAATGGTTTAGAGGTAGCGAACTAAAGGTTTGCTCTGAAAAGACAAACTTCTGTGTTATCAGCCCCTTAAAAACCTTTTCTCATGATGTCACCCTTACTTTTCTGTAGACAAGCCATTGAGACAATTTAATTGTATCAAATACCTTGGCTTTATGCTTGACAAAAGTCTGAATTTCCTGGATTGCGTATAATACAAGTTTTGGTGTATTTTAAAATGTCACTCTATGAAAAAAGAGCGAGAAACAAAAACCCCGTCCCTGCGTATATTCAGATATTTTTAATTCTCGCCGTTTTCTGTGCGGCTTTATAAATTTTTCTTTCCACGCGAAGCATAGTTAAAACGATTTTGGCAGATGCGTGTGTCTTCTTTGCCGTTTTTGCATTTGCGGAAGCTGTAACTGCAAAGAAATGTTGCAGATTAAGAAAAACTATGTTTGTGTGAACAGAGGCTCAGATCCTGTATATCGATCTGCGCAGTAATTAATGCGTGAAGAAGTTGCGTTTACACCTAATATTATCTGACCAAACTACATTTATGCGTGTGACATACACCATATTAAAGGTGTTACGAATGTGAAGTACAATTTGAGCAGCTTTCCGCCATAGTTTTGGCTAAATATGTTCGCTGTTGTTGTCATAAGCCCTGAGAATGCAGCTACCAAAGATTGTTCAAGAAAGATGAGAACTTAATCTATAGTTTAGATATACTTAACAATTTTAGGGAACATTCTGTACGAATTATTCAGATTAATTATAGCTTCCTCTAAATGTTTAGGGCTATTAAATAAAAGCTTTACATTTGGAGCTAATTGATAAAAGGATGAAAGCTGAGGCGATTTTTCTAGTTTCTGCTCTTGCACTATCGGTTTTCTGCAGTTTTTTCCCCAACAAAAGGAAATTGGGTTTTAGTAAAATTAACAAGCTCGTTTACACCCCTGCTCAAACTCTTGGCTATTTGCCAACCAACGCTATGCCTTCTTTCTCGCTTAATCCGTGCGATTGGCTTGCAGTTACCAAAGTGTACTTCGTCACATGAAGCGAATATTTGTGTCGGAAGAATTTGCAAGTAGTCATAATTTATAAGATTTAATACCCCCCCCCCAGAATGTAGTTTATTTTATATCGATTCATGGTCTATCTTTATAGCCATGTGCTTTCAGCTCTTGTCAATTTCCATCGTTTTTCGTAGGTTTCTTCATGGAGCCAGCCGTGTTCACTGACGTCACAGACGACATGTTCATCGCTAAAGAAGAATCATTTGGTCCCGTTATGATCATCTCCAAGTTCCGTGATAAGTATGTGCTTGCCAAGATGTTTACGTTTTTAGACTCTTACTTTCCCAGACATGATCGACTGGGAAGAGGGAGGGGAGGGGGCACATGTTTGTCATTATCTAATCGATGACAATGGTGTGATTATAAGTGTTCCCAAGGAAAGGGTTTTCAAGCAGAGGCAGAATCTTTTGATAATGTCACATCAAAACCAAACCAATTTTAAGCCTTGTCCAAGGTTTTGCTTTTCAAGTAGTTGTGTAAAATGCGCCCTAGTTGTCGAGAAACAATTTGCTTGTCTTGAATCAATTCAAATAGTGTAATTTCGCAAATTCTTTCATTGCTGGTGCTCCACTGTAATTATTTTGCGCGTATTTTGGTAGAAATCGGACATTTTATTCATTGCTAAGGAAAATGCGAGTGAGCGATACAGTCGGGTCTGAACAACCACCAAACTGGATAGGGTCACATTTCTCCTAGCATACTTTATCAAATCCTGTTCTTGCACTGATCTCATTAATTGATTTTTTCTTTTTATTTCAGCGATGTTGATGGTGTCCTTGCGAGTGCAAACAAAACCGAATATGGTCTGGCATCAGGAGTTTTCACTAATGACATGAGCAAGGTAATCTTCAGGATAAAGCCGGGTTGTTTTGTAAACTTGTTTTTTGGAGCCAAGATGGCAAACAACATCCATCATATTAACTGTAAAAACATTGAGGCATTTGGGATGATCCTAACTGATTCATTGTCATTCAGAGGAACAATTTAGTGGAACACGCTATCGGGCACGATAAAAATGCTTGAATCACATCAATTCAGCAATATAATTAGGAGCTAGAAAAGGAGATACTTGTAAATGCAGCAACTGCAAATGATGTGTTATTAGACTCATATTAATGTTTATGCTCGCGTTGTAAATATGCCTTCATTTTATCTTCTGAAATATTCGTTTTTACTATTTCTACAACGGTTCCTCAATTTTTGAACAGCAGTGTTTGTTATAAAGGGAATTTAGGATAAAGGGGTTCTCCATATTTTGTTCGTGGCATTCTCATTTCTGCCAGCACTTAAAAGGAGCCATGACTGTTTAACGACAAAGTCAATTTGGTAATGTTCTTTCAGCCTAATAATCGCACGTTATGATATAGAGCAGGGGCGGCTGGGAGTAGAAAAGTATTGGTATTAGCCTCCGAAATTAAGACATAAGAAGGTCCCCCTGCAAGGTCCTGAAACTATTTAACAGGGGTGGAGCTTATATGTTCTTATTTAAGAAGGTGGGCAAAATGACCTTTTCGATATGATGGTTTAAAATAGCTTTTGGCAATACCATATCTTACAAAATTATTTGAAGGCACTGGCCCCCGTTGTCTCCCCCCAGACACTGATGACCCTGTGGTAATGTAGTTCATCCTGCTAGTTTTGGGTGAAGGATCGGTCCTACGAAATACAAATGAATTATAGCTGCGGCAAATTACTCGAGCGAAATCGTGTTTTGATACAGCGGTTTGCTGCCCAGTAATGGAGCCCCAAGGTATTAGCCCATTAATTCTAATACCATGAGGCTTTTGGCCCGCGAATGAGATTCTATTACGATAAAGCGAGCGATTTACTTTAGAGTAATGCAGCAAAAAAACGTAAGATGTATCATTTGATTTGAGAAACCGAGAGAAATAATGTGAGAATGTTGCCTATGACTCTACAACCATATAGAATCGAAGTTTTACAAAACATACAGTTCATACAAAACAACTTTTACAACTGCCTTTAGCTTAAACAAATTATTTCATGACTGTTGCTCTTTATATTCAGTGTCTAAATTTTGTCAATCAAATTATCCATCCAAAGGCATTGCTAGCAAAAGTACAGCTACATTTTGTAAATTCATAAAGTTAATTTCCAGAAATATTTTTTCTATAAGCTGAGGCCTTAGAATAGAGCTGGGGCTCTTTCCACCGTCCCTTCCACTGACAGTGGCCCTCGTAGTATTAGAAATGAAAAACTAATACCTTACTGCTGTTCACCCATTCTTCTACCATGGCTCAACAAGAGAAATTCACGTCATGCAGACCACAACAGACAAAAGAAATTTCGGGGCAGTGTATTAGTTTTTGGAGGCTAATACCATGGCCAGGGCTGCTGATTACGGCATGGATTACACTTTTCAAAGATTTCAATCAGGATTAGGAAAGCTTTCATTCAACGAACAGAAAAGCAAATATAGCTTGGCTATATGAATAGAGCTGGTCGCATCGATAAAATTGTTGTGAAAAAGTGGCAGCGTACAAAAAGCAAAATAAATTTCCTGCAATCTCAGAGACCCAAAGTCGCCTTCCTTTGAAAATAAAATGGTATTAGACTAATACCTTTAATACCACCCCACGCCGCCCCTGATATAGAGATATTTATAGGCCTAACTATATACTGGAATGTTTTTTAGGCATTACGAGTCGCTGATGGTCTTGAGGCAGGAACCTGTTTTATCAACACGTACAACAAGACTGACGTTGCCGCACCATTTGGTGGCTTCAAGCAGTCAGGTTTTGGAAAAGATCTTGGTAAGTGCTGTTTTTATTTGCAATTATGTAGTGACTGTTTACCTGTTGTTAAAGATGAAGTGCACTGGTAATAGAACCTGAGATGAGGCCACAAAATGTGATGAGCTATCATCCACTGTTTTCAAGAGGTAGCCTGTGCCAGTTCTCCCAAGGTCCTGTTGCTCTCTTACTAAGCTTTTACTAAGAAAAAAGCAAGCATTTTACAATATACTTAAAGCTTTTTCGTCTGACACTCCACAGAGAATCAACGTCAGGATAAGGGTTCGAAAGAACATGATATACTCAAAGGGTTGTCAGACGAAAAATCTTTTAGTATTTTGCAAAGTGTTTGCTTTTTTTAAAAAACATTATCAACTTTTGTACCGCCAAAAATTGTTTACATATCACTGAGCTTTAAAGCTGGCTTCTGCCCCCTCCTGGCCACTGGGTACCAGTTAGATTTCCCTAGACTTTTTTCAAAGGCAGTCGTATTTCTAAATATGCATCAGAGAATGTTGTTAGAGAGGTTTTGAAACATTAAACCTAGCTTGCTAGTTTCTGCAAATTACTGAACTCTATTGTTGCTTCATAACCTAAGATATAGGAAAGCTCTGAAAACACTTACATTTTCCCCCTGAAACTCATCTACGACAAAATATAAACCGAATTTTATATTTCCACCTAAAATGCCTATTATTCTGCAAATTCAAAATATCTAAGGGCTTTACCAAATGTCTGGATTCTTCAATTACTTGGGACCTAATGAACTTATGTTCGTCCAACGAATCTGTCTCAATTCACTCTACCAATTCTTCGTTATAGCTTGCTCCACAAACGACCCAAGAGCGACCGAGTCTTATCTTTATGCTTTAGTTATTAATTGTGAGAAATCTCCTTTTCTCTAGGAATGGAAGCTCTGAATGAATACCTGAAGACAAAAGTTATCACAATAGAATATTGAACAACTAAAAACTGTGCTTGAAGTTAAGATTACTTGCTAAGGCTCAAAGTACAAAGCCTAATGTATGATGTTAAGTCTCGTTTTTGATAGTGGAAAGGAACAAATTGACTGATCATTTTTTTAATTTTACCTCACTCGAGTTTTACACTGGTGGTTCACTTCGCTTATTGGAAGAGAAAAAGTGCAGTTTAAAGCTGCAGGATGAGATGACATCAGTTTGAAACTCTTGTATTTATTTACATGACACCCTTAAAAGCATTTAAAAGCCAAAAATTGTCGATGAGAAATTCCTTCTACTGTCATCGTGGAAGTTTCTATTTGGTAACAATTCTGTTTTTAGTTTTTATTTTATTAGTACATTGTCAACTAATTTGATTCTTTCCCTCTATTAAATTCAACTCTGGTTGCGTCTTTCAGATCCGTGATTATTTCGATTTTTCAAAATTGTTTTGATTTAACCTCAACATGCTCTCGTATGATCAGCATTGTGATCAATCCTCAAGTTTCGCATATACATCACAAAACAAATAAATTAGGTCTGAATGCAGTTCTGTTACAAAAATAAATTTAAAAAAGTATCAGTAAAATCCTGTCTTTTTCTTAGAAATTGAAAATTTAGTTTCTAATTGAAAAAAAACTTTTTTATTATATTTTTGTATGACCATAGATATTTTTGTAACATTGTTCCCTTCATCTGGAACGCCGCCCCTAGAATTTCCTCAAAGAGTAACTGCTGGAAGCGAGAGTTTGTTGGGGAATAACCTACGATTTTAAATCGTATTGAATTAAACGAAATCCGTGTAATGTTGCATTCCATATGTCCGTGCTCACGTGTGCGTCACTTTGAAGTTTTTCTTTGTTTTCATGTCTGCCAGTCACAGTGTCATTCTGGGTAGTAAGATGACGTCAGGCACGCTCGTTGAACCTATGACCGCCATGTTAGGCTGCTAAGATGGTAAATCTTTTTGTACATGCCGAAGATTACATGAAAGCTAGAAGTGAACGAGATGTGGAACTAGGCAAAATTGGCCTAGAAAAAATTGTTGAATTGTTCAAGATAAGGAATTATCCCTGACCATTATTGTGACATGTGACATAGTACCGTGTCCAGCTTTTCAAAAGTTGTAAGAAAATCTGCGTTTGAAAAGAATATCTTTAAAGAATTTTTCATATATCGTTACACCAAGTTTCGCCTTATGGCATGTGAATACCGGATGCTGAAAATAAACCAGTTTACTGCAGACGAAAACCAGGCAGGTTCTCAAACGATTTAATGCCAGCCTACCTCTGGAAATCAACTACGATACGATTGCATTCCATTTTATCACAAATTCACTAGTAAATCACAAAACTGTGAAAATATTGCAATGTCACCTGGCGAAAAATGATTTATCAAATCTATTTGTCTGTAATTAAAGCCTGGTAACTGATCATACTGGACTACATCGCATCAATAAGTGTCCAAGGAAATCTTAACTTATTTTTAATATTTAATGCAATAACATAAAATAAACGGAGGATTTCGAACTTCTCGCACCGTCTCTTGGGTTTCTTTTATCCGAAATCATTCAGTAAATACTGTAGGTAATTGAAATAAAATTGTTTGGTACAAAGAATTTATCATTTTACCTTGCTAGGAATTTGTGATGAATTCTGAACAACCTTTCTTGCAGATCAAGATCCTTTTCCTAAATTGAATCATTTTCATCTGCAAATGTTTTTGATAACATTCATTTTCCAAGGCCGTCGGAAGCGAGGGGGGCTGGAGCCCGTTAATAATTGACAAACTGTGTTGTATTTTCTTTGTTATAGTGTACTGAATAGGAAGCAATACAAGAGGCAGCCCCTCTTTAATATAAATTTTTGCTTCTACGACACTGTTTCCTAAGGTTGAAATATCGGGGCCAGCGTGACGTCACAACTGAAAAAATTATAGAGCATGCGTACTTGTTTGTTTTTGGATGGCTTGTTCTGGAAGCATGCTGCAAAGATGGTGGATTTTAACGTGATTTTCAGAAAGTTCGGATGGTATGCCTTTCTAGCTGGTTTTTGATAACTGCTTTTTTTGTAGGTAACCATTTATAGAAATTTTTTACAAGGCTGTTTCAGAAAATTAAATTCAGGCAAATGTAATGGAATCTTCGAGAAATGGAAAGCTAATGTGCAAGAACTTTTTTAGGCCATTTGGTTTACTGCATATATTTATGTACATGATAGATCATTCTGAACTAAATACCCTGGTTAAAGTAACTGGAAACATATACCAGAGGCACTACCAAGCTACTTCTGACCGTAAGACTCATAAAAGAAACAGATTCATATCTGTCTTTGCGTGGTGCTCTCTCATTTGAAGACGAGCTTTATTTCTTTATAGTGACTGTTGAAGCATTAAAAGACATCGTATATATCAAAGATGGGATCAAGTTATCCATGGTTGAATTTAGAAGACACTGCCATACTTGAACTGCTTCATAAGTGGGAAAAGGAAGATGCAGAAGGGAACAGAAAGCCAACCGAAATCCTTAAAAGGTATATGTCTGTCATTTTGCAGTTCAGTTGGCCTATTTATGCTTTTGGTGTATAAAGCAGGATGGTTTTAAGTTGCTACTCCAAGTTTCATGCCTAATGCAATCATCAGGCAATTGTATCAAGGACCTCTTTAAGATTTTTGCCTTTACAGTCTTGACAGTATTTCAGGTTATGGATACAGACTGTACAATTATTTCACCAGTGTAATTGTTTTTGATAGAAATTTAGGAACTTTATTTCATGACTGCTATGGCATGAAATGTCTAGTGAAAGGGATTAATATCAAAGTCAGTTAGCAAGCAGAGCTGTTTTACAAAGACATCTTTAGCAAAGAGCTGGATATTTTTTGGTTGATGGCATTGATGTACTGGAATTGCAATGTAGAATTGATATCTGTCATGGAATGAAATATCTCTGACTCTTTATTGATGATTATCATATCTTATCATCAATTTTTCAAGCAGACTGCACTCATCACCTGGTTTTTTAATGAAGGTGTATACATTTGACAATACAATAAAAATTTCATAATTTTTTGTCTTTGATAGCCAGATTTAATCTTGAATGATTGAAGTATGATTTCCTATGTTATTATTTTCATTTCCTGTTCCCCTACATAAATGCCAGATAATCCAGATGTAAAGGAGATTTGAATTATATGATTAACAGCACAATAACACTTTAAGTGCAGTTTAAGAACATCTGATGGTGGTTAAAATGAAGGGTACCAATTTTTTATACTGACTGATTTTAGCTATATTTAGAATAGTATAAAAGTTGGTAATTGTATTCATTGCTTTTATAGTTTATCAGAAAAAGTTGAAGAGCAATATGAGCAATTCCTTGGGCTGGTTCCAGACCCATTTGATGACAGACATCCTTGTAAGTAACTTTATTGAGTTGAGTATGCAACAACAAATTAGATATGTATCTCAGGGTTTAAGTCTGGGTTCAGATATGGCAACAATTATCTCTACTGTTCTTTTCTCTGTGTAACAAAAGTTAATTAACCAACTAGTGGAAATTTAGGGCAACACAATTCTGCTTGCTTCATATAAAGTGATATAGGATAATGGTTGATATTGAAAATATGATATTTTTGTGGTATAATCTCTTTTTCAGTATGCGATGCACTCTACTAAGTTTTGTCATTATTGAGTCATCACAAGAACAGAAATTGTGTCTCATTGTAAATGTTGGCAGGTGTAATAATCATTGCCAAAATCACATCACATAGGCAGCAAATGACTCCATCCTTTGGTCAATGCCTTCGACCAACTTTGTAATAAGCTCAAGTGCATTATAAAAAATGAATGGTTAATATGAAAATCAAAGAAGCTTGTTTACCTAATTGATTAGTTCTTTCACCTTTAGCTCAATCTTACCCGGACTGTAAGTTTGGTGACACTTTGCGCCTGATTATTGGGGAAAAGGAATTCATGCATAAGGTAAATGCATCTCTATGAATTTTTATTGATTGTCCGGAAAAATTGATTTATTACAAGAGAATATGAAGCAGAAAATGTAAAAAAGGATGAGCAGCATTGCTTGGAACAATTTTTGCCATGCCTTTTCATTAGGGGTGAATTATAAAACATGAATGATCTATGCTAGATTACGTTTTTTAATGGGAGGTAGGAGAAATACTTAAAATTTGCTAAAATCTTTTGTAGTATATCAGGATTTTGGTAGACATTGTACTGCAAGTATCTCATTATCCATTTCATTGTATAAAGTTCTATAAAACACACCCAACTGCTCATGGTAACCTATTTTTTCCTCTATCTTTAGCTGACAACATCATATTTTGCAAATACAGATGACGATTTTGAATTGAACTGCCAAGCTGCTAGGCTGTTGCTCAATATCTTGTCAGGAATGGAAGGGAAAATATTCGAGGATTGGGTAAAGACATACACATTTGTTTTGTTGCTTTTATGCTAAACTGGTATTTTATACTTTTGTACTGAAGCATGCTGTCCAAGTTCAACATTTTTATTTTGCATTTGTCGCAAACCCACTTACATTTTCAATCTTATTTTGTAAAGGAAAGTGTTGGAAAAATCTGTTACAAGTGGGGAAAGGCAGGCAAAGAACCATTACGATCATATGCTATTGGTATGTCTTTAAAGATGTAGTTTTTTTTACAGTTCCCATTTAGAAAATCTTGATTTGCCTATGAATATTGTCTTTTGTTTTCTGACACTTGTGGTTAGGGGGGAGGGTCCTTGTTAGGCTGAATTTAGTATGTGAATTTAACTCCCTTATTATAAATTGCCTCTTGATGGTTAAGAAAGGATAAATTCATGTTTTGTCTCATGTAAGACGGGGGCTTTCACAAAGAAAAATATGAATATGGTGAAACGTGGTGTAAGCAAAGCATTGCTCTTGGAAAGAAAGAGTCAAAAGGATTGCCCAACCTCTAAAAATCTCAAAGACGGCACCTCTGCTGGGACATGGCTATTGTCTCAATTTTTGCCATTCTTCCGGTTGGCTCAAATCTTAGATGATCATGTATTTGGTAATTCATTGATTTACTGGTTCATTTTTACTTGCTATTCGACCAGCATATGCTTCAAATACTGTATTGCATAACATAGGCCACATAAATTTTGCACGTACACAGTGCTTGGTTAAGCAAAACAAATCCATCAAATGTATATTCACCCACTGCCAGTTTAATAGGAGTCAATGCTGCAAGAAGCAGGAAAAGATTCAAAGTACCAATTGTATGACCTAGGCTGTGATTTTAGACATTGAGATGTCTATTTATGTAGTAGGCTGGAACTGGCTAAGCAATCAGGGCAACCTGTAAGATATGACACGTAACAAGATGCCTCCTCTTTTTAGATATATTGGCCGTAGGGATGCAGAACGAAGAAAATGCTGGAATTTTCAAGGAGGAAAACCAAGCAATGGTATATTTATTTTGTATCTATAATAACTATAGTTCTTTTAGCGCAATTTTGAAGATCTTAAAGGCAGATTATTGTTTGATTTTCAACTTGATTTTGTTGTACAGTCATGGCTCGTAATGCACAGTGACAACTTCAACCGTCTTTTACTCCGACAGTTTCCCTAAATCCGACAATATTAGTTGTTTTCAATAATATATTTGTCGTCTTAATGTAATAAGATGTTCTGCCATGATAGTTAGAGAAATTTTACGTCTTGTCTACGTGAATATTTGTTTTATACGCAGGTTCCCATTGTGCTTAAACGGTTAAAATGTTTGAAGGAAATCCCTGATCTCAGCACTCCGGCTATTCAGAATTGCAGCAAACTATCCGTGAAGGCAAGTTCAAAAAGCTCATCGAGACACGTCAGGTATTCATCTGGTAAAATTCAAAAGAAGAAGGAAGAGGAAGGCACGCCAACTAGTTCAAAAACAAAACAAGCCGATCAACAGTATACCAAAAAATCTTTGCAAGAAGCAATTGAGAAACCTGCTGGAGAACAAACCGATAATGAGAAATCGGAAGAGAGCAAGGCTGAAGCAAAAGATGGTTTGTATATTTTCAACACTAAGCTTAAACGAGTTCTTTCCAACCCAATGCAGTAAATTCCGTCTATTTTAACACTGGCTTTTCAACCCAGACAAATTCTAAGAATGAACAATATCATCAAAATTGTCTCTTATTCGCTTTGGTGCCAAAAATGGCTAAAGTGAAATGCTCCCGTATGCCCCCGGCTTAGCTTTTAACAGCTGCAACATAAGCTTCTGTGTTGCAACTTGTAGAACTTAACGCTTAATGAGCTCACCAAACAACTGTTTATAGGACAGTAAGGCTCATGATATACTTTGGCTTTCCCGACGCTAGTTATCAGTGTTAATTTATAATTTTACCTCTTTTCAATACAGGTAAAGAAAGCCAGGGAAGTGCCACGAGTTCTCAGTGGCAAGAACAACTGAAGATTGCAAAAGAGGCAAAAAGTGCGAAGGCGAAGAGGTATGGGTACAAAAAGCCCACCTGGTGCTTATGGCCTCTAACTGTTGGTTCCCAGCAAAGATCGTTGGTTGGATATGTGACGTCACTTGGACAGTACCAGGAGGTTTGTACAACTGCGTGTTATTATCATCAGATCATTATGCTTTTTGATTGGGCATATGAGAAGTTAGTATAAAGATAGATAAGGCTACACATTTTGTCTACGTATTGCGATCTTTCTTCATACTTTATCATTGGGTCTCAAGCTGCTGTATTGAAAATCATCAGTATGTTGTGAGCCGTCACTGTTTAAAGACGAGGGGGTATGTTACGAGTTTCCGAGTGGGGTTGACTATTCCTACAAGGGAGTTTGTATCTCCATCCTATTGAAAAACGTTGCTGCATGCTGACGACAAACAATGCGGATGTTTTTTGTGCGATGTACGTTTAATCCAAGTGATAACCATTGTATCTTGAATGTGCCAAGGCGAAGACAATAATTTGTATGATACCAGATATCTGCGTTAATACCAATAATGCATTGAACAATAAGCTCTCGTGATCAATGTACCATTTTTGTGTGTTTCTATTTCCTCAAATAATTTCCCCATATAACCTTTTGCGAGAAAAGTCTTTTTTTAACGAGCTTCTTTCCCCATGCATCGAGCTTGTTTAGCGGTCTCTCATCTCCCTGCTCACCCTATGGACTTCCTCCTGTGCTCGGCTTCTTATGTTTCCTCGTTGCACTGTTGTGTTACTAAATTCTTTCTGTCATGGTCGTCCATTGATTAACATAAAGGCTAAAGAAGTTTTAGTTTGAAACTTGCCACAGTTGTGTGATATTTTTGTATTCTATTTTCAGCTTCTCATCTACGCTTTTGAGCACGATGCTCTAGAACTTATATTCTACTACACCAACGTGAAAATGCAGAAGGACCCGATCCTGGCTCTTCGTGGTTTAGAGGTAAGCGCCAGAGCCTTTTTTTAGTTTGGGTCTACACAACCTCCTTTGTGAATTCTTTTTCAGCTAGTAGCTAAGCAGGTAACCCCACAATGATTCGATTCAGAAGAATGTTCCTCTTAATTTTTCTGTTTTAATATCACATTTTAGACTATTAAACAATGGAATAGTATTGTTATCAAAACTTGATATTTTAAGGGAAATAGAAGATGAAATATTGTATCATAAAGGGTATCAAAAATTGCATGGGTAGGGTAAAGTAAATCTAAAGGGGTTGGGTAGTGTATTCGATTAGTATTAGATCTGATATAACTTTTCATTTTATTATTTTCGCTAGTTGTTTTTGTGTTATCTTTCATGCATGGCCTCTTTGATATCTTTGATGAATGGTAAACCAGCTTCGCTGAATTGGCTACCATACTTAAATAAACTTAATTGAATGTGTTTCATAGAAACGCATTAAGCAGGATACATTTGTGTTTGCGTTTGCAGTACCTTTCTGCTTTGATGTGTCACAAGAAGTTTGTAACAGAGTTTGTTGCTAGAGGTGGGGTGCAAAAACTACTAGAGATACCAAAGCAGTCGACGTCATCCACTGGAGTCTCCGTCTGTTTGTATTACTTGGCGTATAACGATGATGCCATGGAACGGGTAAGTATTCCACCAATAGCTCCCATTAATACTTTTTCAGTATCTAATGCAATTCATCTGTATCTCATAACCTACCCTTTGATCATCTAGTGTTTAACACTAATCCTCTGTCTAGGTCTGTTCACCTTAATATCTACTAACATGCCTTTCGTTTTGTCTATTCACCTCAGTGCCTACCAACAAGCCTTTCGTTATTTTTGTTCAACTTAATGCCTACAAACAAGCCATCTAGCCTTGTAATCCTTTGATAGTGTTGCATTGTGAGTGTAGCAAGCATAAATCGAGGCTGCATGTAGCTGTAAAATCTGCGATAAGCCAATTGCATGTTTTGAAAAGGTATGCTGTAGCTGGCTCACCCAACGAATTGAAATGATAATAAATGTGACAATCGAAGGAGGCAAAAAGTAAAGTGTTTGATATATAATCTAAAGAATCTTTTTTGCTCGACTTTCTACAATTACTACGGTAATCACAAGCGATCTGGTTAACTTGAAGAAAAATGATATATTAGTTAGAATCCCTTACTTCAAGCCAAGTGATCATGACCTTGTAAATTGTATGAGTATTCCTGAGCGAATCTGAGCATTCTTTTTGTATTAGGTGTGCCTTCTACCCCAGCCAATGCTAACAGATCTGGTGAAATACGCGTTGTGGCTCATGGATTCTGGCATCCACGACTCGGCTCGTTGTTATTCTACGCTGTTTTTCTCTCTTGTGTTCACGTTCCGCGCCATCTTGGATTTGTTTGTCTCCATGGATGGCTTACGAAGACTCATCAACACTGTAAGTCAGCTTGCCTTCTGCCTGTTCGGAATTTTAGATTGATGTAAATTTGCAATTGTGTTTTTTCACAGAAAGATGATTAAAAAGGCCGAGAGTTTTACTTCCAATTCAACTCCTTTAAGTCAATTTTGTAACGCAAGACACCAAGTAACAATATGAGATGCAATGATTTGAGAATAGCAGTCATTAAAACTAGAAATAGGCCCCCCCCCTTTTGTGTGCCACGGATTTAAGGGTAGCATACGTTATTACCTCAAAGGCACCGCCACTGTTGTCAACTATTTTTATTCTTCTTAATGCTGTATATGCTATAAAGACAATCCCCCTCCCCCCAGATCATATCAGAATTTCTTCCGATTCTAGACAATACCAGCCTGTAAAGCCCTTCGATGTTTCGGGCTATTATACAAGACTAAACAATTTAGCTCTAGCCAAATATAAGAATTTGTCAACTGGTTGATTTTGTAATTTTTGTAGGCTTATCAATGTGTTTCTGACTGTTTTGCAAGAAATCTTCTGCCCTCTTTTAGCTTTGTTCGATGTTTCAGGTAACTGTTCTTAGCATTCTCCGACCCGAAGAAGCCAGACTTATGGCGAACGACGAATCATTTGGGATGAGGCAGATTATCAAACATACTCTCTTAGCATTGCGACGGTTCTTTGAAGCTCAGCTCTCAATTAAAGCTGATGAAATCAGACGAAAAATTGCACGAAACGAAGGAACCCTTCCTCCACAACCAATTCCTGCTTACAAAGCTGTTCCTTTCTCTCTGAATCAGCATCTTGAAAACATTCAGCTACTTATTGAAAATTCAGAAGAGATTTCAGCATGGGTGCCATTGTTGGTTCGTGAAGTTTCATATTATTGCCACTCCAACTGTTCTCTTTGTGATTTATAAAGTTCTTATCTGCTACATATCTATATAACAAATTATTATTATTCTTACTGCTAATGATAAATATTCTCAAATATGTAATAATATTTGGTTGCTGATTTTTAGTTTGTGTGGGTCAAGGTCACAGAGATTAACAAACTGTATACAACCTTTTCGCCTTGTGCATATTTTAAGATGACCACCTTTTCAAGTACAAGGAATGCCTTACTTTGCATGGGCTCCGACGCAGGTTGGAAAATGGAGGGGCCAAGAGAAAGTGTTACAATCATAACAAAAGTTTTTTTAAAAAAACTCTATTGTTTTGCAAAAAAGTGAGGGGGCCATGGCCCCCCTGGCCCCCTATTCGTCGGAAGCCCAGCTTTGAGACTGCCTTCCTAAGGGTTTCCCCTCCTCTGGTGATTTTTGGTCAGTCAAAGCTATTGGTTGATTCAGTTTCGTTTTCCCACCAACAGGCTTTCAAGAAACTAGGAGGAATCCAGCTTCTGTTCCAGATTATATCATTTGCGTCATCCGGATGGGAAGGGTACAGCAACAGGTAAATATTTTGTATCAAATTGTATCATGACGTGTAAAGTGACTTTACGTGACGTTTATTTTTAGTTTCATTTCACACCCATAGTAAAATTAGCGGTGTATTATATTCTCAAAACGGTTTGATATTTCTCCTATAAATGGCAATTCAAACATACGTATCTGACACTACTGATCTCTTAAGATTCTGTATTACCAGCAAATTTCCTGTTGTATGCAAAGGAAGGTTTTGCTTTCATCGTGAACTGAATTTCATCGTGACTAATGATTTTTTTTCCAGGAATGAAGTTGTGAAATCGGCCTTAGAAATCCTACTTGTGCTGTCTGTGAACCCAAAAGTTCAGCTTGCATTTTGTCAAAACGTCCCCCTTGAAGCGGATGACAGCCAGTCCGGAATAAGGTAATGTACTTCGTTCATAATGGGTGCAGCTTTTGACTATCAGTCCTTGAGATCTTTCATAAATTAGATCTTTCCTTGAAATTTAGGATGTATATCTCCGCTTATTTATTCGTATTTCTCATTCTATATTTTCCTTATCCGCTTAAAATTGCTCTATTTTAGATTTATAATATCCCAAAGCTTGATATCTCAAAGGGTGTGATTTCTTTAAACACACAAATGTAAAAACTTATTTCAGCTTATTGGTTCGTGCTGCAGAAGGAACACTGTTAAAAGGCGATGGAGAAATCCAAAAAGTTGCTCTTCAGATCTTATGCAACTGTGTCTGTGCTCCAAAAGCCAAGTCTAAGGTTCGTATGTCAAGCAGGTAACATTTAGTCATTTGTGCAGGTAAAATACAGCATTTCAATGTCTTTACATATCTTATGCATTGTAGAGGAAAATGGTTCAAAGTTGCTCCTCTAGGTTCCACCCTCAATGCAATCATCAGGCACCAAACCTCATTATTATGTTTTGTTTGAAGTTGCTAAAGTTTATCTGAATGAAAAGAAAGTGTCTATTCAATACTTGCCAAATAGCTGCTGGTAATATTGTGATTAAGAAGCCAACAGGAAAGGTCCCCTTATTTAGATTATTTTGTATACCGTATTCTTGATGCTTGTTTTTACTTTTGTTTTGTGTATTGAGTCATAATGCATGCTAGTACTGGTTTCTGGCTGTGTATAAACTGTTAATAGTGATACTTTTACTATATGGAGGCGTGAAGATTGCAGTTATTTAATTGATTATTTTGTATTGTTTTTTGCTCTTCTTAAGAACATCCCTGCTGTACCACGCACTTTTGCAAGACCATTGAAAGTTGAGGATGTCTCGCATAAAATGTGGAATGCTGTGCGAATGCAGAATGGGATCAAAGTTCTTCTTGGTCTGTTGAATACAAAAACGCCAATCACCGAGGCTGACGCCATCAGATGTTTAGCTTGTAAGGTGAGGAAGGAACAATATTTATTGTAGTGGTCTTTTGTGGTCTCTTGTTTTTAGAGAACATTTAATGATGTAATGCAAAATGACTTTTTCACGATAAATTAATTACAGCAAGATCAGATCGGTTCGGATAGGCCTTTAGATCAGGCCTTTAAACACCGGTAAGACAGACATTAACAGGGCTTGTATTAGACTTCGCTCTACAAGCTACGCGCGTGTCAATGAAAAACGCAAAAGGAAAAAAAATCAATTTCAAATATTACAAGTAGCTGGAATAAAACTTGCAAATGATTGCACTGCTGAGTTGTAGAGTTCAAAGGGACAAGCATCTTTACAGCAAACTAACCCAGTCTTTTTTTGGAAAAGTGATGTTAGTTTTTATCTGTGTTTGTGTTTATTTAAATTGTTATATTTTTTGGACTGAAATACGTCTGCGATCTAAAATCAAAGATTTCTATGAAATACTTCTCCAACCTCTTGGCAAATAATGAGGAATCCATCAATGACCTTATTGACACCAAGGAACAGTATGGATACCTTTTGAAGTACTATCTTTCTGACGTTTGACTCCGTGTCATGAATGCCTTCTATGAAGATATTTTCTTATTTTCAATTAGGCCTTATGTGGGTTATCAAGAAGTGATCGGATCCAGCAAGTTCTCTTAAAGTTGATTTTCACGTTCAGTGGTCAGCTGCAAATGTTGATGAGGGAACCGGTACTCCCAGACAAAACTAACGAGCATGTTAAGTTTTGTAAGTATGCCTCGGAGTTGATTGAAAAAATCACAGGGAAGGTTTTAACAGAACATGGATCACCAATGGCGATGCTCCATACTCTAAAAAAGGTGAGTCTCCTTTACAAGTGGAGTCTCCTTCACAAGTCGAGTCTCCTTTTAAAGTGGAGTCTCCTTCACGAGTCGAGTCTCCTTTACCAATCGAGTCGTCTTTTCAAGTCGAGTCTCCTTTACAAGTCGAATCTTCTTTACAAGTAGACTCTCCTTTTAAAGTCGAGTCTCCTTTACGAGTCGAGTCTTCTTTACGAGTCGAGTCTCCTTCACAAGTTGAGTCTTCTTTACGAATCGAGTTGTCTTTTCAAGTCGAGTCTCCTTTACAAGTCGAATCTTCTTTACAAGTAGACTCTCCTTTTAAAGTCGAGTCTCCTTTACAAGCCGAGTCTCCTTTACAAGTCAAATCTTCTTTACAAGTAGAGTCTCCTTTCAAAGTCGAGTCACCTTATAAGATAGCGTATTCTTGTTTACGTAGCTAGGTGTGCTGTAGTTGTTTTCAATGTTGGGAAAGTCAGCCAGAACCCTTTTTTTCTTCGTTATACGAATTGTCAAATAATATCATATTATGCAAAAATCGCTTTCAAAAAAGCAAACATTCTAAGACATATTAAAGCTTTTCGTTTGACCCTCCCATAAAAGGAAAGCCACAGTATGCCTTAAAATGTTTTTCAAAGCCATTTTAAAATTCTCTGCCAAGAAATTATTATGGCATTGAAGTTCTGTTATATTGAGTTTTCTGTATTAAAATTGTTAACATTTAATTTAGGGGACAATGGATGAATTCGAAAGTTTTATATATTCACATCAGGCATCCCTTAACGTAAGAATCCCTGCTAGGCCAATGATGAGATTAGGTGTGAATAATATCTTTCTTTTCCCGGACCTGCTAGGGTATAATATGTAAATCATTTTTCCACAGGCTGATGTTGTATCTCAAACTCACATTTCTTATTCCGAAAAAGAACTTCTGCAGCTGATCGTGAATCACTTGAAAACTAAAGGTATATCTATGGATACAAACTTTGCTTTGCTTCTAGACTAAACACTTGTCATTGATGCAAATGTACTCAAAGAACAGGAAAAGGAAAGGTTTGAATGAGAAGCGGGTGAATCTGAAGCTGTATTAGTCAAGGTATGTATTGATAGAATTTGAGTATGTTGATAAAAAGCGTTGATCGTGATGTGTTACTTCTAGGATTTAATGCAGCTGCAAAGACTCTTCAAAAGGAGGCAAATCTTACTAATACGAGGCAGAGCGAAATTAGTAAAGACGCAGCGTTTCTCTCCCCAGTCCCTTCGAAGAAACTGAAAGTATGTTGTTGTTTTATCGATTTAATCAAAATCTCATTATAGAGACTTTTTAAGCAAGCAACACTGGCGAATATTTTATAATTTCATCATAAGTTTCTTGTCTATTTTTTCCTAATTCCTTTTTTATTCTTGTCAATTTTCTTTTCAGTTTCTTCAACTAGGTTTTTGTCGTCAAGTTCTGTTGTTGTTATTTTCATGGTATGCGAATGCTCGTTATTTCTCAAGTAGTTGCAAACATTTTTGCGATGACTCGAGAAAGGTTCCCCATTTGATCTTTTTGATGCCGTAAGTTATTCAGCTGCATAAACAAGAAGTACAATTACAGTATTTCTTTTGCTTACTTGACCTCACGACCACATGGCAAGATTGTTTGGAAAACCTGTCTTTTACTTGTTTAGACCTGTAAACCTGTTTAGAAGTGACAAATTCTGTCCAGATATAAAATTCTGATAAGTATAATACAGTGATAAGTTCTGTCCAACATTTTATATCAAAAATGTTTATCCTTAAGCAGTCTCGACCATCAAGTCTTGCGAAAAGAAAAAGTGAAATTGCCATTCTACTTCCAGCTTTCTTAAAATTAACGTTCTTACCCTTTGCAAACTCTAGTCTTCAACAAGCCATCACCGGACACCGGAAACTACACTTACCTATGGAGACAGTACACCTGGAACTCCTTCTATTTATCGCCCGGAACCGGAAAAATTGTTAGACCGGGTTTGTAGTCCACAGTTGATATACTTGCAATTGTAATATTTATAGATATTTGAAAGTGGCCTGAGCATTGGAAACCTGAAGTTTGATTTATTACTTAATGAAATTTTTCAATAGTGACTGTTTTTGAATTGTAGGCTTTGGGGAACTAGTATTTTTTAAACTATTTTTTTTAAACGCAAATGCTAAAAATCTGTTTGTAGATATGCTTCTAAAAAGTGGAAAATGGATTAGACGAAAGATAACTCCTTGATGAGACTGAACCAAAGATAGCTCCTTTGAGTTCTGCAATCATTTAAGCATGAAGGGGGTATTTTTTTGGGGGGGGGGGGTATGCTTACGGATAATATCCTTGTTAAAAGCTACCCTGTAATAAACATATTGAGGTCCTTGATTTAGTGAACATTTGAAACCTATAAAAAAAAGAACCAAGCTTAATTCATTGCTTAAGAAATTTGTGCAAAGGTTAAAAAATAACGGCTAGTCTAATAGTTTTTTTCTATTTTTCAAGCTTGAGATGTCAAAAGGAAGTACCTCACAAAATAACAATAATAATTTCCAACCGACCCTCGACAACATCGTTCGGAACTATCTCCGGGAACAACATGCACGATGCCGGAACCCGGTCACAACCTGTCCTAAATTCTCGTTGATAAGGTAGGAATTTTAAAAAACTGTTACTGCAGGAGTTTTAAAACATTTTTTTAAAATACTGCAGGAGGTCAAATAGGGGTGTAAGTGAACCATAACACATACTATTTGAATTTTTACTGAGTTGCGAATTCTTTGAGAGTGAAGTAAATCTCTGCAAGAAGAATCGTAAGAATTTAGAAGAAACAGGCTGTTCTTATTTGGTTAAGCACTTTGAGTTAAAGAACGATATGAGCTTGAACAGTTACAAAGGTTTGATTTTCAATCGAATTGTTTCCGGAACTATTTATTTGTAAAAAGAAACAAAAATTTCCGTTGATGAGTAAGCAAGTTTACCATCAAAAACACATTTTAGATAGAAACCTTATGTAAGAACATCAAGTGCATGCAATTTTCAAATAGACCTTTAAAACAATGTTTTAAAAACAGTTTGACTCCAGAAAGATTGACTCTCTTTTGCAATAATTTACCGTATGTGGGGGTATTATCATGCTCTCTATTGATCTCTCCAGTAATGCATTGAACATTCAACCTAACTTAACATTATGACGGTAATACTTAGGATCAAGGCAACACGACGACGAGAATCCAATGTGGTTAAACAGAATTGTAAAATAAATTATATTTAATAAATTCTAATATTTCGTCCCGGCATACAGGATCTCGTTAGGGTAAATGTAGCGAACGAGTGCATTGTGATGTCCACATTTAATGTAAATCGAATCACGTGCCCTCCCCAAGGTAAAACCACCATTTTACATTCAAATCAGTACGATGTAGCCTGTAGCATGCAGTTGTTTCCCCATCCTTCTTTTCCAACAACCCTTTTCTTTCTGGATCCTGCTATGAAGCTTTATGTATTGTAAATATATGGTAATTCACAAATACATATACAATATCATAATGAACTATGAAGGACTGTAAACCCATCAGTTATACACACTCATTGCTTTTAAACCTGCCAATATCAAAGTAGGCTTCCCTTTCACCATGAAGTTTCCGGCAGAGTTTACAGTGTGTCGTATTTCATTTGACCAGGCCCCATCAATGCCCGGAGCCTCACTACAAAATGCACGCACCCACTAACATTATGAGCCGGATGTTCCATCGTCAGGTGTGTATTAGAACAATTCAACTTCAATTTGTACAAACAGTACTATAGAACCACTAAATGGACATCTTCCAATAACAGACAACTCATAACACAGAATCCAGAATTGCTTTCACTTTGGGAAAATCTTTTTAAAAGTACCAGTCCGGTCCTACAATATATTTTTTGTTATGTGTAATGCGTAGAAACCCTTTATGCCTTTTTTAGGAATTTCCAATGATAAAAAAATCAATGCGGTCTTTCCTTTTCAGAAAGGAAATGTCCTATTTTTAATCACCGAGTTACGATTTTCATCTCAGTCTGATGTTCTTCTGGTTTTTGACGTCATTTCCTATACATACGTTTTTCCCTGCATGTCAGTTAACAGTTCTTTTACCTAGTCTATGATCATCCAGGAACCTGGAAAACAACTTGAGCGAGATGATAAACATAATTGAAGAATTTTCACTCATAAGGACTTTTTATGACAGCGCAAGGGGTATTTTACTCAACCTGTCCCACAAATATATATAGTTCCAACGATATATTTTATATATTGTATTGTTTCATTTCAATCTGTGAAATCAAGTATAATTCTCATCCTTTCATATTTTCTTGCAACAAAATTGCAGATCCAACCAAGACATGGTGGAAAAATGGGTGCTAAATTCAATCGAAAGTTCGTCTACAGTCGGCAAGTTACTTCTGACTTTGACCATTTTGCATTTTGGCTTATGTCATTTGCCACTCAAACCAGTAATTTACTGTAAATTAAATTTTATTTCAACATCTGTGTGGTTTAAGTACTCGTTCAGTTTCTTTCCTTCTCATTTGAATTACACCGATATCCGCAAATTTCATGACTTGACATGACACGATAAGATACGACACGACAGCACAAAACACGACATGACATCTCATGACATACGACATGACATGACATTGCATGACACGATATGACACAATATGACACGATATGACACGATTTGACATGACATGACATGACATGACATGATCTATGATCTATGATTTTTTTCTACCTTTACTGTTAGCAAATTAGTTAACACCAATTAGTATGATTGTGATAATTGTAACTGTCAACTCCGAGAAGCGAGTATCATCAAGCAACCATTTTTGCTGAAAAATATGGCTGAAGAAAAAATAAGAAATTGAAATTTTTTTCTTTTCCAATAAGTTTCTTTCAACAGTTTTATTTTTAATTTTCGCCAATTCTAGGTTTCGATCTGTCGGTACGATTGAAGACAACGAAGGAATGGCATCGTTTACCTGTGCGAAATTCCTCGTGAGTTGAAAACCAATCAATTACCCTTGTCTTCACTTTCGGTAAAGTTTAATAAGATATTTTGGGTAACCAATAATTGTATGGTCAATATATTGATTTTGAATATGAGTAAAGGCAAATTAACTGAAAAGTTTGATCTCATGAGCTATCAAGCCTAAGAAGTGAAAATTAAGAAGTGAAAATTAAGAAGCTTACATTATGATTTTCTGTCTTTTTGCAGCCTGATGGTGATTTAATCTTACTTGGAACCAAAGAAGGAGAAGTGAAAATGTTTAATATTTTCTCTGGCCTGGTAATTCTACCTTCTTTTTTGTGCTTCTTTCAAAACTTTTGAATCTATTTTAGATGCACGTCTCTGTGTGACCAGAGCAGAGTATATCGTTATCTTAAAGTCATCAAATTCTGCCTATTATTCTATGGACCTCCAGCGGTATCAACATTACAAGCCTAATTGTTTTTTGACTCACATTTGTATAACGCTGAATAAAGTTATCAACTAGAAGCATGTATTTTCATTGTCCTTTTTTGGAAAAGCTTCGTCATTCGTTACCTACCATTTTATACCACATAAGATTTTCACGTTGCGTGACCTAGATGCGAATCACATCCCCCCTGATTCATGAAATTGTATCTCTTTTTCAAGTTCAGTGAAACATTACGAAAGCTTTTTGATAAATTATCCTTTCCAAAAGTGCCTGTTTAGATTTGTTTAAGTTAATTGTTGGTAATGCCAAGTTTTTCAGGATTAATAAATTTGTTACGTTGCTTTTCAGGAAGAAGCGCACTACCCTTGTCACATGCAACCGATTTCAAGCTGTGAACCTTCAAAGGTATTTACTTCTGATTTATCATAAATATTTTATTGTGACTAGTTAATATTCTTTCCTTATCTCTGTTGATCCGTGCGTATGAAAGAATAAATCATTCGAGTCAATATGTTGTTTGAGAGTTTGTACTCTAGGACTCTAGTCTTCTGAATGTAGCAGAGAAAATGCAGCTGGTGAATGAGGGGTAGAGGGTTAAAGGGGTACAGAGGATGGGCCGTTGATACTCACAAATGCTATTGCCATTAAAAAGATGCTTCAGTTGCTACGAATTTTTATAATTTCATTTCACTACCTTTGTTCAAAAGATATTTTTTTCTCGTTTATAGGATTTGAATTTGCTGTTGACGGCAAGCCCGTACTGTCAACCATCAGCCGCACTTTGGACGTTCTTCAATTCTCCGTTTTTCGAAAAAAAGTATGTTTTGCCTTCGCTATTACTGTTTTTCAAAATTTTCTCATTTAGGAAATGCTGCGATATGAAAAACACGAAAATTATTTTGCACTGTTTGTGTTTCACTCAATCCAAACCTGGATTAGAGATGAGGTGGGGAAGTTGGGATGTAATGGGGTAATAAGACAATGAGGTAAGGAGGTGAGGTGGTGAGGAGGTGAGGTGGTGAGGAGGTGAGGTCGTAAGGAGGTAATGGGGTAATGAGGTTGAGAGAGGTGAATTGAGTAAGAAATATGGAAGGAGGAGAGATGAAGGATGGAGGAAGTCGGAAGGAAGGATAGAAGTAAAGAAGAAATGAAGGACAGAAGAAAGGGGGAAGGACGGAGAAAAGATGGAAACAGGGAGGAAATGGACGGGGAAGGAAAGGGTTGTCTCTTTAGGTGCGACAAGCGTTGCTAACCCTTCCTTTTAACCCTGTTTCAAATACTGTACTGGTATTCATGTTACAATGAAACAAATATTAAAGCGTCATTTATTGTTAATTCCAGGCTAAGTTTCCATGGTGACAATCACGTCAAGTTCAGCACGGCTCAGGACCAGGTCATTGGCACTGCAGACTACACCGCACATGTGAGTCTCAATTTAAGTTAAAAAAAGTAGATAGATTACACTAAATCAACTTCATTCGAGCATGATGTAGCTTCAATTTGCACAAGGAACTGCACCTTCTGGTCTAAACGCCATCTGCAATTGCATAATCACAATTATTCGAAAATTGGCTGAAGTTGATCCAACGCCAATTCGAAATTATGGGCGAATCATAAATTGGTTATATTTTTCTGGTTAATCAAAAAGACTAGAAGATGAAAAACAAGATTTTTGGTAGGGTTTTCAAAGCCATAAAATCGAAAACCTTTGCTATGTTTACTAAATGGCCTATCATGCTGGTCAGGTAAATTCGTAACATTTGTCTGCATTCTTCCGATTCGTTTCATAAAACATTGATAAATGTATACAACGCTGAATACTAACCATGATAATTATGCCCGGTTTCATTTTTTCGTCTGGCTTCCTCAGAGATTTGGCTGCGCTGATTGGCCAAAAGACAGCCAACCAGACAGGCCACTTATTCTATGGTCCTATTACGATCCGGACCGGTGCATAGAGCTTAGTGACATTCGTTCATCACAGTTGTTGCATTAACCAACATGGCTTCAAAAAGCAAGCAAATTTTTTTGTTCCTTAAGCTATTCTTAATATTTTCAAAACATCAGTATAAAATGCATCCACGATGTAATCTTCAGTCCTTCCAGACACTTAAGTGGTTTATATTTTTATTTATATTACTTTTTTGCAAGATCTACGATTTGACGACCGGGAGGCTGATTTCGACTCTGGCTGATCCGCGAAACATCAACCGGTACCATAAGAATATTGCCACTTTTAATAACACGGACGATCTTGTGCTTAATGATGGCTGCCTTTGGGATGTTCGATCGTCCAAGCTCCTGCACAAATTCGATAAATTCAATGATTACGTCAGTGGCGTGTTCCATCCTTCTGGTCTGGAAATTATCATCAACTCTGAGATCGTATCCTTTTATATTACTTTTTGATTCAATTTCCGTAGGAATTCCATAAGAACTATAAACCTTGCCAAAACCTCTTGAAAAACATATTACGACGCTCTATATATCTCCCTAGAGCCCCCCTCTCTCAACCCCATTCTCTAAAACATTATTGGTCGACAAGTTTTTGTTCCTATTGACTATAGCATAATTTGGAGATCAACATCCATGCTCCTAATATATTAGCATAGGAATATCCAATATGATTTGGGGGTAGGGGGCGTGTGCAATATTCCGGGGGTAGGGGGCGTGTGCAATATTCCGGGAAAGGTATAAAGCATCTTCTTTTTTGAAGATATTCGTTTTTCATTGTTAAGGCTTTTTTATTATGCTTTTGCTCTGGTAGTCATCGGCCTGTGCTCCTTGACTTTGAGCGCGTCCTGTATATCAAGTTTGGCACAAAAGAGATTGATTTGCAAGCCACTTCAAAGCATACATATATTTTGAAATCATTTGTGATCCCTTGAACTGAATTAACAACTAAATTCTTATAAAGAATTGAGGATTCAAAATAGTTTGTTCTGTTTATTAGTACATTTCTATATTTCATCTTAGTTGTTTCCACTTTGCTCTTTCAAAATACCTGTGTTTATCTTAACTTGCGTCAGTGGGATATCAGAACATTCCATTTGCTAGACACATGTACATCCCTTGACCAGTGCAGATCGATTTTCAATAACAAAGGAGATGTAATTTATGGAGGTGAGTTTTTAAAGAATCAAGTGAATCAACTGATAAAAGGATTTTTGCGATCGATCAAGATGCAAGAATCAATTAATCAGGACATTTCAGTTTGTTTGTTAACACTTTTGAACAAATGATCTCAAATTTGAGTCAGTGGATAAAAACAGTTAAATCAACTAATTAGAACACTTGAAACGAATCGACGGATGGAATCATTTGAATCAACTGATCAAGACATTTGAATCAGCCGATCAAACCTAGAACTTCGATTGGAGTATTTTCAATCGTATGTTAATCGATGTAAGCAAGCTGCAAGGACAGAAAATTTTAGCATAAAATATTGTATTTAAAATCTTTAGGTTATAGCGTAAATAGAAGACCTATTGAAGAGCATTTTGAAATCAGCCTTGCGTAGGCTGTTGGCCTTTTCTTTGGTTCTCTCTCCTAAGGTTTCTACCTAAGTCCACAAAAATTGGAGCGTCTACTCTTTCCTTGACATTTGTCATTATGTCATTTGCATTCCATATCACTATACATTGCAGCCCTGAAGTCATTCTTTATTGTTATTCAGCTTAATTCATGGCAACTACTATTCAACATTTCCTTTTTAGTAAAGCACGTTCCAATGGATCCGCAAACTGAATATATATTTGGCAGCAACGTTTTGCTCGGTCCATATGATTATACGTTCCGGACTTTTGATTCGTATGACTTCTCAGTGATCGGTATGTAGCTTTCATAAGATACTGTAATGAAACATTGCCATCAGCTAATATCTGGACTTGATTTACTATCAGACCATTGGACAAAAGTCCCAGAAAATTGTTTACCATCTGACAGGATATTTTGTGGCGAAGGGGAATGAGTCCAGATGTATTTAGTTCTGAAATCAGAAAAACAGCCAGAATTGATCTTTACAGTGTTAACTTAGTTATTTTGTAATGCAGTGTCGATAACTTGTGATAACAATAATTTGGCAACCCAGAAGTCTTTGTCTGTAAAATAGGGGAGAAGGAAGTTAGGGAAGGGACCTAGGGGAAAGGAGATGGGAAGCTGGGGGTATGATGAAGAAGGGAGAGGAAGAAGGAAACAATTTCTGGGACCACTTGCCCCGGGGATTTACTGGCTTTCTACTGTGAATGCTAATGAATAAAAGAAATTATTGAAGAATTTTATTTTTTGATGATTTCAGCTACAATCGATATCAAGAAGATGATTTTCGATCTTTGCCCTGACAACAATGATACACTAGTAGCAGTTATAGAGGTGAGTGCTTCTTTTCCAAAAACCAAACATTAAGTACATTTGCATCTCTTCTAATTCTTTTAATACTTGGTTATGAGGCCCAAATGCTGTTATTGTTTTCAAAAATTTCAGTTAAAAGCATTTTCATTTGAGATTTTGGTGTAAGACTCAAGAACTCTTGACTTTTTGTAGACAGTGCCTAAGAGTGTTCTCAAATGTTTTCTTATGTGCCCTTTTGATTCTCAGTTAAAAAATGAAAAATAAAATTAGGGCATCAAAGATGTACAGTTTGCTGCACATTTGTGGCTTTGATGGTATTAAAATTCAGGTTATTGTAAGAAGCGATGTGAGATATGTTTTCTTGATTTCCCAGGGAAGTTCAAATGCAGGGGAGATTGAAAGTATTTGCAGACTTTATGAAGTTGGGAGACAGAGGTTTATTGATGGGGAAGACAGCGACGAGGAACAGGTAGGGAATCACCATTTTATGGTGCGATATCTAAGTAGAAAGTACTTGCATTTACTTCAAGTATAGCAGGACTACATTGTTCTTGAACTGTTCTGCTGTAATTGCATCGCTATTGGTGTATATAAGAGGACGTTTCAGAGTTGTTGCTCTGACTGCTAGCTCAGTTCTAACTCGGAGTAGCAGCTTAGAACCGTCCTGTTCTTTTCACCAAAAGGGTGTACAGCTCTACATAAACAACATCAAGCACTTTATGGCAGACTTGTAAACCGAAATTTTTGTTAATTGCGTCTCTTTATTACAATTGCTATATGAATGCTTTTCACTTTTTTTCTGGGGCAATTAAATCTCTTTAAATTGGCCTTTTTATCAATCCCGTTGCTAGGTGAATACCCATTCTTGGGAGTCTTTGCCTGCAAGGGACTTTGCCGCAAAAGCACATGAAATGTAACACTGAACTTGTGCTGTTTTTTCATTAGTATAAGCAGAGAATGCTTTCAACGGTATAATTTCAATTAACTTGTTATTTTTGAAGGCGGAAGATGATGGGAATGACGAGATCAATGAAGATGACGAGGACGAATTTGACGATGCAATGGACACCCTGGAAGATCTGTTACTTGACGTGGGGGATGTGGAAGAAGACGAATTCGATGATTTTGAAGACTTTGACGACGAGGACGATGATGAGGATGATGATGATGAAGGCGACGAGGACGATGATTTTGATGACGATGATGACGACGACGATTTTGAAGATGATTTTGATGATGATGTTGACTTAGGACCTGACGAGGAAGATGCGAACGATGGTAATGAAGAAATTGAGGACAGAGATGTACAAAGCGTTCTTGATGAAGACGAATATCGGTGGTATGATGTTGAAAATTAAAAACAATATTTTATATCCAGTAAAGCCATGGTTTGTAAATTATCGCTTTATAATAAATTCCAAATTTTCTGGCTCACAATATTTCTGTTCTATTTCCTACAAATGTATTCTAAGTTTAATTACATGCAGGCCTATCACAATTTTTTTTATAAGATCATATGGGAAAAAGAAAAAATCTAATAATAGGTTGGTTTGAAGTCATCAAATTGTCACTCTTTTAATATTTCCTTCTATTTTTAAAGTTTTATTCTTCTAAAAGTATATTTTTCAAGAAAATTTTTCCCTCAAAAACACGAATTTTCCTAAGGCTATAGGCTTGCTTTTTCATCAAAAATTAAGGGTACGAGTTATCAAAAACTATGAAACTTTTAATCATTCCAGGCAGTCTATCTTCATTATTTACATCTATTATTAAAGTTTTGATCATCTGAAAGTTTATTTTTCAAGAAAAATTTGCCCTGAAAAACACGAATTTTCCTAAGGCTATAGGCTTGCTTTTGTCAAAAATTAGGGGTACGAGTTATCAAAAACTATGAAACTTTTAATCATTCCAGGCAGTCTATCTTCATTATTTACATCTATTATTAAAGTTTTGATCATCTGAAAGTTTATTTTTCAAGAAAAATTTGCCCTGAAAAACACGAATTTTCCTAAGGCTATAGGCTTGCTTTTGTCAAAAATTAGGGGTACGAGTTATCAAAAACTATGAAACTTTTAATCATTCCAGGCAGTCTATCTTCATTATTTACATCTATTATTAAAGTTTTGATCATCTGAAAGTTTATTTTTCAAGAAAAATTTGCCCTGAAAAACACGAATTTTCCTAAGGCTATAGGCTTGCTTTTGTCAAAAATTAGGGGTACGAGTTATCAAAAACTATGAAACTTTTAATCATTCCAGGCAGTCTATCTTCATTATTTACATCTATTATTAAAGTTTTGATCATCTGAAAGTTTATTTTTCAAGAAAAATTTGCCCTGAAAAACACGAATTTTCCTAAGGCTATAGGCTTGCTTTTGTCAAAAATTAGGGGTACGAGTTATCAAAAACTATGAAACTTTTAATCATTCCAGGCAGTCTATCTTCATTATTTACATCTATTATTAAAGTTTGAGTCCTTTGAAAGTATATTTTTCAAGAAAAATTTTGCCCTGAAAAACACGAATTTTCCTAAGGCTATAGGCTTGCTTTTTTATCACGAATTTTCCTAAGGCTATAGGCTTGCTTTTTTATCAAAAATTTAAGGTTACGATTTATCAAAAACTATTAATCTTTTAATCATTCCAGGCAGGCTATCTTCATTATTTACATCTATTATTAAAGTTTTGATCTTCTGAAAGTATATTTCTCAAGAAAAATTTTGCCCTCAAAAACACGAATTTTCCCAAGGCTATAAGCTTCCTTTTTTATCAAAAAATTAAGGATACGATTTATCAAAAACTATGAAACTTTAAATCATTCCAGGCAGTCTATCTTCATTATTCACATCTATTATTAAAGTTTGAGTCCTTTGAAAGGATATTTTTCAAGAAAAAATTTGCCCTGAAAAACACGAATTTTCCTAAGGCTATAGGCTTGCTTTTTTATCAAAAATTTAAGGTTACGATTTATCAAAAACTATTAATCTTTTAATCATTCCAGGCAGGCTATCTTCATTATTTACATCTATTATTAAAGTTTTGATCTTCTGAAAGTATATTTCTCAAGAAAAATTTTGCCCTCAAAAACACGAATTTTCCCAAGGCTATAAGCTTCCTTTTTTATCAAAAAATTAAGGATACGATTTATCAAAAACTATGAAACTTTAAATCATTCCAGGCAGTCTATCTTCATTATTCACATCTATTATTAAAGTTTGAGTCCTTTGAAAGGATATTTTTCAAGAAAAATTTTTCCCTCAAAAACACGAATTTTCCCAAGGCTATAAGCTTCCTTTTTTATCAAAAAATTAAGGATACAATTTATCAAAAACTATGAAACTTTAAATCATTCCAGGCGGTTTATCTTCATTATTTACATCTATTATTAAAGTTTGAGTCCTTTGAAAGGATATTTTTCAAGAAAAATTTTGTCTTGAAAAACACGAAATTTCCTAAGGCTATAGGCTTGCTTTTTTATCAAAAAATTAAGGGTACGATTTATCAAAAACTATGAAACTTTAAATCATTCCAGGCAGTCTGTCTTCATTATTTACATCTATTATTAAAGTTTTGATCTTCTGAAAGTATATTTTCAAGAAAAATTTTGCCCTCAAAAACACGAATTTTTCTAAGGCTATAGGCTTGCTTTTTTATCAAAAAATTAAGGGTACGATTTATCAAAAACTATGAAACTTTAATTCATTCCAGGCAGTCTATCTTCATTATTTACATCTATTATTAAAGTTTTGATCTTCTGAAAGTATATTTTCAAGAAAAATTTTGCCCTCAAAAACACGAATTTTTCTAAGGCTATAGGCTTGCTTTTTTATCAAAAAATTAAGGGTACGATTTATCAAAAACTATGAAACTTAAATTCATTCCAGGCAGTCTATCTTCATTATTTACATCTATTATTAAAGTTTTGATCTTCTGAAAGTATATTTTCAAGAAAAATTTTGCCCTCAAAAACACGAATTTTCCTAAGGCTATAGGCTTGCTTTTTTATCAAAAATTTAAGGTTACGATTTATCAAAAACTATTAATCTTTTAATCATTCCAGGCAGGCTATCTTCATTATTTACATCTATTATTAAAGTTTTGATCTTCTGAAAGTATATTTCTCAAGAAAAATTTTGCCCTCAAAAACACGAATTTTTCTAAGGCTATAGGCTTGCTTTTTTATCAAAAAATTAAGGGTACGATTTATCAAAAACTATGAAACTTTAATTCATTCCAGGCAGTCTATCTTCATTATTTACATCTATTATTAAAGTTTTGATCTTCTGAAAGTATATTTTCAAGAAAAATTTTGCCCTCAAAAACACGAATTTTCCCAAGGCTATAGGATCGCTTTTTTTAAAAAATTGAGGGCACGATTTCTTAAAAACTTTAAATTTTGGACATTATTGCCTTCTAGGTATATTTTTGAACAAAGTTTTTGACCTTGGTATCGGGGATTTGTTTAAGCTTAAAAGCTTCCAGGTTCTGCAGGAAAGGAGCCTATTACATTTGACAAAATTTGTAATTATTTTATGACCAGAACATTCCGAAATACACTTTTTTTCCCCTCTGAACGTTTTTTTCACGTTTTAAAATTTGTTAAAATTTGTTTACCTAACTATTGTGGACGGTTTATGATTTCCTGAACGATTAAGGTAAATTTTTATTCCAGTCCTTTTAGCTTTTAGTTTTAACATCTGCTAATCAAAGAAAAGTTGCATTTGAAGGATAGAGATTTATTTAGCTGTTTCTGGAGCGAATAAATGTTCAACGGTGTTTCATTTTGAAGTTCAATACTTTGCTTGATATGATGAAAAGAGGTCGCTTAGAGTGCTGTAAGTACCTTTATTTTAAATAAGAGTCCATATTCATCTCAAATAACTGCATGTTTTTCCCCATATTTCTTATATTTTGAAAATGCCTTTTAAAATTTTTTTATTTTGTTCAACCGCATTAAAGTAATCGCTAACAATAACAATAAGATCTCTCTGAATCAATTTGATTACATTCAAAGATATTTTAAAACTCGTTTAATAATGTTTAGGAAAGACTTCCCTTTGCAGCCTCCAAGATTAGAATTTGTTCATTGCTTCTTCAATCCAAGCCCGGAAGGCAGAAACTTTTGTAACCACTGTGAATGTACCAGCCTGTCCACATGTGCCAGTTCCCCAGCTTACCGTGCCATCCAGTACCCATTCTCCATTTGGTCCATCCTTACAAACAAATGGGCCACCACTGTCACCATGGCAACCCTCAAATCTTGAAACCCGTCTTTCTTTGCCACAAATCATTTTGTCATCTGCCTATGAAAGTAACGTAATGTTGAAAAAAGACAACCTGAGGGGATTTTTTCTATTTTGTGTTAAACTATGAGAATAAATTATAAAAACTTAAGCTTTTAAAAAAACATTTTATGATAAGATTGTTTATAGGGTTTAATGATAAAAATAATCAAGGCATTTCTATATTCTTTTAGCAAGCTTCGATTTAAAACTCCCGACCATCCCCCGGGACTAATCCCGCGGGCAAAAAGATGCCACTTGCATTATTATCACGTACAGAACAGATTTCTAGGGCTTTCTTATCCCCATCCAATCATCGATTAACGCTCCTGGGCAGTTGTCCCTTTGAAAATCACCTAGGACACTAATAACGGTTGCTTACTTTTATTTCTGGGTATTTTGAACCACCAGGTGCTTTGCAATCAGAGCTGTTAGCAACTTGCAACATTGTCTGTTGTAGAAGCACGGGCCTGCCTCCAGTGTTTCTGAGATCACCCCAACCTTAAGGCACAAAAGTAATAAAGCAGTGTTTGTTATTGAAACGATATGCAAATAGACAAATACCTATTTCTCACTCTAACAAGTTACCAATTTCTTCATAAGATCAATTTAAAGATTACTTGAAAGTTTTGGAAACAAAATAGGGCAAGAAACTATCATAGAAGTAGATATCGAAATCAAATCAAGAGTCTTTAATAATGGCCTTTCCAATCAAATAAAAGTGTGAAGGTTGCTCAATCAAATAAAAAGTATCAAGGTTGCCCAATCAATAAGTGCCACTTGCCAGTGCCACATGAACATAATTTTGAGGGAGCAAGGATGCGGTGTTATTCTTCTCTACCTGAAACAGTTAAGTTTTTAAAAATTAATCTTAGGCCTTTAAAGACGTCTCATACAGGTGATTTGAGTTTATTGTCAGAGGGTCGAGAGGAGGAGGGGGGGGGGGGGGGGAGGGGGGGGGGGATCAAAGCTGCTGAGCTCTGACTTACTTTGGGGGAGGGTGAATAGCAAGCTACATTTCCCCAAGCCCAATAGCTGCTACGGCTTTGAAGTCATTTTGAACAATTATACAGGGGAACTTAACCTCGTTGCTTTATATAATTGAAAAAAGAATACTGTTTGAAAAATAAATTCCTGTTTACACGAAAGTACTGAAACACAATATACATAAGGTTGGTTTAGAAATGGTAAAGCTTGATATCAAAGTTTTATTGGCAAATTTACCAGTTAAAAAACATTGGGTGCCAGTTTGGATTATTCTTTTAAGCTCTGGCAGGCAAACGGTTCCAGAATATCTTCCGAATTGAACATCGCGTTTGAGTTTCATCAAAGCAATATCATTACTGCGGGACTGTGATTGGTAGGATGGATGAGTAAGAATTCTCTCAACTCCTATGTCAATCTCAGTGCCTTCGTAGCGTCCGAGATTGTGCTCACCAAGCCTGAAGATTGAAATAAACGTTTTTAAGAAAGGATAGCCTCGTTATGATTGAGAGGTATTTACATAGCCTTTAAGATATTGAACTACTTCACTTCTAAATCGTCTATTTGAAGATGCTAAATATCCTGAAGAGGGGGAACAAGAGGGGGCAGAGGGGGCCTGGACCCCCCAATATTCCAGAGGGTATCCGAACAAAACGTTTGCAGATCGTACAGAGTTTGAAAATTTGCATATTTGTCTCTTAACCCTCTCTCCAATGACTGCGTTGGTTTGTACATGTTCGTGCATTACCACTGTACATTATTTTCAATATAATCATTTCTATATGCTGATAAAAAAGTTTGGCCCCCCGCCAATGGGGTGCGGGGGTTAGCCATAGATACAGGAACTTGGGGCCAACGGGACGCATGCCCACGCAACGTGCTTCGATTGTAGAATCACACGTTTTATCAAATTGTTCACAGCAAGTTAGCAAGTTAGAGCAAAGTGTTCTACCCGTGTACGATCAATTTTGATGTTCCTAGCCAAACATTTCAAGAAAACAATTTTGGCGCCCCCTTATCTCCATTTGCGCCCATATTCAGGGGGCATGGCCCCCATGCCCCCATGCCACTGTTGCCTACATGTGCCTTCCCTTCCTAAAGATGTTTCCTATGTCTATGGGGCTAGCAAATGCAGAAAGGATGATGCGCATCTAATAAGCATTTCCAGCTTCATTTCAAGCAGGCTTTTTGTAAAGTGACTAAGCCTTAAGATGAAATTTTGGGCCTCTAAACTCCTTATAGCTATCCCATCGTAAGACATACCCCTGTAAATCTTGCTACCAACCTCACTTCATAAAGGTTCGAAAAGCTTTCCAAGCCATCAACGCAATGTGCTGCAGTGACAACCCATCTTGACGCAACGAGTGCTCCCCCGCAGTGCGCTCTACCGTTCAACAACAAGAGGACCTGCCATGGCCATCCTCCGGGCCGTGCAATTCCACTTTGGAGATTGGGTTGTATAGCTGGCTGCCCACATTCTGACGAAAGAATGATTGCAAAGCTATTAATCAGTGGATATGACAACATCAGATGGTAAACATTGGCTCCAAAGAGTGTACAGGCTACCTGGTACTTTACGAATGGCTCCGTGTGTTGCATAGCACGGGTTTTGTCATCTGATGACAGAGGGTGATATGAATATTCATAAGAAAAAGAAAATTAGTTACACCATTTGCTAGAAATTGTTATCAAGGGGCATCAAGGGGCATTTCACTCCAAAAATCCCGTTCACCCTTTCTCGAAATCCAAGGAAAAGTATGAAAATCCCCAAAATATCCTTTAAAAATCCAAAGATCCCTGGAAATCTTTATGGGCCCATAAAGCTCCTGAAATATCTTCAAATGTCTCACAAGCGACGATATTTTACAAAATCTTTGTAATAGTTCTAGAGATACATTTAAAAATAATCACAACACCAGAAAGGCTCGATAATACAATTGAGACGGAGCAGTTGAAAAACAGTTTGCAAATATTGAGGTTACAAGTATTGTGACATTGCTCAGCAAACGTCAACCTGACTTGTTATCTACACGTACTTTTTTATAGGAAACTAAGGTCCGGTGCTGGTAGGCAGTTTCTTAAATTTTCTGGTCATTTTGCTATCAAACGTTTCTTACATGTTTCTTAAATTTGTTAGGTAGTGAATTTTTTAAACGTGCTTCCAAGGTAAAGTAAATAGTTCACTCACATTCAGAAATAAGCTAACAAAATGATAAAGGAATTTTGTTTTCCTAGAATGAATAACTCTGTTGAGATCTGTAAACAGTTAAGCTCATTGAACTTCATCAATGCCAAGATGAAGTCAAAACAAATTTTTAAATGGAAACTTCTTGAGTGTGCAATTTACTGAGAATGAATGCAAACTGCATGTCAAGTTCAGCGTTGCAATATACAGCGATGTTCAATGTCAAGACTGTTTCGGGTGTCAACTCTGAAAATTAAAACTGCAAATTATAAAAAATTTCTTAGCTTTTTTCAATTCGGGTAGGGTTGTTTCTCAACTTTCGAAATATGTTGTCCCTTCTTACTGTTCATAGCGTTCGCACTCAAGATTTTAAATAAGCAGTTTTTAATTGAATCTGCAGCTTTTTAATCGACAAAAAATACAAGAGAAAGCTCCTGCAGCCACTTCAATACGCTTATATGGATGAACAGAAAGTAATAAATGCAGCCATTGAAGCTCGTGGAAGATTGATCAAATAAAGCAATCCAATTGTTTTGTTTGATAACACGATTGCCATGTTTATGGACACTGTCACGAGAGATTGTGGGCAATTCAACATACATTGATTAAAGCCACACACTAGAAACCCGATAGGAAGGCTTTGACCTAGAAATGCAGGCAGGAAGAAGTTCACCTTGTTGAATTGATATGTTTACCAGATATATTTTGGTGGTGGAAAGATAAGTAAAATGCACTTTAACGAGACATAATAACTCTATGGATCGATAGATTGGGACAAGGAGGATACAATATTGCTACTACCTAAGGCGATACCATGGTTGCCGCTCAGGAAAATGAGTTTTCTAATTTGTATGCTTCAAGTTCGCTGGAAATTGCAATCTTTGGAGCAAATATTACTAATATAATCTCATATTTAAAATTAATATCCACTGGCGTAAGGCTACTTGAATAATATTAATCGATTTCGTTCTTAAATGTTTCACCTCATAAAACATAACTGCATGGATCTTTTTTAGACTAGAACAAATCGTTCAAGTTTGGCGATAGTGACAAGTTCTTGAGATCGGGGCTGTCCCGGTCTTTAGTATACAAAAGATGTAATTTGTGACAATTTTGTGCACGAGGGGCATTTCATTTCAAAAATCCCGTACACCGTCTCTTGAATTTCAAAATAAAATCCAGAAATCTTTCAAAAACCCAAAAATCTCTGGAAATCTTCATGAGAGCCAAAAACTCCTGAAAACTCTCAACTGTTCCATAAGCTCTGATATTTTATAAAAAATTTGTTATTGTTCTCAAGGTGTATTTAAAATTCTGCTTAATAGTGCCATAACTTAAGTAAAGCTAAAAAGTTACAGTCGAGGTTGAATGACAGCATTTGAATGACAGGGTGCAAATATCGAGGTTGCTGCGTTGGAGCATTTGGGTTGCCAATGCCATGAGCAGCAGATTTTTAGTACTTTAAGTACCAGGGTAGAAGGCATTGAAAGCACAATAAAAAAAATTATAAAATGGGGCAAAATGTTAACATTTGTCAATAAAGACAAAAATATCGTATGTGGTGCTGTCAACAAATCTCCGATTGTAGTCATCCTTTTGCCCGTACTAGGGCTACGTTGACCATCAAGATCTAAGGCAGAATCAGCAAATTCTTCTTGTCAGAAAGGGAGTGGACATAAAATATTACAGGAACAGCAGCGAAAGCAAACGAAAACACATCTTAGAGTAAATTTTGTGTTTCGTGGCAGTATTTAATGACTTAGCTGGAGGAGTCTAAGTTTTCTGGCACAAATTTCTGGCGCAAAATACTTCCAGCACTGTCCTGTTAACAAGAATAAAAGCTCCAAAAGGATGATAAATCTGAAGAAGAGGAATACAACAATGCACAAATATAACACAATACAACACAATACAAGGCAATAAAAGGCAATACAAGGCAATGCAATGCAATACAGTACAATACAACACAATACGCGTACAAGGCAATAAACGGCAATACAAGGCAATGCAATACAATACGATAAAATACAATTCAATTCAATTCAATACAATACACAGATTTTGGTGACGTCACACTTAAGAACACCTTTTCGTCTTAAAAACGTTGTTTTGCATTGTAACTAGGTAATAAGCCATCCCGGCTTTGATAGCTATTTAAATAAAGTAGATAACCGATTAGCACGACGTACATTTAAACATATTTAATGGCTTTTAAGAATATTAAACATCCATGAAAAATCCCTGGAAATCTTTAGGAAATCCAAAGAAATCCGGAGATCCCTGTCAAATCTTTTCAAAAATCCGGAAATTTCTAAGTATTTTAGGGATTTTAGAAATCTCAAAAATTTCGTACGTTATTTTAGGTAGTGAAACTCCACTCAATTGTATTGTCTCTAGCTTTCTCCTCTTGAGTATAGTAAATAAAAACAAAAAATTTCCAGTGCCAGCAGCCCCCCTCGCTTCCGACGGTCTTGGCTTGGTCAATGCAAATCAAGCAATTGTTACTTAAATAATACTGCAATGTACTTTGAAGCAAAGAATAGTTAGTGATCCGTTGCAGTGTAAACGAGGCCTAAGTTGCAACTCTGAAACTCATAGGTTTAATACAGCGATGATGTTGTGAATTTAGATTGTCACTTACTGTTCAGTTTGCACAGGTTTTGGCATGTCTTTGCACAGTTCTTCGTTAGCCACTCCTTATACCAATTGTAATTACAAATGTATTTGTAGACGAAACAATATGAGCTGCGGTCGACGCATTCTGCAAGAAAAATCAAAACTTTATAAATCTCACATCTCTTTTCCTCTTAGATACAGGCGGGCTAATACTGATGGGCTCCGGGGACACTGGCTGGAGGCTACAGTGCCCTGAAACACCAAATTTGTCAGAAAAATTTTAGAATTTTTCTACTTTGTCAGCATTTGCAGAAAACGTGTGTTTAACCTCCCGAAAATTTTATCCACGGTAGCCAATAAAAAGTTCAATTTTTTTTGAAAAAGTTATTCCATCCGATAGGGCCAACAAACCTTGCTCAACAATCCTAATCAAATACAAAAAATTCTTTTCATATTATATATTCAATAATATTTAAAATTTGGTCCACTTCCATTAAAAATCTTTCTTTGTGAGTCTCTTTGCCAAATTTACAAACTATACCACTCATCCTTTCTCCCAAGATCTTGTAAACTTTAGAACGCCTTGCCCTCTTCTTGCTTCCCAGATTTCTCATAGTCTGTCTTCTCTAAAAACTTAAATAAACAAATATGATATCAACCCCTCTCTTCTTAGTTTCTCCCTTCCTTCCTTCCTTCCTTCCTTGTTAGGGCTTTGTTACATAGCTTGAGTATTTCACTAACATTATCGACTGAAAAAGAAAACAGCGTAGCTTATAGAGAAAGAGCTCTGTGACATTTAGATATGTCATCGAATGATTTACTTGCTCAATTGCTCCACTAAAAATAAAATAATAAGGCATCTCCAAAGCAACAATGTGGAGAAGTGGACGGAAAATTAAAAAAAAAACCATTTAAACTGTTTTGGCAGTTGCTATATAAATTCAATGGACGCAAAATGGAGACATTTTCCTGTATATTTCGATCCAACCATCTAAACGATCGTAAAAAAGCCTTACTGTTCACATGTTGCTTGTTGACTTTATTTTAGCATTCCGGTGCCACAGACTTCATCGTTTCTGGAACTTCTTATTACAATCAGGTTTTTGCCGTTTTATTGCTAAAGTTTTTGGTGTATCGATTAAAATAGCAAAATTCATTTCCTGCAGTGAGTCAATTCTAGCAAGCAACATGGGTTATGTGAATAGAAATGCTAGACGTGATAGCAAAATGGATGGTAACTTTTGCATTAGCTCGATTAATGTGTCCGTATAAAGAGCTGCGTATACCCAACTTGTCAAGAGTAACATCAAAATAACGGCTTGCGATTGGTCAGTATTCTTGCGATGCAAAACTGCTCACATGAAAAGCTAACCTCGTAGCAGGGTAGATTAACAGAACGACTGTAATGGCTGGGACGATGACATGAAAAATCACATGTTTCTGGAAACCCACGCAGAGTTGCTCACTTTAGTTGGACACATTACCTTTAATTAGCAAAATACAATTTAGCAAATCGTAAAAAATAAGACGGTTCTTAAAATCTGCAGGCCTGTGTAATGTTTGAAAAATGAAAGGTTAAAGGCTGTTTTTAACAGCAATGATTTGCTAAGTAAGGCACCAAAGGCAGGGACGTCGCTTTTTGAATATCATATTCCAAACAAAAATTGCAAACTTTTTTGCAAGCAATATCACAATGTCCTACCTTGTGATGTGACAATTGTCAAAAAAGCACACAGAGCCACGAGGCATATTTTGTGCATGGCGCTTTCTTGGAACTGCAAAACCAGGAACGACAGGCTCTTGAAACAAGAAGGATTAAACAAGACACAGAGCCTCGTGGTTTATTAAGTGGCTTCCAAAAATGCAATAAATATTTAAGAAACTGAACAATTCTTGACACAAGACTGCAAACTGATACAGTTTCATTATATTTACAAACGAAAAGCTGTTAAAACAATGATAAGATATGGACCCTAAGTCTCTATTAGAATCAATCAGAACATATATTTGTTTTAATAGAAAGGTTTGATCTTTGCAAAGCTGTACAAATTGTCTAGAAGAACGTAATCAAGGATGAAACTCAAAGCCTTTACCAAGTGGTTGATTACAAAATTGTCTGAAAAAGGCGGGATTAAAGTGTTACCTCATTATCAAAGGATATCCATCTAGTCGACCAATAAATAGTTGGTTGCTGAAATCGCTACCCTGTGTGCCAGATCCTCATGGATACGGGGATAAAGTATTGTAGGCAAAAAATCGATCCTCGATCAAAAACATTATCTGTGAATAGTTTCTTACAGTATTTCTGAGATTAACTACGAATCTCGTACCCAACCCAGGGTATGAAATTGCCTGACGCTAGGTTACTCAGAAGCAAGATTGCCTTCACCGACAATTATAGTTTTCGTGACCTTCTTCCATCACCCCCTCCCCCTCTCTCCCAAGGTCAAGGTATGCCAATACAATTTTACTTCTGTAGTCGTTTATAATGCCTGTTTTGAAAAAATTAGACAAAACAACTACAGATGCATAATATGGAAAACTGATCATTGAACCTTTTTTACTCTAGGGCCACACGACGTTGAATTTCGAAACCCAAACCCTGGATATGAGACCCACAATAAGTATGAATTTAAGAACCACGACCTATAAAATGCTGCAGTTATAAACTGCGTCTATAAGACGTAGCCACATTTCACTACATGAAGCAAACCATATGAAATTGTGGTGTGATCACTCTAATGTTTAAAGTGATCCAGACATTCGTTATTAAACAAACAGTTACTATTTCTCAATAACGTAGGTGTGTGTTCATGATTCTGACGTAAATCTTAAAAACTTGAAAAAGGATGGATTTTTGACACCTGGTGTAAGGTATTGAAGATTCCACTCAAAGTATAGAACTTCTCAACGGAAAACGTTAAGAAGACGAAGGAGACTTAATAGAAAACGAAGCACGAACTAAGCACCAAGAAAGAGGGCACTTGGATAGCACAAACTATCGACAAAGTTATGGGGAAAAATAATTTAAACAGCCGAATTGACCCTTGAAACGTAAAAGAAGTGTTTAATCTTGAAAGGAAATAAAAGAAAGCTTTGATAACGACTCACACATTCTGTTCACCACTCGACTGGCACGTTCTCTAAAGAATCAAAATGAAGATTTTGTTACTACTTTTGGCTGTTGCTGTTCATCAGGCACATTCCCAAGGTAGGACATCCTTTGAATTAAAATTGATAGAATTTGATTAAGCATACGTCTTGTTAGGGTCGTCGTACAAGAAAGTTTCTTCACAGTGCTCTCTGAGACCTTAAACAAATATCAAGCCAAAGAAAGATTGAAAAATTACGCTTGAACTGTAAACAATTTTCATACTCACTGTTGTGTATTAGCTGTGTTATTTCTAATTGATAATCTTGACTTAAACTTACATTTCTTATCTTACCTCAACAACTGAGAAAGATCTCCTTGGTTTTAGCACAAACTGTCATACAAGCTAAGTTTCTCATTTATCTACTTTTTTGCTCAAAACGTGACCAGATTTATAGTTGTATATTTTGGTTTAAGGGAAGCAGTATGGTATTTGACCATATGTATAACTGTATGTTTTGATTTGAGGTAATTTCTATTATCTCCGAGCATTTTTTATCTGTACTTGTTTTTGCACAAGTAAGCTTAAAAGTTGGCAATAAAATATGTAAGATGATAAACAATGGCAGATGTTCTACAAATTTGAATTTTTCTTCTACAGCATGCCGTGATTTGTATGGAGGCTGCTCGCGAATGAGGGCTTACTGCACAAATGCAGCTTGGAGGAACTTCATGCGACATTACTGTGCCCAAACATGTAATTTCTGCGCAGCGCCCACTCCAGACCCCAACCCTAACCCCAACACCCAACCACCACAGCCACCAGTACCAGGTTTGTAAAGGACTTTTGATAGATATGATAGATGGTCTTAATAGACTGGAACAGGGCTACAAACAAGTTGTCACTTGAATTTTATCATTGTCAATATAGTTAGATCAAATTTAAAGTTAAAAAGGTAACAGAGTTGGATATTTTTGAAAAACCCGCCAAAGTTCCCCATTTTTGGAAAGGTTCTGCTTTTCGGCCTCGAACAGAAAGTGTAAAGTACCATTTGGGATAAAAGTTAATTACGCAATTTCTATATGTCTGTAATAAGAGGAGAGGGGGGAAGGGAGCATTGCGTGCATTGTGAAATGGTTCAATGCAAAGGCTCCAACCTGACATTACGTGGCAAACTATTGTGTTTTTAGGACAGTGCGGAAACCCACAGGTCCAGGCCAGTCGTGTTATAGCTGGTGATAACGCCAAACAAGGTTCTTGGCCATGGCAGATCCTTTTGATGTACAACAACAGAGGAATGTGTGGCGGATCTCTCGTTGCACCTAACTGGGTTGTTACGGCTGCTCATTGCATTGATGGCAAAGAAAACCAAGCTCAGTACTTCAAAATCAGGTAAACAAAGTACCTTTTGTAATTGGAGGGAAAATTACAGGGAAAACTTTCATTACCCCCCATTCGTAGAAGCGCATCATCCACACCACGCCACACCGTCAAATATGGTTTCCTCTACTCATGTGTCTGTAATTAACGCCCCCCTCCCGCGTACTAACTTTTCGAGAAAAAAATTCACCCATAGCATTCTTATTCCAGACCCTTCGTTTTTTATTTTCACAATAGCCCAGTAAACTGCAAGATGTATGAAACGTCGATGCGGAACTATGTCAATCAAGAACAAAAAAAATAAAGAGTGATAACATTATCAATATTTTTATTTGAATACTTATTTGGATGAATAGAACTAAATATTTTATCACACTGCAATAGTTATGAATGCCATTTTTTCTATATTTTGAAAACCAACGAATTGTTTAGATTCCTTCTGTTTCCGATCAAAAGGGACAGCTAGTCATTCATCCTACTTATTATTACTTGGTCAATTGTTTACTTACCCCATTTATTCTAGACCCCTTTTGTATTTGGATTTTAGGAGATTGTTTCACCCATACCGTCTATTCCAGACTTAAAAGTAGGCATACCTACTCAGCAATAACAAGTGACGAATTTTTGTGATACAAAGCATCTTGAATGTAAAAAGGAGTGACAAAAGGAAAATATGTTAGTCTAAAACTTTGTTTCGCCAAAAATGAGCTGGCATCACCAACATTCTTGTTGACTCTTTATCTCAACTTTTGACCATTGAAATGAAAGGTACTTTCTTCGAAACCAGAGTCGGGGAACACGATAGACGAAGCAATGATGGAAACGAACAAGACATCCAAGTATCCAGAATCTTCAAGCACCCATCATACAGCCGACGGGTTATCAACAACGATATCGCCCTTCTAAAGCTCAGCAAACCAGCTAAGTACGGGAAATACGTCAGCCCTGTCTGTCTACCACAACACGGAGCCGATGTGCCAGTTGGAACTCACTGCTACATAACCGGTAAATTCTATTACTAGGACTCTTTCTTTTGGTGATTTTACCCTTCATTACTGAGAATGGACATGACAACTTATATTCGAGGTGTAAAGCTTTTGGGCTTTTTTGTTGTTTGGGGGGGGGGGGCAAGAAATCTAGGACACATTCTTTATACATTCAGAAAACAGCCTTTTTCAAAAGGGAACGTTAGTGAAGAATTTTATAAGATATCAGCAACAAGTGAAAAGGGCATGCAGGCAACAATATAAAAGATGCAGATACTACTTACAGCCTTGCATTGGGAAACCATCAATTTTTGCAAAATCAGTTCAATCTAAGCATTCATTCCATTGACAAAAGAAATGACAATTTTTTTTGAATGCTTTTAAACTTTGCCTATCCTATTTAATATTACATGGTTCTTTTCACTTTATTTGATAAGGCTCCCATGTTTTGTTAAATTTTCATTATCGTTTTGATTATGTCCTTTTCCAACTTTTTCTACAAACGAACAGGTTGGGGAAAGATACAACATCCAGGTAACATGCACTACCTTTTGCAACAAGGCAGAATTCCAGTTGTGTCTCAACAGGTCTGTTCCAGCTTGAACACAAGAACTGCAGGAATACCAGTAAGTGCAAACACTAGCTAATGATTATCTAAACAAATTAGGGGGAGGGGGCTACAAGAGAGCTGACAGGTTACTTGAAATATAGACGATATAGAGAGGCCTCAATATAAATAATTGAACTGTCAGTAAAGATGATGAAAAAAGAAACTTAGAAGGTGAAAAAAGCAAAAACCAGGATGCAATACCAAACAGTTCATTGGAATGGAATAACAAATCAGGGGCGGATCCAGAGAAAAATTTGAGGGGCTGGTGCCATGCCAAAATGTTTTGCTGGTGCCACACCCTTCAAAATTTATGCGGGTTAGAATTTCTTTCGGACATTCAAAAAGCAAGGGTTGTCAACACTTGTTTTTTAAATAATGGATTTTAAAACAATTATCTTCTCAACTTCTGGCAATGTGCTATTTGAAATGAAACCGATACATAAAATACAACAAAATGATACTAAGAAATAGTTGTTATTGCTTTTCTCTCGGTTGAAATAAAAACAATCAATATTTGATTTCTTCTTCCATTATTCTGACTACTTTATAAACTTTTTTAAAATACAGCTACTTCCAATAGATGAAATAAACTTATTTCAATCTAAGATACACATGACAATTTACTTGCATCATTAATGTTTTTGTCAGTTTATGTACTAATATCTGGTTAATGATTTTGGGAAGATGACAATATTCTGGGCAATCTGTAAGGCTGAGCTCTTGGCTACTTAATTGAGATTCATAGAAGTTTCATAAACACTTAAATACTTTGTGGATTACACCAACTAAAAGTGTTTTTCAAATCGTTTATGGAAACCAAGTTGGAAAGTTGCATTGAATGGGTCCATGGATAAAATAACCTTTTTTAAATTTATATGTATCTTAGATTGAAATCATTTACCATGCCTGGCATAAAAAAGGTAAAGAAAAACAGGATGCTCACAAATGCATATTTCAAAACTTTTTGTTGATAATAAGAACCCAATCTAAATCTTAGAAAGTTATAAAAATTGGTTCTATCATTCCCCCATCCTGACCACTTACTAAACCTCTCACTAACATCTGCTACCAATTACTTTTAAAATACTTATTCAAAACTTCTGGAATTCAAAATAAATACCAAATATTAAAATCATATATTTCAGAATTAAGGTGAAGTAAGGTGTAGGCCAGAACATACTAGAAAACTTGGATTTTGTGAAAGTATCTCAAGTTCAATTGTTTATAAATTTTGTAAGATGTCTATCTTATATTTTCATATTATGTAAGCTTTACATTGTTTGATTTATCACCTTCAAATTAAACATTCAGAAATCCTCTCAAATACCCAAACTTTAAAATGGAAAATCTAAAAACACTGCACCTGAAACACAATCTACCTTGCTGTCATCGAGTCTGCATAGCGTGACATGTGCACGCAATAGAATTTACATGCACACATCTTTTTTGCTCTTGCAAAAACAAGATCTTTTCCAAAACTGCCATGCTCTACAGACTGGGCCCTTATTACAAACGCAGAGGTTTATAATTTGATCTCTTGCATCAAGTTTAAAAAATGAAATATAGGCCTCACCTCATTACGCACGCTTTGCTCTGTTAAAATTTCAAAACAAATCGCTTCATTTCTGTTGTGAATGCCGATCGCCATTCCTACACAACAACTACAACATGCTTCTTCCGCCTGCCTAAGTGAAAATTTGAACTACGTTTGAAAATATGGGGTGTTCCCGCCAAAAGTGAGCACCCGCGATATCAGAAGCCGATTGGTTGCTTTACAATGGCGGATGCTCAAGCTCATTCATTGATTGGCTATAGTTAATTTGCGAAAGACTAAAGCACAGACCAGGAGGTGCTGGAAATTTTACAACGATAAAAAGCTGCACAATCTGGTCCGTAAATTAACTGGTTTTGAAAGTTCAGAGAACGGGCTAGAAGTGCTCAGACGGGAGAGGAGTTAATTTTCTCGGAGGAATAGGCATGAAAACCTCTAATTTAGTGTCCGCCTTTTCTGAAATTTCAAAATATCACATCCTGAAGGATTTGAGGGGTGCTCAAACACCCATAGCACCCCTCCCCCTAGATCCGCCCCTGAACAAACCTGTGATACTTAGTTAATTTTTAACTAATCTACAAGGTCATGCGGAGGAGCTGCTTTGGTTGTTGAAGGTTAGAATCTAGTAATCCTCATTGAAATCTTGTGGTAGACTTTCAGGCCATATGTTAAGTTATATTCTATTGTTAAAGACTGGGCTCATCTAACAAAACAATGTGCAAAAGTACGGCTAAATTATGCTCCGTAACCATAGGCATAAACATGAAAAAATCAAGGGAGAGGCAGAGAGAAGAAATGAGAATTGCATTATTAAGTGCTGCGTGGGTCCATACCAAAACTTGAAGTCTCAAAAATAATGCTTCTCGTGACATAAAGCCGTGAAATAAAATTATGTCGATTAATCATGTGAATTTCCCACTAGATCACAAGGCAAATGGTCTGTGCCGGTTATGGAGGTTCATCAAGACTCAGTGGTTGTCATGGTGATAGTGGTGGACCATTTGTGTGCCAGACTGGTGGGAAATGGACACTTCATGGTGCAGTCAGCTGGGGCTCTGGAAGCTGCGATTCAACCAAAAGCTACACCGTATTTGCAAGAGTTTCTGAATTCAGAAATTGGATCGACAGAACGATGAGAAACTAGAGAACTGGCGAAGATTACCTTGATTGACTTGAAGTATAAAAATGATGTAGCTGAATTAGATAGTTGAAATAGATTGAAACTTAAAAACTCGCTTTCTTACCTCTCTTTTTCTTGCTTTTCATTGAAATTGGCCTGGATACTGGCGACAGGCATTGACAAAATCTTTGCGAGATGTTCACAATCAAGATGAAAAACGATGTTTTAATGATTAAGTCTATCACATTAAGTAGCTTGTCAGTTTGTGAAAAAATGAAGAAATTACGACTTTTCTACTGTAGACCAGAGGCCAGAGGGCGAGCAGTATCACACGACCTGGCAATTTATCAGACCAATTTTTCCTGACGCAATTTTTTGCGCAGATTACGAAGTCGAAAAAGCGCATTGTGGCCTAATGTAATAAATTAAACTCGCCATTAAACTTAATAAATAAAGAAATTTTGTTATTATCTAATGATGTAGTCGTCTTTAGTCCAAATTTTACTTTACGCGGAAATTTAGGAGGCAAAAAGTTCTTGGGGGGAGGGGGGGCGGTAATCTTACGAAAGAACAGTGACAATAGTTTCAAAATTACACATGCTCTTAAAATTTGAGAAATTTTGAAAACATCGTTCAAATGTTTTGAGGCACCCTTTAGAACGCCGGAAAATGTCAATTTTAGAAAATACTTGCTTCATATTGTTAAACAGTTCGATAATTACGCTGCCTCAGCCCGGGCCGACTCAGCCCAGGCCGACTCAACCCGGGCCGACTCAGCCCAGGCCGACTCAGCCCGGTCCCACTCAGCCCGGGCCCACTCAACCCAGGCCGACTCAACTAAGGCCGACTCAACTAAGGCCGACTCAACCGATTTTCGTGAGGAATGCACATGCGTTTGCCAACCCAGTTTCAACCCAGTTTCTGTTCAAACTACAAATTGAACAGAGTTTACCCTGGGTGAACTCAACCTAGGTTGAACCCGGGTAGCTTTTTGAAGTGCAAACCGGGCTTTAGTATGCTCAAGGACAAACGTTTGAGACCCCATTTACACTGTGCCAGATGAATTTTATCCGCAAAAGATTTGTTCTGGTTGATTTGCGTTTACACTGTGCCGCACAAATTTTGTTCACTTTGTTCCCTCGTTTATACTGTGCAGGATAACTGCAGCCACGTGGCCTAAATCATTCACATAACGCCCAAAATGAAGTCATCTCTTGGCAAAAAATACAACAAAATCAGGGGCGTTGGGTCTCCTAAAAGAGGACCGGGAAAAAATAGCCATAAAGGGGCCCATTCTTTCCAGAAAACCCATTTTTTGCTATCGGTGCAAGCGGGGGCAGCTGGGTAAAATAGCACAAATAGTAATGATACAATAATAGAGGTGGCGCCACAAAATTGAAACTCTATTATGAGACGTTGGGGAAAGAAAGGGTGACCTTGACCTTTGGTTCAGAGTGCACATCGATGTTAATAACAAGAAGCTGTTGTATTGATTGAGAGAAATTTACTTCTTGAACAGAAATGTGCATCTTCTTTGTCTCGAGTCTTTCCAGTAGACCATGTTTAACACACCCAAAATGCAAACATTGCAATGATACAGAAAGTTATCTACTGGATAAATGCAAATAATGGACAAAAAATAGAAATATACCTAAATAAATCGAATAAAATCAAGCAGTATATAAACTCTTTGTTACCTTTTTATTTCATACTCTGTTTTTAAAAATGATACGGTCAAAAATGCTCATCTCTGAAAAGTGGGGGAGTTTCAGTCCTGACAGTAAACAGAGCGTGACGTGGGGTGAAAATAAGAGGAGTCTACTTCAACCCCTTAAATGGCCACATCGGCTAGCCACCCGGGCCAGTCCTCTTCTGTATTTATATGCGCCTTCTTGTACAGGCTTCCCATCTAAAAACTGTCTTATTAATAAGCCTCTAAGGGCTAATTCTTAGATTCACGGTATTCTCGTAAGAAAAGGCCTTTTCATCAGGTCGCCCAGGCCTGATTCTAGCGGGTCATCTTCTAATTGATCTTCATTCCTTTCAAATTACACGCACCCCATTCATGGGGCCCTTTATGTTTAATTTTATCTCCAAATCTCTAGTTCATAACTATGAGTTTTTATATAGATTAGAGATTATTTCACCAAAGATTTTATTTCCTTAAAATATTTTCTTGGGTTTTACAAAGTCACTTGTAAGGGACCCACCGGGAAATCTCCCGGTGTCCCGCCTAGCCACAACGCCCCTGAACAAAATTCTCGCCGAAACGCTAAAGGTACAAACAAATTTCATTCCCTCTTCAGAATCATTAGGCCTTGTTAGTTGTAACAATTCGTTTTCTGAAACAATATGACGCTAAAATAGCGAATAAAGCTGACAAGAATACCAATTTCGCGTGGACGGGCACATTTTATTCAAGTAGAACTGTTTGCACAATACCACATAGCTATCTGAACTAATTTAATCATCTAACTAACTATACTAACTTTGATGCGGATGAAATATATCCGGAGCAGTGTAAACGGAAAGAATTCACTTAAAGGCAAAGAATAATATTGTTTCTATGCGTGATGTTGTACCAATAAGGAGCGCCCAGAAATGAATTTTGATTAAGTAAAGGCAGTTTTAAAACCACAGAATTACATCGCAAATAAAACGTTGGCAAAATATTACCCCGCCTATAACATTTAGACGAAATACATAATTGATCCTGCCAAGAACTGGAGGACTTCTCTCCCAGCTCTCCCTCCTCTTGGCACCGCAGTTGACAAAATTGCATCATTACAAATTTTACGATTTGCTTGCGCAGCAGATTAGACAAATAAAGTATGCGGTACAGCTTTCTGCTAAAAATATTGATGGCTGGGCATAGTATCGAACACATTTTGTTTATGATTTTAAAACTGTTAAGGTTTGTTACAAATTTCAATGATTTGGCGTCACGTCACGACGCTATTAGAAAAGTGTTTTTGTTGTTATTTGAATTTATCTTTCATAACGGAGAATCGAGGTTTGTTTAGTTTTAACTATACTAAAAGAAAACAGGTTTATCATGAGTGTTTTTCTATAAGCTTTGAATTGAAAATTTTCATAATATTTTTGTTAGGTTGTTATGTTGACTTCTCACTTGTAGCCAAGGCCACATATTCAGACACCGGTTACAGAAAGCCGCATCCGATCAAGGATAACCGCAGATCAGGGTTTTATTTGGAGGTGGGGTTGGAATGGGGACAGCAGTAGGGGGTTAGGGAGACCTATGATAAAAGAGCATCGTTTTGTATTATAATGACATACAAGAGAGACTCACCAAAACAGACAAACAATTGTTGCTTGAAAAAGGTAGGGGCATGGGCAATCATTCCTCTTCCTTACATGTAAAATAAGCTGATTAAGGGTGTTGCTTGGCTAGCTGATAAAGGGTGTGGCTTGGCTAGCTGATTAAGAGCATTGCTTTAATGTAAGGAAAGGCTGTTTGTGAGCATACATTGAAAATTGGCTACAGGTCAATAAGCTTTCCCTTAATGTTGTCAAAACCCAAGCTATGGTAATTGGCTCTAAGCCAAAAATTAAAAAGATAAATAATAATCTTAGCACACTTCCTTCTTTTAGGGTAGGGGGCGAGGAAATCGACCTAATAAACGAAACAAAATATTTCGGAGTCGTGATTTATAATTACCTGGGAAAGTGACATTAGCGCACTACAAAAGAGGCTCTCTAGAGCAATTGGTCTATTGAAGTATGCGCGAAATTTTGTTAAACTGGCACTTTGATAAATTTATAAAGGAGCATCATAGAGCCACATTTCAGCTACTGTTGCTCCGTCTTGGGTTTTGTGGTGCTTCAAAGCTAGACATACTCCAAAAATCACAGAATAAAGCCATATTAATAAATAGCCCTTTTGATGCATCTGCAGCTCCTTTGCTCCAGAGACTTCGTTGGCAATCTGTACAAAAGCTGATAAAAAAAGAAACAGGTTCTATGGTTTACAAATCTCTTAACTCTCTTGCACCAAAATATCTCAGTGACCTATTCGTGAGATTATCCGGGGGGATATCCAAGAGAGTTAAGAAACTCTAAAACAGACCTTGCAATACCCATGTTGAGAACTGGCAAGGCCAGAAATCCTTTGCATATCATGGGGCTAGTCTCTGGAACAGTCTCAATCTGGACACAACAATGTCTCTCTCAATCAATGCCTTCAAGTCCAAACTCAAGGAAAATTAACTTAGTTTTGCAGGGCCAATTGTAAAACAGTATTTAGACTGAGTTTGTACCCTGGATAAATAATTTTAAAATGAAATGAGCATGTGACCAAAATTTTCTGCTAAGTCTTAATTAACTACTCGTATCATTTTATAAGAAACTAAGATCCGGTGCTGGTAGGCAGTTTCTCAAATTTTCTGGCCATTTTGCTATCAAAAGTTTCTTACATGTGTCATAAATTTCTTTGGTAATGAATTTTTTAAATGTACTTTCAAGTTAAAGTAAATAGTTCACTCACATTCAGAGTAAAACTAACAAAATGATAAAGGAATTTTGTTTTCCTAGAATGACTAACTCTGTTGAGATCTGTAAACAGCTCATTGAGCTCTATCAATGACAAGATGAAGTCAAATTAAATTTTTGAATGGAAACTTCATGAGTGTGCAATTTACTGAGAATGATTGCAAACTGCATGTCAAGTGTAGTGTTGCAATATACAGTGATGTTCAATGTCAAGACTGTTTCGAGTGTCTACTCGGAAAATTAAAAGTGCGCATATTTTTCGAAAAATTGAGCCACCGTTTCTTATAACCTGTTTCTTATAAGAAAATGCGTGTATAGTGAATTATTAATCCTCATTTTGCATTGTTCTGACACACCAACACCACTCTCCATAAAGGTTATATATTTATAATTTTATATTTATAATAAAAACACTAAATACAAACCACTATCAAGGTAAGAAATACTGTTAAAATACAAGCGATATAATATTCTAGGTTTTCTCAACAATTATGAATCTTCCCCATCTTTAAGGAGATTCTTATAGGAGATGTATGTGATAAAACTAAGCACCCAATGCGTATGAATGAGAATATGCAGAATATACAGAGAGCAGTATTGGTCTTCACCCCGGCCGTAAGAGTCTATAATTCAGTACCAGAAATATAAATATTTATTTGAGAGGGGATTTGAAAACGTAAATTAACATTATTGTCCTCTTTCCTTCCCCCCCTCCTCTGCACCCACCCCTTCGTCGCCATTTCACTGGTCTACAACACCGTGTCCCAAGTTTCTCGAGTGTTTGGTGCCAAGGATAAGGGGCTGCATGCCTCATTGCTCATTCGTAATGGGCAGGGACGAAAGCAGCCTTTTGGAATTGCGATTTTCATTGAATCGACAGAAAACTTGCCAATATTTTATATCATTTTCGAGCATTTTCGATACCGCTAATTTTCCGGGATCAAATCTTGCCTCCGATCTACAACTTAAATCTTTACAACATTCCAGTGGAGATTTGGGAATTCGATTAAATTTGTGGCATAAGATGAGGTTTTCAGCGAAAAAATTTCTACCAAAATAGAACAAATTAGAGAAACCGCCTTTTATCAAATTGAACTAAATGCAATTTGTGTAGAGGGCTGAACAGAAAAAGATGCCTCCCAGAAGACGCCATGAACAGCAGTCAACAAAGTCAATTTTTCCAACAAGCATTTCGTGAGAAGGGCTCAGATAGCACAATCTTGACTACCGTTACCCTATCTCTCTTCCCAATAATAACTCCCACTTATAAAAAGCAATATGTGAAAACACTTAAATCATATCCAATTAACAACCAATTGAAATATTAGAGCAGTAGTTGATAAAACTTAGAATTTGGAAAATTTTTTGATTTGCTGAAAGATGCTATCAATTTGCTGACCTACCCATAGTTGGGAATAGGTGTGACTACTCCCTAGTAACTCGGTAAAATGCCTCACATTTTAATGCCTCCGTCATGAAAAGATCACAACAGTAATCTTTTCATGAATGAAGCTATTTTCAGTAAGAAGTAATCTATTTTCAGGAAGAAGTCAGATTCAACATCAAGAGATGTCTTCGCTAAGGGAAACTGCCTGTTCGGTTTTCAATTCAGAATGTGCTTCATTGAACAGCGATTTAGTAGACATTGAGGTAAGACAACATTTACGTTCAAATACCAGCATATTTATACAGCATATAATTGCAAAGCGACTAATCAAGACAATTTTAGTCGCTGTCATATCTTACTCAAGCAAATATAAAGAATTCCAAGCAAATTTGATTTCTTTTTAAAATCTGATGTTTCACAGAGGACACCTCTTGCAAAAGAGCCAGTTTTCACACAATGTTGTAAACTTTAGCCCGGTTTACACTAAAAAACGCTACCCGGATTCAACTTAAATTGAATTTACCCAGGGTAAACTCACTTAAATTTTTAGTCTAAACGGAAAGTGAGTTGAACTGCGTAGGTTTCGCAAACGCATGCGCGTTTCTCATGAAAAGCTTTCACTGTTCAAAATGGCGGGCGAACAGCAACTGCATTTCTTTACTTCTTGGGTTCTTGCGAAGATCTTCTAGAACTGTTGATTAATTTAAAAATTATGGCAATGTTATTCAACCAGTTGACAAAAAGTCACAAACTGGTGCCTTTTTCAATTCATGATTTAAATATGCATGCGCAGTAGAAAAGTTGCCGGGCTCTCCCACCTTTGTTTGTGGGTTGCATGTACCTGGGTTCAACCTAGGTAACTCTGCATTTACACTACGGAGGCCAGACGGAGGGTAAAAAGTTGGGAGGGGTCTGGTCCAGATTTCAAATACATTAGAAAAGATTTTGTACCTAATTTCAACAAAATATCCTGGCGGGGAGCCCTTTTATCAATGTAAAATTGGACAGGACCTAAAGATTAATTTGCAAGTAAGCAGTCCTCTTTTAAGAACAACCGCAGTTGCTCTTAAACCGCAGAGCACTCGATTCGATGAACTCAGCGACGGGGACTGCCGAGTCATGCCCTCCCCCCCCCCAGTTCTCGGCAGTATCAATTTTGGGATTTCGTCTAACTTCGAAGAGTAAATAATTGGGAATGAGTTGCGACGTACTTTTTATGCTGTAATGCTATGACTTCGAAATTGCTTTTAAATAGTCAAAAGTTAGTCATGGGTGTCCCCTTCCTGTACAATTGGCGTTACTTGTTCGTGAAAGGACGTTTACTGGCAGTAAAAAGGGTGTGGTCTAAAATTCTTGGTTTTGCACCCCCCCCCCCTCCCCCTAGAGCCTAGTGGCTGTTGCCGCCAATGAATTCAGTTGATAGATGGATCCCAACAAATAGGTCTTATTATGGATTCAAGCAGAATATCCCTCTTCTGTGTCTCCTATCCTGACCAATCTTTATAGCAAGCGAGTCCAGCTTGCAATTGCAAGCATTTTTTGACAATTATACCAAGAGGGATGCCAAGGGATACCAAGAGAGAGGCTGCACAACGGATATGAAAAAGTAATTGGTTTTTGTTAAAAAGAATGTAATTTGTTTTTTAATATTTGCACAAAGAAATGAGAATTTTCTCTAATTTTGTAGTTTTTACATTGCAAGATCAGCCAGTTGTGGTACACCGTATGCCCGTTCTACCTTTTTTATTAACACAATGAAAAATCAATTTGGATAAACTTGTCTGCTAATATTTACTCCAGCATTCTTAGATGAGCTTTTATGTAGTCTCCGCTCGCTCTCGTGGAACGCCAAAGCGGCCACCCGACAACATCGCCCTTTGTCTACTGCTGATCTGCCCACTTGGGTATACACGTTTGCATACCAAAGTATTAGAATGATGAATGAAAACATAGCTTCTCTGACGGTAGTTTCTTAGATAAAAGAAGCCAAATTGGTGGCATAGGAAGATAAATACCTTGAGGGAAAAATCACTCTATGGAAATTTCGTACGCCTTTGATAGAAATCCTCTAGTTTTATCGGTAAATCCATAGAAATCCTTTTGTTTTTGGGGAAATCTCGTGCGCTATTAACAAGAGTGAAAACTCTACAAAAATAACATGAGATGAAATGAGATTATTCTGAGGTCATCTCAAACTTAATAACTCGATTGCTAGTCATTGAAAATTAAGGAAATTTTGAAACTCTGGGAAAACGTTTCTACTAAATCTTCAGTCCCCTGCAGCCAAGCAAAATGCGTTTTTAGTGTCCTTTGTAGCTACAGCTTTTGCTGACTTACATGAAGCCAATTGATAAACATCAGCTCTAGAGCCGTGAGAAAGTTAATAACCTCAGAAAAACAAATAAGAATTTGGAAAACTACAGAACAAATCAATGACTGGATTTAAACTTTCTTTGATAAGCAAAAGGAGGGCATGCTAGATATGATCTTTGCAAAATTCGCACAAAATTCGCAATTGAAGTATATCTAAAAAATGAAACATTGTGGTTCAAGGAACGCCTTTTTTTTATAGGATCAATAAAAAACAAAAGGTCTTAAGGAATCATAGACCGCTTATTTCCATTCCATCTCCAAATTTGCTTCGAAAGCATTTCTTGAAAAGGCAGACGTAATCAAAAATTCATCCAAGAAAACGTTTATGATCCCGAGCTAGATAAATCGGGAGCTAAGGTTGTTTGCTCAGGGACAGCGATAGCCATGGAGACTGAAAGCAATACAGTTCATCACAAAACACATCGAGAATTGTGAGCACTTAGAATATGCATGACAAGCCATGGCAGCAACATTTTGCAGGGTATCAAAAGATTACAGGGAGATTTACTGATAATATTTGTCTTCCTAACGTAATCATCCCTTGTGTTAAGGGAAAGGATAAAGATAAATCGAGGGTAGATAAAAGGAATGATCGGCAAAATTGCACAAAGGAAAACGGACAGAGCCTAGAAAAGAAACAATAAAGGGCCAATAGAAAAACAAGTTATATAAACCAAGTATAAACCAAGTAAATATTTGCAATGTCAACACCCCTTTCAAAAAACGAAGCATTATTTGGGAGGCTAGACAAGAGTAGCTTTATGTGTGTGAATAAAGGAGAATAAAGGAAAGGGTATTTTTATCCCTTGACACAACAGGGATGCCAATCAACAGATGCTACTATAGAGAATATAAATAAGGGCTGCTGCAAGTTTCAGCGACATTCGACTGTAACTGGTTCATCGAAAGCAACAGCAAAGGTGAATAGACATTTTCTTTAAGATTTTGAGACAGGCAGTAGAAAGCAACCATTCTGAATGTAATAAAACAAATTTAGGACATCATCCTTAAGCTAGAATCATTTTGATCTTTAACTTATTTTGTATTAACTATTTGACGTTTACTTCGAGTCTGCAAAGGTATGTAAGTCTGGTTTTTTTTTCTTCTTTCAGATACAACATGGATCTCAAATTTCTTGGTATTTTCCTTCTCTTGGCCGTAGCAGCTTATGGTGAGTATGCATCAAACCTCTTTCTTATTCTAAAACAGACCTCTAGAATGGAAAGCTTCTTCCCAAATCGGAATCAAATTTCCTCGATCCGCAGCAAACAGGCAACTGGAATTCTACTCCAGTGCGATTCTTGAAAATTTATTTCCCATAAACTTCAACATGCAAAAGAATCTTCTCAAAATGGAAGAAACAGGCGACAAGTGCTGTAGCATATCGTTTTAACTCCCCGTGTTAGTTTTCTGACCTAGCCACGGCGCCAAATCGACACCAAAGCCCTGTCCCCCAAACCCAAACTAAACATACGAAACCAAAGGAACCAGATATTTGAAAATAAAGCCCTTTTAATTTTATACTTATAATCTTAATTCGTAGGGCATTTAGATATTTCAGAATCTATCAAAGTAAATAGGCGAATATTAAAAATGTACGGAAACAAATATCTACAAGGTCAAACTTCAAAGAGCGATTAATCCTCTTTCAATAAAATCATGGGAAAACCATTTATTTTACAAAAAAAGAATTTGGCAACAGTGGAATACAAAACCACAAATCATTCATCCAGATTTGGTTCTCATGTCATCAAAGGCAACTTACATCAAGCCTCGAGAAATCAGAGAAATCTCCCCCCTCCTCTTTATCTCCATTTGGCCTAGAAGTACAATCTTCCTTCTCACACAATGACGCACCTCAAAATCTTATTCTTGTTACATTGAAATGAATAAAATTACATTTAATTCTCTTTTCAGCTGCCCCTTCTATGGAGGTTGAAGAGAGTGAAGACCCCGTTGAGGCTGATGGTAAGTGAAAAAATCATAAAAATGAGCTTCTCGTTTCTGACAGCGTTTCCACTATTTATGAACATTTGTGAAAAAAATCAAGAAATATGTCCTTATGTTGTTCAATTATTCAACTGAAATCCATTTGCTTATTTATGACAGGCATAACTGTTTGTCCTAAAAGTAGAAAACAATTAAAGTTGTTTAAATTTTTTGTAGCTCTTGAAGATGTAATGGAAGATGATAGTGAAGAAGATCTTGCGGCTGACTTTGAACTAGACGAGGAAGATCCAAGACGCCGAAAAAGTATGAAAAGACCTTACTTCTCCAAAGGGAAATACTGTGTCTGCAGCAAGAAGCAAAAGAAAGGAGACGAGGCAGAGGTAACCGAAGAGGATGTCGAGGACCATATTGATGACGTTGCTGAGAATGTCGAAAATGCACTTGCTGATCCAAGGAAACGTCGTCGACGCAGACCAAGCAAGAAGAACTGGAAATTGGCCCTGAGGAAACTTGTGTCTCCATTCTTCAGAGCTGAAACCCTTGGATGCTACTGCACACGAAACAGAGCTGTTGTCAGGTGTGTATTTCAAGCTGTTACAAAGCTTTTTGTTATGCATCAACCTAGATGGATGTGTCTAGAGAAAATTGAAGGCAACGTATTTGAAGTATAAAAGTGGATTTTGTTACCTATTGACTCAAAGTGTCTTGACAAGAAAAATAGCACTTAAAAGTCTCGATGACAGTTGCTTTATAAATCATTTCTTTTAGAAAAAAGCCATTCACTTTGAATAATCTAGAATATAAAAGTTTCTGTAGTATGTAGATGCGTGACAAGAAAAAGCTAGATATAGCTATTTTGCCTATAGCATATTGCTTTTCTTGAACCAAACTGATGATAAAAATTTTTCTTGAAGATTGTTGAACTACTTGCACCTGGCTCACTACATCCACCTTAAGCAGAAGAAAGTCTTCATCAAACACGTCAAATATTTGGTTGCTCAAGTCAAGAAGCAGAGGAGAGGCTGAGCTAATATGGCGGACATTCAACTGACGCTTATAGCTTCATATCCACTTTTTTATTTGGAATCACAATCTTGAATAGATGAATGGGCGCATAGATTATGTTTTAACTCTTACGAGATATAAAAAGATATTTTGTGCTTATAAACTATTTAAGATTTTGATGCCGAAGGATATCTTTTGTATGCACCATAATATTGTATAGAGTCTACAGAAACGAGTTGTTTTCTTGCCTTATTTTCAACTGACGGAGAATTGATGTTGGATATAAAATTCTTTAATGGAATGAGTAACTTTGTTTCGGGTACTTTTGGCAGTGTAATAGAAATTTTATAGGAATATTCAAGCGATTTTAGGAAATCCAAGGAAACAGATTTGAAAAACAGGAAGATGTGTTGCCGCAACTGGAACATGGAAATCAAAGCAATCTATATGTTTTACCGCATTATTTTTATCAGTTCTTATACGTTGCCCATTATTAAGAAATAATTCTTTTCAAGAACAGTACCGTCTTTGCAACACAAAAACCCCAACGATGCGACTACTTCTAAGGCGGCAACAGATTATAGCGAGGGCTATAGCGTGAGTCACGATTTCACCACAGATGGGGGCTTTGTTTATAAAGAATAAGATTCCTTGATAAAGTATAGGAAGAAAACAGAAAGCTCTGTTCAAGAAACGTGAAGATTTTGCTTTCCAAGTCTAAGGCCCTGTTTATATGGAGAAAATAGCCCCGGCTACCTGAGGTTATTTTCCAAGCTGAGATATCGGCATCCTATACAAAAGGTATAATTCTCAGTCAGAGGCGGATTGGCAGCAAATCTCTCGGGTTGCTATATACAGAAAAGGGGCCCGTACTACGTATAATGCAAGCAACAGGGGCGTTGTGGCTCCTAGGAAAGGGCCGGGAGAAACTTATCATAAGGGGCCCACTCTTGTGTATGATATCTCAAATCACAAACCCAAGTCGCCAAAAATGATATGTACCTGGAAACCATGCACCTTTGAAATATTAACAAGATCCCAGTTTTTATCATTTTGAAAGGTTCATCTGCTATATTTGTTGGGGTGTAGCCCCTTTGTGCTAATCATAGATACTTTAAGACTGCAAAAATGAGGAACAAATTCAATGCTGTAGTGCACAGTTTATATTAACAAAAACGCAATAGAAGACAGATATGCACTGCGAGCAAAGCAAACAGAAATTGTTTCGGCCACGCCCTTTAAATTAGCTTGAAACACGACTCAGAATGCTTTTTACGGTCGTTTACCTCGTTTTACAAATTTTTAGGCATACTTTGTTGCATTTCGTTAAAATTCAGTTCTTGATCTAGAATTCCTTGCTTTAAGAGGACCCCTAGACCTTGAGGCCCCTTGGACAGTTTGCCCCTCCTTGTCCCCGTCTCGGAAGCCCTGTTCATATTCCACGCATCTCTTTCAAAGTTGCCTGTTTGTAAATGTTTACCTCCTCTAATTCTAAACTGTGAACTTGAGTCTACATGTAAGTGAGGTGTTTTCTCACCAAAGATTTTGTTAATATTAGATATTTTCCTGGGTTTTACAAACTCATTCGAAAGGGGGCCACCGAGAAATTTCCCGGTGTCCCGCCTGGCCACAACGCTCCTGGTAAGCAATACTGAAATGTTTTCTTTCTAAGGATTTTATCTTCATTTCTGTGACTTGTATTCTCTTGAACATAGATATCTTTGAAATCAAGAGAGTTATTTTCTCGAATTTATCTACGGAGGGCCCGGTTATTATGAAGTAGAGAAGGCCCGGGTTGCGATCGCATCCTAGCATCCATGCCAGTCCGCCACTGTTCTCAGTTTACGTTTATATGAGTGTCGCAAATAGTATCACCCAGGTGAGGTTATTTTTGACTGCTGAAATCTCACCTGAGCGAGCCGATATATCGGCTTGGTGAGGCTATTTGTCTCATACTAGAAATAGCTCTTGCTAGTACTGCCCGCAAACAATTAGTTCCTTGATAATGATTGTTTTGAAAATTTAGGTCAGGATATTCGAAGAAGACACCATCTTGGGTTTTCACAATTTTATAAAAACAGCTGCTCTAGTTGATGCTAAACTATTCTTTTTATCAAGAATTTTTGGTGTTCAGTTTGCCTTTGATTTAAGTCCAACGCCCTTTTGAAAATCATGAAGTTTTTCTAGGGTTTGACATTTATTTTTCGTTTTCGTGAAGCAAAGACGTATGAAAATGGACACGTGATAGAACGGGTACAGCTAAAATAGATTGCGATAAAGGATTCGTACAGCGATGTACAGGCGATAATCACGACAATCATAACTTTTGCTCGTACGGTGTCGAGTTTTTGGGAGAAAGGTGTGGCATTCGACTGGTTTTGATTCCCAAAACTTCAAATCAAAACTTCCATCCATTGCGGAGAACCGAGCTGTGATGCAGCACCGTTTTCGTGCAAAAAAAACCGAAGGCCTTTAACAGAGTCTTGGCAGAGCAACGCTCCGAAGATAATTCCCTTCCGCACAAAGAGGTGGCGGTTAAGCTTGGTTTCCACTATGAGTTAACGTGAGTTAATTTGAGATAATTTTGTGATCTGACATGGTTTAAAAATTATCTCATAGTGGAAACGGTCATTAAAAATTATCTCATGAAAATTAACTCGTGTTAACTCACGTTATCTCATGAGCTTGGAAACAAAATTTTTTGATTTCAAGCTCATGAGTTAACTTGAGATAACATCTTATCAAAAGAAGCCGATGCGTGGGAGGGGAATGTGCTATAATTTGCACTGAGGTTCTTACGCAACGCACTTGCACTGAGTATTACTTTAGATGTTGAAAACAGTTTTCTTTACTAAAAAAAATTAATTGTGAAATAAGAGAAACATTTTCTCATTTCTAAGATCCTGTTGCAAGTGGTCGTATTCACCAAACGCATATCTTTTTTGGTAGACTCTCCGTACCGAAAACCTTGGCGCAGATCGCGAACGGCACTTCTAGCAAAAAATATTTTCCTTCTAAGTATTCTCAAAAGCAGAAGTAAAATAAGTTGTTCTTGTAAGACGCCCGCCATAGCTGCAAGACTCAAATAAAATGTGATTTCTGAAATTTCAATACTTAATTCTATCTCAAGTGGAAACCGAATCGGTGCATGGGTTAATTTTGAGATAGCTCGCGTTATCTCACGCTATTTCACACTATCTCAAGTTAACTTGAATTTAGACCATGAGTTAATTTTCAATTTAGCTCAGAATTATCTCACGTTAACCCATAGTGGAAACCAAGCTTTAACGACCTCCTCGACAAAGCCGATTGATTGACAATAAAATTGATTGACAGTTGTCATGGCAGCAGAAAAGTGACAAAATCTGCTGAAAAAGTGCTGACATTATGAACTGAAGCTTCCATATGCTACTTATACGCGGGGCAGACTATAAGCCCTTCACTCGCGCGCTATCGCGCGCGAGTTGCGGGCAATAAACGCAAACAAAAATAGCCTCACTTCACCGACAAAAAATTGCAGATACTGCACAAGCGCAAATCATTATTCTCTTGCATGGCCCAAACCAAATGGGCGGAGGAAGAAGCAAATTCAGGCTCCAGGGCAACCGAAAAAAGGCCTTTTCGATGGAGCACTGAAGTGATGAAGGAACTCATTGACATTTTGCTGGATTATAAAAACAAAAGTAAAAGAAACACGCTAGTCATTTTCAAAAGCTGTTATCAGTCGTCAAATTTGGCGCCAAATTGAAATTGCCCCGGCAAGCCCAGGCTATTTTCCTCTCATATAAACAGAACCTGAAAATAGCCTTACCAAATGATAGCATCGAGTAGCCGAGGAACAACAAAGCCTAAGGAGACATCTTTCGACTGTATAGCAGAAGATTTGAGTTCAGGCTGGCTTAATTATTTATATAAACTGAGGCTGGATTGTTCTTGATTTGTTCTAATATTACCAGGGTGTCAGCAACGAGGGGCAAATCACTCTATACAAATCTCGTACACCTTTTGTGAAAATTCTATTGTTTTATCGGAAAATCCCCCAAAATCCTTTTGTTTTAGGCAAAATCTCGTACGCTTTTTGCAAGAGTGAATCGCCCCTTGGTCAGCAATGTAATTGCTAGCTATTTCACTCTAGGGATGCGTTCAGGCCTCATTTGCCAACAAAGTGGGTGAGGCATCCTTGTTATGTTATGTTATGCTATGTTATGTTATCTTATAGAATCTACTAGAATCTGAATTTTTACTGCGTGACAAGTTTTAGGTACCATGACAATGAAATGTCATCTTGTAACCGCACCAAAGTCTGTTTTTGATTCGCGTGAAATACTTCACTACTCAAATTTGAATGAGCTTATCTAATCTCTTTTTTAAGAAGAAAGACACAAATTCTATAGACAAATCCTATTGGATAAAGAGTAGATAACGTGAATAGGGAAGACAATAAGATACAGTCAATAACCAACTATAAATAAGGGCTTTTAGTGCAACTGTTTTACTCGACGGTTTTCTAAGCATCGTGAAACATCGAAAGGCAAGTTGTTTGTTATATAAAACTCACAAAATTTACAGTGAAACAAAGTTGACATTTGCTATTCTTGCAATGAAACTGGCTTTTATTTCAATAACATTTAGTGTGAGTAGCATTTTATTTCTAGATTCAAGTTTCTGAAACTGCTCTCCATTCTTATTGTAGAATCGACATGGATCTCAAATTCGTTGGAATTGTTCTTCTGCTTGCCGCAGCAGTTTACAGTAAGTCAATTTTATATCAGTATGTAAGTCAATAAAAATACCATCATATTTGATGGTCTGTGTTTAATATCCTTGCGTGGAAAGATTTATTGTAATATTAGATGTACACTTTTTTATAAGAATCAGTAAATTCAAGTTCAGGCTCACTGTTCTTAATTTTTTTCGAAAATCTTAGGCTGGATTGTTCTTAAATTAATAGCATGTAAGCAGTGCGATTGCTAGCTTTTTTGCTCTAGGGAGGTGTTCAGGCCTCATTTGCCAACAAAGTGAATGAGACAGCCTTCATTTGCCGACAAATTTGAATATTTACCGAAAAAGCAGCCACACGTGGCTAAAGATCCTCGTGTTTTAAATAGAACGTTGTTCAAAATTGCATTTCACCGTAGCTCAGCCTGAGCTTGTTCTTAATTTGTTCTTAACTTTGGACCAATTTTTAGGCTCGTGTCTGCTGTTTTGTGCGTCTTCCATTCCAACATTGAAACTTTTTTCAATTTTCTGTGTTTCTTTTGCCTCTTCATTCTCTAAATGTGTCGACATTAATTTATTTTCGGGAGACGCTGAAAGGTGACTTCCAGTCGACCCTTTGCTATACGCCACGTTGAGTTGAACAGTTGACTGCATAGAGGCAGGATATGCTTGAGTGGTGTTTGCGGGCGGAGAGGGAGGGAGACGCTCGTTTTAAATCTTGGTTACTGTGTTGATTTTCATAACGGTTATACATATCAATGCTACTGCTAAATAGTCAGTCAAAATTTGTTTTGAAGATGTCCAAGGGTTATCAGTTTACCCTAGTCGTGTTGATGAAGATGAGGACCTTATAATTGATTAATTAAACTTTCGAAGCTGCTAGCAAAGTTTTTTGCGAACATTTGTATGACATTTTCTTAAAGAAAATGTCCAAAGGCATTTTTAAAACATTTTGGCTTCATATTTTTAATAAGCCCCCTCTCTCTCATAAGCCCCCTCTCTTTCAAGCCCCCTCTCTTTCAAGCCCCCCCCTTTAGGACTGAAAAAGATAAATAAGTCTCCCGGTGGGTTAAAAGAGCTTTTGCGGTAGGTAGGTTAAGTTTTTGCAAGGTTCCAGATTATTGCTCGTATCTCAATAAACAGGTACATGAGAGTTACTGCCTGAGGCGGCACCGTGGTAGCCGCAAAAGGTGGGAAAATTTTCGAATTTCAATGAGTCCAGTTCGCTGTAAATTTCGCTCATTGAATCAATCTTTTCTACTTTACAAGACAACCTTACTCTTAGAATTAATATCCACATGTGGAACGCTATCTGACGATTTTGATCGATTTTCTTGCAATCATTCTCGTCATTCGCGCAACCTTGAAACATTGTAAGGTGGAGTTTGGTTCTCACTGGTTCCAGTTTGCAAATTAACAGTTATTGAAATATTAACATGTCGAGAAGGGAAGAGGATCAAATTGAAATTTAAATGAAAGCAATCAAGTATACCATTGATTTTTTAATTTATGCCAACACAAAGTTTGCCGAGTCTGCCGAGTTAAGAACAGATTCAGAACTCTTGGGGGGTAACATGTGTTCCCAAGTGTGAGTTATTGGATCTCCAATCTTTTTATGTCTTTTCAATGCTAGTAAGGGGGCTCTTTCCATACTTGTTTAAGTTCTTTATCTACTACAAATCGACGTAAGGGATTAGGATAGGAAGTACGCTTTTTTGAGACTTCTTGGTTTTATTTGATTTATTAACATTGTTTGGGGGGGAAGGGAGTGCGGAAATAGGAGTATCCGGGAAATGAATTGAAACATATAGAGACATAACGCAAATTGCTTGGTGTCCAAAGTACTTTTAGCAATGATTGTAGGTATCTTTCTGAGAGCACGTACAGATAAAAATATTGAATTGAAACTGATCGCAGAAGCACAGTTCATCTACACTCTTTTTTTTAGAACCAGTAAATTTAAGTTCAGGCTGACTGTTCTTAATCTTTTCGAAAATCTGAGGCTGGATTGTTCTTAATTTGTTCTTAAATTAGGAGGGTGTAAGCAGTGCTATTGCTAGCTTATTTCGCTCCAAAGAGGTGTTCAGGCCTCATTTTCCACCAAAGTGAGTGAGACAGCCTTAATTTGCTGAGAAATTTGAATATTCACTGAAAAAGCACCCACGCATAGCTAAAATCCTCGATTTTGAGAAAAACGTTTTTCAAAATTGCATTTTGCAGAAGCTCAACCTCAGCTTGTTCTTAATTTGTTCTTAACTTTTCACCAGTTTTGAGGCTCGTGTTCTTATAAAATTGTTCTTAGAAAAAAAAGAATGTATAATTACTAAGGCCCCATTCACACGAGAACGATTGCGTACCGTTCAAATAGATCTCCTAACTTTGGAACAAATAAATAAACTGTTCACGCGGCAACAAAATCGCCCCCTTCCACTTTATGTGTTAGAATTTAAACAGTTTACAAATGCGCATGCCCGTAATTCCATATGAACAATGCAAACATTTAGTTAAATGGACCTGTTCACAATGGATCGGAACGGAACGACTGCGTTCAATTTCTCGTATCACTAAACGGAGCGAATTAAATTGTTCCCGTGTGCTCCACATTTTGAACGGAACGATATGGAACTGTACGCAAGGTTTCAGTGTAAACGGAGCCTAACACACAAGCATCTTGCAGCTACCGTACAGACAAACATATTGCAGCGATATATACAAATTTATAAGTGGCCCTCCAGTAATTACCTAAATCTGAAAGTGTCCCTCCTTGAAAAAGGGTTGGACAACTCTGCTTTAGAGGTTGTCTCCTATGGAATCGTGATTATTGGAGAAGTCTGTTAAGCATGCAAAATAGAAATTGGTCATAAGGCCAACAGCAATTCAGCAAAGTGAAAGGAAAGATTAATGGCGGTCTGAGTGAAAAATCTTATTTCACATTCTCAGCTTGACCATGTGTACCGTGCACTTATCGAAAGCCATCTGAGATACGAAAGATACGCTGATGTTATCTGGGGGAGTCTTCCTAAATCAAAATTGAAAACACTCAAACGTCTGCAGAACAGAGCAGGCTCGATTATCGATACAACGGGTCTCATAACTAGCTGACCGTTGAGCAACTAACAAAGTTCAATCGATCAGTTATGTTATACAATATAATTAGCAGACAATGTCCCGAAAGCCTTTGGGGCAAATATCATAATAGTACCCAGCACTCCAACTACAGAGCAAGGAATTGCAGGGACCTACAAATCCCAAGAAATAACCTTAAATATATCAAGAAAGGCTTTCACTATTCGGCTCTGAAAGCCAGGAACGATATTCCCATCACTATCAGAGAGCTCTCTACACTTGGTAAATTAAAAAAGCAATTGAAAAGTAATTTTACGAGCTGAACACGACGCAAAACACTCCCTGGAAGAGCAGCTGCTATAAGATAGCTAACTGTGCATAACTTTGCTTTAACTGTATATAGATTACAATTAAATTAATATAACTAGGGTGTTTATTTTCTTGTTTGGTATTCAGCCGAATGCTGAAAGGATTTTTGTGTATAAAGAATTTAATTATGAAAAATGAAAAAACATCTTTACAGGCGTTCTTTTTACAGAACTAGACGCATTTTCTAGTTTTACTGGATCTCTTATCAAAGAGACCTAACACTGACAATTCCCTTTTAGCTGCCCATGTTGAAGAGGACAAGGAAGAAGACCCTGAAGCAGGTAAGGGAAATTCAAGTTACACCCCTTATTACTACTATGTACCGGTCAGTTTCATTCCGCCGAGGGGGTCATCTCCTTATCATAAAAGCTGTTCCAGAGGGACAGTGTTGATTATGTTTGTCCTTACATAAACTACTAGATATTTTAGACCAAAGGGGATCCCCACAACCGCAAGTTGCGCCTCTATACAAACTATAACAAATCTTCTTTATAAACTCACTGCATAACAAACGTTATCTTCTACAAGAATTTGTTATGACTGAAGTTAGCCCATTTACAAGACGTCTGCAGAACAACGAAATTAGATGACAGCTACAAAAGAATTAGTAGAATTTGGAAATTTTTTCAAATGCCCTTTTACTTTAGCCTGTCCCTTGCCCTTTGGTCGGTTTCGAGTCCCTGTGTGACAAAACTTTCTCTCAGAGTAATGAGAGTCGCCAGCTCTCAGTTATCAAGAGATGTGGTCACATCGAGAAAGAACCAGGACACTGCTGGATAAGCACAAGGTTTTCAGTGTCCTAAAACTACCTTCAGTAGCTAGGTATAAAACAATACAATACACTCTTTTTTTATATAAAAACCAGATAATTTTTGCCGAGCCTCGATGTTCTTAACTTTTTGATAATTTTAGGCTCAAATTTTCTTAAAATTGTTCTTATTTTAAGAGTGGTTTTTTGCAAATATTTGAGAAGTTACATACTGTATAAAGTTTCTAAGACGTTTTACTGGATAAAGTTTAAAAATAAAGCAATGCCTGCTAGTGTTTATGGACAAATCCATCAAAGTTTTTTTGTCAAGAGAATGTCGGTACAATAGTTAAGTGCTTGCAAAATTCAAAATGCGAATTGTTTTTTTTAAATTTCTCATCTGAAGCTGAGCATGTTCTAGCCTTTTTCTTATCTTTTGGGCAAAGCCTCAGGGTAAATTTATATGATGAACTGATGATGGGACGAACTTGTTATTGAATTTGATCATCGTTGGGGCGTCAAAATTGATGTTTGGTTTCATACGATAGACTGAAGATGAACCAATTGCACAATACTACCATTTCACGCATGCGTCCTTTTCCGTTGGACTAGGCCTACAATATTTCAAAATGGCGCCAATCAATGCGGACAACAAAAAAAGAATGGCCATTTTTAGTCGAGTTTTGCTTTTCTTATCAAGTGTGTTCTTATAAAAAAGAGTGTATAACGGCAATAGAAAAACCCGTTATATTTTAATATGCACAAAAAAACGAGTTTACAATTGTTATGATGGCATACTAAATGATTACAATGAATTTATAGTTACAGTAAATAATCATAAGAAAATGAACAATGAATATAACAGTAGTATCAAAAAGCAAAAATCACTTTCTCGCTTATTCTGTGTATTTTAGAAACATTGAAAAATAGGCAATTTTTTAAATTTTATGGCCATTTTGCTATCAAAGGTTTCTTACATGTTTCTTAAATTTCTTTGGTAATGGATTTTTTAAACATGCTTCCAAGGTGAAGTAAATAGTTCACACACATTCAGAGATAAACTAACAAATGGAACAAGGAATTTTGTTTTCCTAGAATGACTAACTCTGTTGAGATCTGTAGACAGTTAAGCTCATTGAGCTCCATCAATGTCAAGATGAAGTCAAATTAAATTTTTAAGTGTGTGAGTTAAAATTAAACTTCTTGAGTGTGTGATTTACTGAGAATGAATGCAAACTGCATGTCAAGTTCAGTTTGCAATATACAGTGATGTTCAATGTCAAGACTGTTTCGAGTGTCAACTCGGAAAATTAAAACTGTTTGTTTAATGTTAAGACTATTTCGAGTGTCAACAAATTATAAAAGTTTCTAAGCTTTTTCCATTTGGGTAGGGTTGTTTCCTAACTTTAAAAAAATTGAGCCCATCGTTTCTTATAAAAAAATGCGTGTATTTGGACCCTGGATATACATTTCCCGGTTAGTTAGAAAGTACTAACAGCAATTCTAATAAATGGAACATAGTAGAACACCCTTTGTGGGCCTTCTATAATTTTAGTGTGAAAAATCCCATTAGATAAAAACTTGAGATGTTGATAAAATTTGAGCCTGGCTGTTATACTTAATTAATTGCTAATTTTTGTCAATTACGAGCCACAATATTCTGATAGAATTTATCCTTTAAAACAGTTTTATGCGTGTACAGTGATGAGCGGTGGCTGGGGAACGCAAATCAAACTAAGGGGAGGGGGGTGGTCTGGAAGAAGAGTGAGGCAAAGCTGAGTTGTAATTATCTGGTTGGGTGGGGGAGGGTACCCTCAGCATGTCCGCGTCGGAGATTCCGGCCAAATAGATGAAAGCCAACACTTTAGATGCAGCAATTAAATGAGAGACGTTTATTGTAATCATCACGTGCTTTATTTAAAGCAGCTTATGGAGACTTCGACGAGGAGGATGAGGTTGATCAAGAAAATATTTCGGAACTTGCAAAAGATGCAAAAAGGAAGGGACGTTGGGACCAATTCTTTTCAGTCGGAGGAAGATACTGCAGTTGCAATATGCCGGCTGCACTGGGAGACGAGCCAGAAGAAGTTCAAGATGCAGGGTCTAAAAAGAAATTTAAAACTTTTTTGGTCAAACTCATTAGACCATACTTCAAATCTGTGAGTCTGAAATGCCACTGCACTGCTAACCGCCGTGTTGTGAGGTCAGTTGAAGAAATATTAATATATGTTTATCGATGGTCTGGTAGGGAAACTGAGCCTTGATGTCGTAGGACGAACCAAAGGAAATTTCCAATTTACCTCTCTGGGCGGCCTTTTCTTTGGTACCGCCTAGGTCAAGAAAACTTATTATTTAGAAAACACGATATTTAGATATTCTGTTTAGGTAGCAGTTCTATAGTTTCTACTATTGATCTGATTTATACCCCAGAGTAAAAACATTCTATTTCAAGACCAAAAGTATAGAGCCAAAAAATCTAGAGGGGGGGGGGGGGGGGGGCGTGCTATAGAGCTTTTTCTATTTTGTATACAAAATGAATATTTCAATTGTTCTCGATTGCATGGCTCCTCGATGTCAATTTCTCTACCTTTCAATTTTCAAAGGATAAATCATCTTCCAATGTCTACCTGTTACTTGGGTAAAACAATCTTGACTACCTGTTACTTGAAAAATAATAAAGAAACTAAAGTAGTAAAATTTGGCCAGCATTTACTGAGTTTTTAGTTAGTTATTGCAAATGTCAGGAAGTAATATTGGTTAATCAAAGATTTGATCCTGGCAGAAATCAGCAAATATATTTGAGAATTACCCAGTAAAAAGAGGAGAGGGCGCACCCCCCCCCCTGAGCCCCCTTTTCTGCAGCTCTTGGTGGAGGGTGGTCAGCAGTAAAATTTACCAACGAAGATGTCAATGAAAACAAAATTAGGTGCTTTTTCATTTACCGACAATAGTGGTTCATTTGAAGACTGTTGCTATGAGGTATATCTTTATCCAATCACTTAATATTGACTGAGTAATATATTAACCGAGTAACATGTTAACTGAGTAAAATCCTTCCTTTTCTCTTACTTTTTAGGCTGTTGCAGTACCTACATTCGGCCAAAGTCGCTGCATTTAAAGCGAAGGTCGAATTCGACAGAAACCTACGTGCCTTGATCAAGGCTGTGCCAAGGCACAGTGGACGTTAAAGAGACAGAATCAGTTCTGACCTTGGTTTTACCTTCTTAGCCTAACTGACCCATTACTTAAAAGGACGTTAAGAGGGACTTTTTTCTCTAAGCTGTTTGTATTTCTTGAACAGATTTATAGATAGCATGTTTTTATTTAGCTTTTATATTATATCAGTCATTGTTTGTGTCTCTTCTTCTCTCTAACAAACTTACAACGATTTCTTTACAAGAAACAAGGATCAAGATTGACCTAAATGTTATGTTGTTAAGAAGGGCCTAATCATGTGCTCACATATAATACGTTTTACTCCATGGCCTCGTGCTCTACAACTAACTCTAAGTACCGTTACGTCGTAATATGTTAATTTATTCAAAACATTACATCTCCTCCTTTCTTCAGATTTGTGTCTGGGGCTAAAATATAAAGTTAATTAAAGTTCAAATTAGCAAGTCCAAACTTTCTAACAGTAAGATAACTAGGTCTACACGACAAGAAAACATTTTTTTTAAACTTCTGAAAATCGAACAAAATAAGTGAAAGCATTAAACTCACAGTACTTTCTGCTTACGTATCGTAAATGTTTTGTCCATATCTTTGAACTCTTCTTCCTATTTTTTGTGGATATCTGGCCTTATTCTGGGTGTCTGCATCTTCTTGCTGCCCTTCTCCGGTCGCAGGTATTTCTAATGATTCTTCATCATCTGCATCATTATAAAATTCCAAATCCTTTCTTTCCTGAATTGGCTTGAAAAATGAAATGTTCCTTGTTACGCATTGTCCATCTCTACAAGCTGTGATCATTGTTCCTTTTATTCGTACTATACGAAAAGGCTTCGGATCGAATTTGGATGTTAACTTGTTTCTCTTTCTTTGTCGAATTAGTACCAGATTGCCAATACTCATTTTACGTTCCTCAACTCCTCTTTTCCGGTCCGCATTTTGCTTCATCGTTGCCTTTGCCTGCTTGTCGTTTTTGCGAATTTCTTCGTCCAAGGGCGATAGACTTTTTTCCACTGTGTCTGGCAACTTTATTCGAATTTTGCGATTAAAAAGTAGCTGTGCTGGAGGATATTTTGTCGTTGTGTGTGGAGTGGCACGGTAATTTAGAACGAATCTATAAAGCTCTTTTTTCCAATTTCTCCCCTCCACTTGTGCTGCTTTGATGGCTTTAGTCATTGGTTTGTTCTCAGCTTCCAGGAGCGCAACCAGGAATTTCAGAGGGCAGGGGTCCAAGACACAATAAGGGCACTAAGAAAACTTTATTCACTTATGGCCCGGTTTATACTTTCATGTTTAGAAACAGATAAAAAAACGCTAGGGTGCTCTTAATGCACGCCGAAGGTTCACCGGGGCATTTGTTTAGATACGCAGGAAATATGAGCAGTTAGCAAACCTGTAAATATTGTACACCAGACAAAGAAAACTGATCAATAGAGACGTATTGTGGTGCATGAGTCTATATTTCATTCCTTTTCATGTTAACTATCTACATGGCTTCGTCTAGTTTCTCCAATCTCAGCGGACTTTCCCTTTCTGTCTGCCATCCAGGGCCGCCGAGAGGTTTTGGAGGCCCGAGGGGGGAACTGAAGAGACGAGGCCTCTTGTGAGCGAAGCGAGCAAAAAAAATTATGACCACGCCCTCACGAATAATCATGTGCTCACATATACACTCTATTTTTATAAGAACCAGTAAATTTAGGTTCAGCCTGACTGTTCTTACTTTCTTTCGAAAATCAGAGGCTGGATTGTTCTTAATTTGTTCTTAAATTAAGAGGGTGTAAGCAGTGCTATTGCTAGCTTTTTCGCTCTAAGGAGGTGTTCAGGCCTCATTTGCCAACAAAGTGAGTGAGACAGCCTTAATTTACTGACAAATTTGAATATTCACCGAAATCATGCGAAATCAAATCATGCGGGATGCAATCGAAATTTTTTGAAAGGTCCATCAATACGGACCCTACAATAAATTGTTGTCAAGCTTAGATTTCCACTCTTCTACAAGTTTAATCAAAACACACTGTGTACTGTAAGCTGTTCTATAAGCTGCAATAAAAATTGAAAGAATCTTATCAAGGAAAGGACTGAGCTGTTCCTTTAGAATTTTCTCAAAGATTTTGGAAAAAGTGTTGAGTATACAGACTGGACGATAATTTCTCTCCACAGTAAAAACTGGCTCACCTTTGTCTAAAGGGCAAACTGCAGCAGTTTTTGCATTCTGGGGAAATATGAAATTTCGAATGCTGCAATTGATGGCTTTAGTAATAGGCACAGTCAAATCATCGCTAGCGAGAGAAACAAGTTTCGGTGGAATTGATCAACACCTGTTGATTTACTGCCATCGAGCATTTTCAGTTGGAGCCAACCTTCACTAGCAGTAACCTCATTGAAAGAAAAAGATTGAAATGTTTGCTCAGGGTCTTGAACTATAGCTAGAATGTTTGGACGAATTCGCATTGGCGATACTGGAATGCTTCTTACCAGAAGTATTTTCGACAATATTTATGTAATAATCATTAAAAATCTCACCTAAATCATGGTCATCAGTGACTATTTTGTCATCTTTAATTAGGGAAATATCGGTACCAGCTAGAACACCTTTATTTGAGAGAAAAGGTTTTACCAGATCCCAGAAAGCTTTATTGGACATGAGGACATTGCTTGTAACTCTCTTGAAGTGATTCTTTATGGCCTTTTCACGTAGAGCAACACAGTGATTTCGCTGCTTCTTGGAGGCTACTTCATTTTGCTTTGAAGGGTGTTTATTTAATCTTCGTTTAAGCTTAGCACGTGTGTACATCGCTTTTTTTCAGCTCCGGGTTCATAAAGGGTGCATTGTTTCCCCTTAAAAACTTCGTTTTGATTGGAGTGTGTTTGTCCACTATATTCCGGAAAGTGATTGTCAGATGGTCGTAGGATTTATCCGGGTTAGTCCCGTCGCATTCAAATTGGGCGTGCTTTACATCGCTCAAGAAATTCTCTTGGACAAAATTTTTGTAGCTGCGATACTTTATTTGTTTCGGTTTTAACCTAGGAACAGTTGATTTCATAGTGGTAGCAACAAGACTATGATAGTAACTTAGACTTAATTCACGATTTAACAACAGATGGGGATTTTGTCTATAAAGAATTAGATTCTTTGACAAAGTATAGGAAGAATAAAAAAAGCTCTGTTCAGGAGAAGATTTTGTTTTCCAAGTCTAAGAAGACAACTTTCTACTGTATAGCAGAAAATTTGAGTTCAGGCTGGCTGTTCTTGATTATTTCTAGAAAAACTGCAAAAATGTTTCTCACGGCAAAACTTTACTTCTCACGGCAAAACTTTCTTTCTCACGGCAAAACTTTCTTTGAAAGATATACATGAACAAAGCAATAAGACGACGAGAATCCAATGTCACGAGATAAAATTTTTCAAAATAAATTAAATGTAAGGATATTTCTTAAATTTAATTTATTTTGAAAATTTATTTTGAAAACACAATTTGTTAAGACCTTTCTCAACATATGTCCTTATCACTCATGTATTGTTTGACCGTCCCCTTCCATGTTTTAATTAAGGGGAAAAAAGATGCCTCTGCAAAAAATACAATCTATTGCTATAAAATGTTGTGATTTAAGTAGTCACCTTGTTCTCGTTTGATCATAGTCAATATAATAATTAACCATCAAACACATGCTTCTGACTATGATCTGACAGACAGATATATGTTGATTTGGGAAGAGAATTGTAAAACCTCTTAAAAGGTAGGTTTTACAAACGTGAGTTCGTTCTAGGCAGAAATGCTCAAAAATACGGCAACGGCGGATAAGATCAAAATTCTTCTTTTTATGGCAATGATACGACTAACGGCTAACAGCAAATTCGAAAAATAACGACACGGCTTCAACAGGCACGACAAAACTAGCCACAGAGCTCCTAGCAATACGGCAAAACTTTCGACAAGACTACTCCTAACTTATGAAACAACCCTTTATATAACCTAAGCAAACCTTAAAATAATAATGACGTAATACAAAAAACATATTTACAAACGCTGATGCAATCAGAGCGCAAAGATGCAATTGTCACGTGATACTGTCCGTAAGGAACCCTGTGTCGTTACAGAATGTCATTATGTGTTAGTTATGAGTATACCGTAATTAAATGTCGGCCTTCGTGACTGTCTTTTTCAGAGACCTGATGATGATAGAGTTGGTGCCAAATCATTATATCAATGAAATGTCTGCCAAGCCAAGAGAACTTTCCTCGGAATGGGCAAATAGGCTGCTAGATAGATATGAATACTGACCAAATTCTTCAGTTGTGAGATGAGTAGCATGATGGCGGAAGGTAGAGATCCATTAAGAGAAATAATAAATGAGGCCAACAGAGCGCAAGTACTTGATTTAGGACCGGTGCAGCCCATCCTTAACTTTTAAACTTGCAAATCATCGCAAGATTCCATTGTAACATATGCTTTTCTCAAACTAAGAAACTGTTTACGTTTTTAGAATTGAAAATTCGTATAAAATAGAGTGATTTTTAGTGTTGTTTCCCCATGTATTAAATAATTCAGCTTCTGTCTCAGACAGTAGGGGGCGTGGTCCAAAAATTTTATTTCCCCAGACCCCCAGATTCCTCAGGGGCAAAGCCCCTACCAGAAACCCTCCCCAATATTTTGTGGCTGGCGCCGCCATTGGTTGCTTTTCTCACATAGGCGTAGAAGACAAGGGTCTGGGGAGATAAGGGGGCTGCAGCTGTAGTTTCCCAACATTGAAAAGTTTCCAAAAAAGCAATAATCAGGCAGAAATCTATAATGAGTCAGTCAGGCAAAATTTTCATAAACAATGGAAGTTGTTTGTTGGGCAACCACTTCGATTTTTCTATTCCCCTTATATTATGCCCATGCTTATTATTTCATTTTTTATTCATTGTTATTACTATTATTCTAAAAAAGTCAAGTACCTAGCCATCAACACACCCTGTGAGTAAAACGATTACGATATGATATTAAACACAATACCCAATATACATATACCTTCCTTCAGCTGTTCTGGGCTGAATTTTCAGCCCAGTGCCGGATTTCAAACTAAATTCCCAGGGGGGGGGCTCGAGCCCCCGAGCCCCCACGTAGTCGGCACCTATGGTTTGCTTTAATTTCCACGAGGGGCAATTCACTCTCACCAATAGCGTA